AAAGATATCTAATTTTGAACTTCAACAAATAAAAATATCACATTAGCTGTGAGCCAAAAATATCCTCTTCACTTCAGTAGAAAGAGGACTATAGAAAGAGGAAAATATTCTCTGTGTTGTCAAAACACTCACCTGCAAACTGTAGTTGGAGAAAAATATTAACAATCCAACTGTGACGGCCGCCGCCTTAGTGTGGCAAGTCTTGGGTCTTCCTGTGTGTGTGTGTGTGTGTGTGTGTGTGTGTGTGTGTGTGTGTGAGTGTGCCTGTGTGAGTGTGCCTGTGTGTGCATGCTGCCTGCAGCTCCCAGGTTGCCGTGGCTGCGGATTAATTAAGTGCCTGATCACCTCCACCTGGAAACGGCAAGGACCGACTGGCTGAGGGCTTCCACCAATTGGGGGGAGTGGATAAAACGCCAACGGACCTGCAGATCGGGGAGCACGCTGTAACCAGTGGAGCTCCCATGCCTCTTTCTCAGACTGAACGTCTTTGTGATTTGGGACTTTCGTAGCTTGTGAGGCATATTAGTTTTGCACACGCCTACCTGCTTTCTTTTTGTATTCAGCACTAGTGCTGAGTTATTGTATTTTATTTCTTTTCAGTGCCTATGTGAGCAGATCTTTTTATTTAGCTGTGTAACTAACTCTAGGTTAGAGTCTTTCTGTGTTTGGCAACCTGTTAAACCTCCTTTAAGGCCTCTCTTTTTTTTTGTTATTGTCAATTTTACTTTTGTTAATAAATAACTTGATTTGATCATTTAACATCTGGTCGGTTTTATGTTGCTTCCCTTCTCCCGTAACGAGCTGGTCGTAACATAAATGGGGGCTCGTCCGGGATCCTAATCCGTTAAAGGAGACCCGGAAATCCGAAAAGTTTTTGTTAATAAAGGTAAGATTATTGTGTGTGTGCTTAGGTAGGTAAAATGGCATCGTTCGATCTTGACAGCTTCTTGTTAAATCCGTCACTTGACCAAATTAATCAGTCAAGGAGCTGTCAATCACAACATGACGAATAACAACCGTCATCATAATATGATATTTAATACAATAATATATTTAATATAATTATATGATATTTAATACAATAATATATTTAATATAATTATATGATATTTAATACAATAATATATTTAATATAATTATATGATATTTAATACAATAATATATTTAATATAATTATATGATATTTAATACAATAATATATTTAATATAATTATATATTTAATACAATAATATATTTAATATAATTATATGATATTTAATACAATAATATATTTAATATAATTATATATTTAATACAATAATATATTTAATATAATTATATGATATTTAATATAATAATATATTTAATATAATTATATGATATTTAATATAATAATATATTTAATATAATTATATGATATTTAATATAATAATATATTTAATATAATTATATGATATTTAATACAATAATATATTTAATATAATTATATATTTAATACAATAGTATATTTAATATAATTATATGATATTTAATATAATAATATATTTAATATAATTATATGATATTTAATACAATAATATATTTAATATAATTATATGATATTTAATATAATAATATATTTAATATAATTATATGATATTTAATATAATAATATATTTAATATAATTATAGATAAGGTTTAAGGTTTTTGGCATTAGGGTTAAAATCACTGTCCAAAAACCTTTGTAGGAACTCTTTTCCAACCTTTTGGAGTAAGTTAGACAAAAAAAAAAAAGATAAATGAAAAAAAAATATTTGGGGTGTTCGGGCTTCCTGAAGGTAATACCCGGGTATTAGGTTATGGGGCTAGGGTAAGGTTTAAGGTTTTTGGCGTAAGGGTTAAAATCACTGTCCAAAACCTTTTAAGGAACAAGATTCAGACCTTTTGGAGTTGGTTACACCAAAAAAAATGTAAAATGAAAAAAAATATATTTGGGGTGTTCGGGCTTCCTGAAGGTAATACCCGGGTATTAGGTTATGGGGCTATGGTAAGGTTTAAGGTTTTTGGCGTTAGGGTTAAAATCACTGTCCAAAACCTTTGTAGGAACTCTTTTCCAACCTTATGGAGTTCAGTTAGACCAAAAAAAAAAGAAAAATGAAAAAAATATATATTTGGGGTGTTCGGGCTTCCTGAAGGTAATACCCGGGTATTAGGTTATGGGGCTTAGGAAATGTTTAAGGTTTTTGGCGTTAGGGTTAAAATCACTGTCCAAAAACCTTTGTAGGAACTCTTTTCCAACCTTTTGGAGTTAGGTTGACCAAAAAAAAAGAAAAAAGAAAAAAAAATATTTGGGGTGTTCGGGCTTCCTGAAGGTAATACCCGGGTATCAGGTTATGGGGCTATGGTAAGGTTTAAGGTTTTTGGCGTTAGGGTTAAAATCACTGTCCAAAACCTTTGTAGGAACTCTTTTCCAACCTTATGGAGTTCGTTAGACCAAAAAAAAAAGAAAAATGAAAAAAAATATTTGGGGTGTTCGGGCTTCCTGAAGGTAATACCCGGGTATTAGGTTATGGGGCTTAGGAAATGTTTAAGGTTTTTGGCGTTAGGGTTAAAATCACTGTCCAAAAACCTTTGTAGGAACTCTTTTCCAACCTTTTGGAGTTAGGTTGACCAAAAAAAAAAAGAAAAAAGAAAAAAAAAATATTTGGGGTGTTCGGGCTTCCTGAAGGTAATACCCGGGTATTAGGTTTTGGTGCTAGGGTAAGGTTTGAGGTTTTTGGCATTAGGGTTAAAATCACTGTCCAAAACCTTTTTAGGAACACCTTTCAGACCTTTTGGAGTTTGTACACCAAAAAAAAAATGTAAAATGAAAAAAGAAAATTTGGGGTGTTCGGGCTTCCTGAAGGTAATACCCGGGTATCAGGTTATGGGGCTATGGTAAGGTTTAAGGTTTTTGGCGTTAGGGTTAAAATCACTGTCCAAAACCTTTGTAGGAACTCTTTTCCAAACTTTTGGAGTCAGTTAGACCAAAAAAAATGAAAAATGAAATAAAAAATATTTGGGGTGTTCGGGCTTCCTGAAGGTAATACCCGGGTATCGGGTTATGGGGCTATGGTAAGGTTTAAGGTTTTTGGCGTTACGGTTAAAATCACTGTCCAAAACCTTTGTAGGAACTGTTTCTAAACTTTTGGAGTCAGTTAGACCCAAAAAAAAGAGAAATGAAAAAAAAATATTTGGGGTTTTCAGGCTTCCTGGAGGTAATACCCTAATATTAGGTTTTGGGGCTAGGGTAAGGTTTGAGGTTTTTGGCGTTAGGGTTAAAATCACTGTCCAAAACCTTTTTAGGAACATGTTTCAGACCTTTTGGAGTTGGTTACATACAAAAAAAATGTAAAATGAAAAAAAATATATTTGGGGTGTTCGGGCTTCCTGAAGGTAATACCCGGGTATTAGGTTATGGGGCTATGGTAAGGTTTAAGGTTTTTGACGTTAGGGTGAAAATAACTTTCCAAAACCTTTGTAGGAACTCTTTTCCAACCTTATGGAGTTCGTTAGACCAAAAAAAAAAGAAAAATGAAAAAAAAATATTTGGGGTGTTCGGGCTTCCTGAAGGTAATACCCGGGTATTAGGTTATGGGGCTTAGGAAATGTTTAAGGTTTTTGGCGTTAGGGTTAAAATCACTGTCCAAAAACCTTTGTAGGAACTCTTTTCCAACCTTTTGGAGTTAGGTTGACCAAAAAAAAAAAAGAAAAAAGAAAAAAAATATTTGGGGTGTTCGGGCTTCCTGAAGGTAATACCCGGGTATTAGGTTTTGGTGCTAGGGTAAGGTTTGAGGTTTTTGGCATTAGGGTTAAAATCACTGTCCAAAACCTTTTTAGGAACACCTTTCAGACCTTTTGGAGTTTGTACACCAAAAAAAAAATGTAAAATGAAAAAAAAATATTTGGGGTGTTCGGGCTTCCTGAAGGTAATACCCGGGTATCAGGTTATGGGGCTATGGTAAGGTTTAAGGTTTTTGGCGTTAGGGTTAAAATCACTGTCCAAAACCTTTGTAGGAACTCTTTTCCAAACACGGAGTCAGTTAGACCAAAAAAAAATGAAAAATGAAATAAAAAATATTTGGGGTGTTCAGGCTTCCTGAAGGTAATACCCGGGTATTAGGTTATGGGGCTTAGGAAATGTTTAAGGTTTTTGGCGTTAGGGTTAAAATCACTGTCCAAAAACCTTTGTAGGAACTCTTTTCCAACCTTTTGGAGTTAGGTTGACCAAAAAAAAAAAAGAAAAAAGAAAAAAAATATTTGGGGTGTTCGGGCTTCCTGAAGGTAATACCCGGGTATTAGGTTTTGGGGCTATGGTAAGGTTTAAGGTTTTTGGCATTAGGGTTAAAATCACTGTCCAAAACCTTTTTAGGAACACGTTTCAGACCTTTTGGAGTTTGTACACCAAAAAAAAAATGTAAAATTAAAAAAAAATATTTGGGGTGTTCGGGCTTCCTGAAGGTAATACCCGGGTATTAGGTTATGGGGCTATGGTAAGGTTTAAGGTTTTTGGCGTTACGGTTAAAATCACTGTCCAAAACCTTTGTAGGAACTGTTTCTAAACTTTTGGAGTCAGTTAGACCCAAAAAAAAGAGAAAAAAAAAAAATATTTGGGGTTTTCAGGCTTCCTGGAGGTAATACCCTAATATTAGGTTTTGGGGCTAGGGTAAGGTTTGAGGTTTTTGGCGTTAGGGTTAAAATCACTGTCCAAAACCTTTTTAGGAACATGTTTCAGACCTTTTGGAGTTGGTTACATACAAAAAAAATGTAAAATGAAAAAAAAATATTTGGGGTGTTCGGGCTTCCTGAAGGTAATACCCGGGTATTAGGTTATGGGGCTATGGTAAGGTTTAAGGTTTTTGACGTTAGGGTGAAAATAACTTTCCAAAACCTTTGTAGGAACTCTTTTCCAACCTTATGGAGTTCGTTAGACCAAAAAAAAAGAAAAATGAAAAAAAAATATTTGGGGTGTTCGGGCTTCCTGAAGGTAATACCCGGGTATTAGGTTATGGGGCTTAGGAAATGTTTAAGGTTTTTGGCGTTAGGGTTAAAATCACTGTCCAAAAACCTTTGTAGGAACTCTTTTCCAACCTTTTGGAGTTAGGTTGACCAAAAAAAAAAAGAAAAAAGAAAAAAAATATTTGGGGTGTTCGGGCTTCCTGAAGGTAATACCCGGGTATTAGGTTTTGGGGCTAGGGTAAGGTTTGAGGTTTTTGGCATCAGGGTTAAAATCACTGTCCAAAACCTTTTTAGGAACACCTTTCAGACCTTTTGGAGTTTGTACACCAAAAAAAAAATGTAAAATGAAAAAAAAAAATTTGGGGTGTTCGGGCTTCCTGAAGGTAATACCCGGGTATTAGGTTATGGGGCTATGGTAAGGTTTAAGGTTTTTGACGTTAGGGTGAACATAACTTTCCAAAACCTTAGGAACTCTTTGACTTTCAACCTTATGGAGTTCGTTAGACCAAAAAAAAAAGAAAAATGAAAAAAAAATATTTGGGGTGTTCGGGCTTCCTGAAGGTAATACCCGGGTATTAGGTTATGGGGCTTAGGAAATGTTTAAGGTTTTTGGCGTTAGGGTTAAAATCACTGTCCAAAAACCTTTGTAGGAACTCTTTTCCAACCTTTTGGAGTTAGGTTGACCAAAAAAAAAAAGAAAAAAGAAAAAAAAATATTTGGGGTGTTCGGGCTTCCTGAAGGTAATACCCGGGTATTAGGTTTTGGGGCTAGGGTAAGGTTTGAGGTTTTTGGCATTAGGGTTAAAATCACTGTCCAAAACCTTTTAGGAACACCTTTCAGACCTTTTGGAGTTTGTACACCAAAAAAAAAATGTAAAATGAAAAAAAAATATTTGGGGTGTTCGGGCTTCCTGAAGGTAATACCCGGGTATTAGGTTATGGGGCTATGGTAAGGTTTAAGGTTTTTGGCGTTAGGGTTAAAATCACTGTCCAAAACCTTTGTAGGAACTCTTTTCCAAACTTTTGGAGTCAGTTAGACCAAAAAAAAATGAAAAATGAAATCAAAAATATTTGGGGTGTTCAGGCTTCCTGAAGGTAATACCCGGGTATTAGGTTATGGGGCTTAGGAAAGGTTTAAGGTTTTTGGCGTTAGGGTTAAAATCACTGTCCAAAAACCTTTGTAGGAACTCTTTTCCAACCTTTTGGAGTTAGGTTGACCAAAAAAAAAAAAGAAAAAAGAAAAAAAATGTATTTGGGGTGTTCGGGCTTCCTGAAGGTAATACCCGGGTATTAAGTTAGGGGGCTTTGGAAAGTTTTAGGGTTTTTGGCATCAGGGTTAAAATCACTGTCCAAAAACCTTTGTAGGAACTCTTTTCCAACCTTTTGGAGTTAGTTAGACCAAAAAAAAAAGAAAAAATGAAAAAAAAAAAATTGGGGTGTTCGGGCTTCCTGAAGGTAATACCCGGGTATTAAGTTATGGGGCTTTGGAAAGTTTTAGGGTTTTTGGCATCAGGGTTAAAATCACTGTCCAAAAACCTTTGTAGGAACTCTTTTCCAACCTTTTGGAGTTAGTTAGACCAAAAAAAAAAGAAAAAATGAAAAAAAAAAATTTGGGGTGTTCGGGCTTCCTGAAGGTAATACCCGGGTATTAGGTTTTGGGGCTAGGGTAAGGTTTGAGGTTTTTGGCGTTAGGGTTAAAATCACTGTCCAAAACCTTTTTAGGAACATGTTTCAGACCTTTTGGAGTTGGTTACATACAAAAAAAATGTAAAATGAAAAAAAAAATATTTGGGGTGTTCGGGCTTCCTGAAGGTAATACCCGGGTATTAGGTTATGGGGCTATGGTAAGGTTTAAGGTTTTTGACGTTAGGGTTAAAATCACTGTCCAAAACCTTTGTAGGAACTCTTTTCCAACCTTATGGAGTTCGTTAGACCAAAAAAAAAAGAAAAATGAAAAAAAAATATTTGGGGTGTTCGGGCTTCCTGAAGGTAATACCCGGGTATTAGGTTATGGGGCTTAGGAAATGTTTAAGGTTTTTGGCGTTAGGGTTAAAATCACTGTCCAAAACCTTTGTAGGAACTCTTTTCCAACCTTTTGGAGTTAGGTTGACCAAAAAAAAAAAGAAAAAAGAAAAAAAAATATTTGGGGTGTTCGGGCTTCCTGAAGGTAATAATACCCGGGTATTAGGTTATGGGGCTATGGTAAGGTTTAAGGTTTTTGACGTTAGGGTGAAAATAACTTTCCAAAACCTTTGTAGGAACTCTTTTCCAACCTTATGGAGTTCGTTAGACCAAAAAAAAAAGAAAAATGAAAAAAAAATATTTGGGGTGTTCGGGCTTCCTGAAGGTAATACCCGGGTATTAGGTTATGGGGCTTAGGAAATGTTTAAGGTTTTTGGCGTTAGGGTTAAAATCACTGTCCAAAAACCTTTGTAGGAACTCTTTTCCAACCTTTTGGAGTTAGGTTGACCAAAAAAAAAAAGAAAAAAGAAAAAAAAATATTTGGGGTGTTCGGGCTTCCTGAAGGTAATACCCGGGTATTAGGTTTTGGTGCTAGGGTAAGGTTTGAGGTTTTTGGCATCAGGGTTAAAATCACTGTCCAAAACCTTTTTAGGAACACCTTTCAGACCTTTTGGAGTTTGTACACCAAAAAAAAATGTAAAATGAAAAAAAAATATTTGGGGTGTTCGGGCTTCCTGAAGGTAATACCCGGGTATCAGGTTATGGGGCTATGGTAAGGTTTAAGGTTTTTGACGTTAGGGTGAAAATAACTTTCCAAAACCTTTGTAGGAACTCTTTTCCAACCTTTTGGAGTTCGTTAGACCAAAAAAAAAAGAAAAATGAAAAAAAAATATTTGGGGTGTTCGGGCTTCCTGAAGGTAATACCCGGGTATTAGGTTATGGGGCTTAGGAAAGGTTTAAGGTTTTTGGCGTTAGGGTTAAAATCACTGTCCAAAACCTTTGTAGGAACTCTTTTCCAACCTTTTGGAGTTAGGTTGACCAAAAAAAAAAAAGAAAAAAGAAAAAAAAATATTTGGGGTGTTCGGGCTTCCTGAAGGTAATACCCGGGTATTAGGTTTTGGGGCTAGGGTAAGGTTTGAGGTTTTTGGCATTAGGGTTAAAATCACTGTCCAAAACCTTTTTAGGAACACCTTTCAGACCTTTTGGAGTTTGTACACCAAAAAAAAAATGTAAAATGAAAAAAAAATATTTGGGGTGTTCGGGCTTCCTGAAGGTAATACCCGGGTATCAGGTTATGGGGCTATGGTAAGGTTTAAGGTTTTTGGCGTTAGGGTTAAAATCACTGTCCAAAACCTTTGTAGGAACTCTTTTCCAAACTTTTGGAGTCAGTTAGACCAAAAAAAAAATGAAAAATGAAATAAAAAATATTTGGGGTGTTCGGGCTTCCTGAAGGTAATACCCGGGTATTAGGTTATGGGGCTTAGGAAATGTTTAAGGTTTTTGGCGTTAGGGTTAAAATCACTGTCCAAAAACCTTTGTAGGAACTCTTTTCCAACCTTTTGGAGTTAGGTTGACCAAAAAAAAAAAAGAAAAAAGAAAAAAAATGTATTTGGGGTGTTCGGGCTTCCTGAAGGTAATACCCGGGTATTAGGTTTTGGGGCTAGGGTAAGGTTTGAGGTTTTTGGCGTTAGGGTTAAAATCACTGTCCAAAACCTTTGTAGGAACTCTTTTCCAACCTTTTGGAGTTAGTTAGACCAAAAAAAAAAGAAAAAATGAAAAAAAAAAATTTGGGGTGTTCGGGCTTCCTGAAGGTAATACCCGGGTATTAGGTTATGGGGCTAGGGTAAGGTTTAAGGTTTTTGGCGTTAGGGTTAAAATCACTGTCCAAAACCTTTTTAGGAACATGTTTCAGACCTTTGGTAAAAAAAGTTGTTACACAAAAAAAATGTAAAATGAAAAAAAAATATTTGGGGTGTTCGGGCTTCCTGAAGGTAATACCCGGGTATTAGGTTATGGGGCTATGGTAAGGTTTAAGGTTTTTGGCGTTAGGGTTAAAATCACTGTCCAAAACCTTTGTAGGAACTCTTTTCCAACCTTATGGAGTTCGTTAGACCAAAAAAAAAAGAAAAATGAAAAAAAAATATTTGGGGTGTTCGGGCTTCCTGAAGGTAATACCCGGGTATTAGGTTATGGGGCTTAGGGAAATGTTTAAGGTTTTTGGCGTTAGGGTTAAAATCACTGTCCAAAAACCTTTGTAGGAACTCTTTTCCAACCTTTTGGAGTTAGGTTGACCAAAAAAAAAAAAAAAAAAAGAAAAAAAAATATTTGGGGTGTTCGGGCTTCCTGAAGGTAATACCCGGGTATTAGGTTATGGGGCTATGGTAAGGTTTAAGGTTTTTGACGTCAGGGTGAAAATAACTTTCCAAAACCTTTGTAGGAACTCTTTTCCAACCTTATGGAGTTCGTTAGACCAAAAAAAAAAGAAAAATGAAAAAAAAATATTTGGGGTGTTCGGGCTTCCTGAAGGTAATACCCGGGTATTAGGTTATGGGGCTTAGGAAAGGTTTAAGGTTTTTGGCGTTAGGGTTAAAATCACTGTCCAAAAACCTTTGTAGGAACTCTTTTCCAACCTTTTGGAGTTAGGTAGACCAAAAAAAAAAAAAAAAAAAAAAAAAAATATTTGGGGTGTTCGGGCTTCCTGAAGGTAATACCCGGGTATTAGGTTTTGGGGCTAGGGTAAGGTTTGAGGTTTTTGGCATTAGGGTTAAAATCACTGTCCAAAACCTTTTTAGGAACACCTTTCAGACCTTTTGGAGTTTGTACACCAAAAAAAAAATGTAAAATGAAAAAAAAATATTTGGGGTGTTCGGGCTTCCTGAAGGTAATACCCGGGTATTAGGTTATGGGGCTATGGTAAGGTTTAAGGTTTTTGGCGTTAGGGTTAAAATCACTGTCCAAAACCTTTGTAGGAACTCTTTTCCAACCTTATGGAGTTCGTTAGACCAAAAAAAAAAAGAAAAATGAAAAAAAAAATATTTGGGGTGTTCAGGCTTCCTGAAGGTAATACCCGGGTATTAGGTTATGGGGCTTAGGAAATGTTTAAGGTTTTTGGCGTTAGGGTTAAAATCACTGTCCAAAAACCTTTGTAGGAACTCTTTTCCAACCTTTTGGAGTTAGGTTGACCAAAAAAAAAAGAAAAAAGAAAAAAAAATATTTGGGGTGTTCGGGCTTCCTGAAGGTAATACCCGGGTATTAGGTTTTGGTGCTAGGGTAAGGTTTGAGGTTTTTGGCATTAGGGTTAAAATCACTGTCCAAAACCTTTTTAGGAACACCTTTCAGACCTTTTGGAGTTTGTACACCAAAAAAAAAATGTAAAATGAAAAAAAAATATTTGGGGTGTTCGGGCTTCCTGAAGGTAATACCCGGGTATCAGGTTATGGGGCTATGGTAAGGTTTAAGGTTTTTGGCGTTAGGGTTAAAATCACTGTCCAAAACCTTTGTAGGAACTCTTTTCCAAACTTTTGGAGTCAGTTAGACCAAAAAAAAATGAAAAATGAAATAAAAAATATTTGGGGTGTTCAGGCTTCCTGAAGGTAATACCCGGGTATTAGGTTATGGGGCTTAGGTAAGGTTTAAGGTTTTTGGCGTTAGGGTTAAAATCACTGTCCAAAACCTTTGTAGGAACTCTTTTCCAACCTTTTGGAGTTAGGTTGACCAAAAAAAAAAAAGAAAAAAGAAAAAAAATGTATTTGGGGTGTTCGGGCTTCCTGAAGGTAATACCCGGGTATTAGGTTTTGGGGCTAGGGTAAGGTTTGAGGTTTTTGGCGTTAGGGTTAAAATCACTGTCCAAAACCTTTGTAGGAACTCTTTTCCAACCTTTTGGAGTTAGTTAGACCAAAAAAAAAAGAAAAAATGAAAAAAAAAAATTTGGGGTGTTCGGGCTTCCTGAAGGTAATACCCGGGTATTAGGTTTTGGGGCTAGGGTAAGGTTTGAGGTTTTTGGCGTTAGGGTTAAAATCACTGTCCAAAACCTTTTTAGGAACATGTTTCAGACCTTTTGGAGTTGGTTACATACAAAAAAAATGTAAAATGAAAAAAAAAATATTTGGGGTGTTCGGGCTTCCTGAAGGTAATACCCGGGTATTAGGTTATGGGGCTATGGTAAGGTTTAAGGTTTTTGACGTTAGGGTTGAAAATCACTGTCCAAAACCTTTGTAGGAACTCTTTTCCAACCTTATGGAGTTCGTTAGACCAAAAAAAAAATGAAAAATGAAAAAAAAATATTTGGGGTGTTCGGGCTTCCTGAAGGTAATACCCGGGTATTAGGTTATGGGGCTTAGGAAATGTTTAAGGTTTTTGGCGTTAGGGTTAAAATCACTGTCCAAAAACCTTTGTAGGAACTCTTTTCCAACCTTTTGGAGTTAGGTTGACCAAAAAAAAAAAGAAAAAAGAAAAAAAAATATTTGGGGTGTTCGGGCTTCCTGAAGGTAATACCCGGGTATTAGGTTATGGGGCTATGGTAAGGTTTAAGGTTTTTGACGTTAGGGTGAAAATAACTTTCCAAAACCTTTGTAGGAACTCTTTTCCAACCTTATGGAGTTCGTTAGACCAAAAAAAAAAGAAAAATGAAAAAAAAATATTTGGGGTGTTCGGGCTTCCTGAAGGTAATACCCGGGTATTAGGTTATGGGGCTTAGGAAATGTTTAAGGTTTTTGGCGTTAGGGTTAAAATCACTGTCCAAAAACCTTTGTAGGAACTCTTTTCCAACCTTTTGGAGTTAGGTTGACCAAAAAAAAAAAGAAAAAAGAAAAAAAAATATTTGGGGTGTTCGGGCTTCCTGAAGGTAATACCCGGGTATTAGGTTTTGGTGCTAGGGTAAGGTTTGAGGTTTTTGGCATTAGGGTTAAAATCACTGTCCAAAACCTTTTTAGGAACACCTTTCAGACCTTTTGGAGTTTGTACACCAAAAAAAAAATGTAAAATGAAAAAAAAAAATTTGGGGTGTTCGGGCTTCCTGAAGGTAATACCCGGGTATCAGGTTATGGGGCTATGGTAAGGTTTAAGGTTTTTGGCGTTAGGGTTAAAATCACTGTCCAAAACCTTTGTAGGAACTCTTTTCCAAACTTTTTGAGTCAGTTAGACCAAAAAAAAAATGAAAAATGAAAAAAAAATATTTGGGGTGTTCAGGCTTCCTGAAGGTAATACCCGGGTATTAGGTTATGGGGCTTAGGAAATGTTTAAGGTTTTTGGCGTTAGGGTTAAAATCACTGTCCAAAAACCTTTGTAGGAACTCTTTTCCAACCTTTTGGAGTTAGGTTGACCAAAAAAAAAAAAGAAAAAAGAAAAAAAATGTATTTGGGGTGTTCGGGCTTCCTGAAGGTAATACCCGGGTATTAAGTTATGGGGCTTTGGAAAGTTTTAGGGTTTTTGGCATCAGGGTTAAAATCACTGTCCAAAAACCTTTGTAGGAACTCTTTTCCAACCTTTTGGAGTTAGTTAGACCAAAAAAAAAAGAAAAAAATGAAAAAAAAAAATTTGGGGTGTTCGGGCTTCCTGAAGGTAATACCCGGGTATTAGGTTTTGGGGCTAGGGTAAGGTTTGAGGTTTTTGGCGTTAGGGTTAAAATCACTGTCCAAAACCTTTTTAGGAACATGTTTCAGACCTTTTGGAGTTGGTTACATACAAAAAAAATGTAAAATGAAAAAAAAAATATTTGGGGTGTTCGGGCTTCCTGAAGGTAATACCCGGGTATTAGGTTATGGGGCTATGGTAAGGTTTAAGGTTTTTGGCGTTAGGGTTAAAATCACTGTCCAAAACCTTTGTAGGAACTCTTTTCCAACCTTATGGAGTTCGTTAGACCAAAAAAAAAAAGAAAAATGAAAAAAAAATATTTGGGGTGTTCGGGCTTCCTGAAGGTAATACCCGGGTATTAGGTTATGGGGCTTAGGAAATGTTTAAGGTTTTTGGCGTTAGGGTTAAAATCACTGTCCAAAAACCTTTGTAGGAACTCTTTTCCAACCTTTTGGAGTTAGGTTGACCAAAAAAAAAAAAAGAAAAAAGAAAAAAAAATATTTGGGGTGTTCGGGCTTCCTGAAGGTAATACCCGGGTATTAGGTTTTGGGGCTAGGGTAAGGTTTAAGGTTTTTGGCATTAGGGTTAAAATCACTGTCCAAAACCTTTTTAGGAACACCTTTCAGACCTTTTGGAGTTTGTACACCGAAAAAAAAATGTAAAATTAAAAAAAAATATTTGGGGTGTTCGGGCTTCCTGAAGGTAATACCCGGGTATTAGGTTATGGGGCTTAGGAAATGTTTAAGGTTTTTGGCGTTAGGGTTAAAATCACTGTCCAAAAACCTTTGTAGGAACTCTTTTCCAACCTTTTGGAGTTAGGTTGACCAAAAAAAAAAAGAAAAAAGAAAAAAAAATATTTGGGGTGTTCGGGCTTCCTGAAGGTAATACCCGGGTATTAGGTTATGGGGCTATGGTAAGGTTTAAGGTTTTTGACGTTAGGGTGAAAATAACTTTCCAAAACCTTTGTAGGAACTCTTTTCCAACCTTATGGAGTTCGTTAGACCAAAAAAAAAAAGAAAAATGAAAAAAAAATATTTGGGGTGTTCGGGCTTCCTGAAGGTAATACCCGGGTATTAGGTTATGGGGCTTAGGAAAGGTTTAAGGTTTTTGGCGTTAGGGTTAAAATCACTGTCCAAAAACCTTTGTAGGAACTCTTTTCCAACCTTTTGGAGTTAGGTTGACCAAAAAAAAAAAGAAAAAAGAAAAAAAAATATTTGGGGTGTTCGGGCTTCCTGAAGGTAATACCCGGGTATTAGGTTTTGGTGCTAGGGTAAGGTTTGAGGTTTTTGGCATTAGGGTTAAAATCACTGTCCAAAACCTTTTTAGGAACACCTTTCAGACCTTTTGGAGTTTGTACACCAAAAAAAAAATGTAAAATGAAAAAAAAAAATTTGGGGTGTTCGGGCTTCCTGAAGGTAATACCCGGGTATCAGGTTATGGGGCTATGGTAAGGTTTAAGGTTTTTGACGTTAGGGTGAACATAACTTTCCAAAACCTTTGTAGGAACTCTTTCCCAACCTTATGGAGTTCGTTAGACCAAAAAAAAAAGAAAAATGAAAAAAAAATATTTGGGGTGTTCAGGCTTCCTGAAGGTAATACCCGGGTATTAGGTTATGGGGCTTAGGAAATGTTTAAGGTTTTTGGCGTTAGGGTTAAAATCACTGTCCAAAAACCTTTGTAGGAACTCTTTTCCAACCTTTTGGAGTTAGGTTGACCAAAAAAAAAAAGAAAAAAGAAAAAAAAATATTTGGGGTGTTCGGGCTTCCTGAAGGTAATACCCGGGTATTAGGTTTTGGTGCTAGGGTAAGGTTTGAGGTTTTTGGCATTAGGGTTAAAATCACTGTCCAAAACCTTTTTAGGAACACCTTTCAGACCTTTTGGAGTTTGTACACCAAAAAAAAAATGTAAAATGAAAAAAAAATATTTGGGGTGTTCGGGCTTCCTGAAGGTAATACTATGGGGCTATGGTAAGGTTTAAGGTTTTTGACGTTAGGGTGAAAATAACTTTCCAAAACCTTTGTAGGAACTCTTTTCCAACCTTATGGAGTTCGTTAGACCAAAAAAAAAAGAAAAATGAAAAAAAAATATTTGGGGTGTTCGGGCTTCCTGAAGGTAATACCCGGGTATTAGGTTATGGGGCTTAGGAAATGTTTAAGGTTTTTGGCGTTAGGGTTAAAATCACTGTCCAAAAACCTTTGTAGGAACTCTTTTCCAACCTTTTGGAGTTAGGTTGACCAAAAAAAAAAAAGAAAAAAGAAAAAAAAATATTTGGGGTGTTCGGGCTTCCTGAAGGTAATACCCGGGTATTAGGTTTTGGTGCTAGGGTAAGGTTTGAGGTTTTTGGCATCAGGGTTAAAATCACTGTCCAAAACCTTTTTAGGAACACCTTTCAGACCTTTTGGAGTTTGTACACCAAAAAAAAAATGTAAAATGAAAAAAAAATATTTGGGGTGTTCGGGCTTCCTGAAGGTAATACCCGGGTATCAGGTTATGGGGCTATGGTAAGGTTTAAGGTTTTTGACGTTAGGGTTAAAATAACTTTCCAAAACCTTTGTAGGAACTCTTTCCCAACCTTATGGATTTCGTTAGACCAAAAAAAAAGAAAAATGAAAAAAAAATATTTGGGGTGTTCAGGCTTCCTGAAGGTAATACCCGGGTATTAGGTTATGGGGCTTAGGAAAGGTTTAAGGTTTTTGGCGTTAGGGTTAAAATCACTGTCCAAAACCTTTGTAGGAACTCTTTTCCAACCTTTTGGAGTTAGGTTGACCAAAAAAAAAAAGAAAAAAGAAAAAAAAATATTTGGGGTGTTCGGGCTTCCTGAAGGTAATACCCGGGTATTAGGTTATGGGGCTAGGGTAAGGTTTGAGGTTTTTGGCGTTAGGGTTAAAATCACTGTCCAAAACCTTTTTAGGAACACCTTTCAGACCTTTTGGAGTTTGTACACCAAAAAAAAAATGTAAAATGAAAAAAAAATATTTGGGGTGTTCGGGCTTCCTGAAGGTAATACCCGGGTATCAGGTTATGGGGCTATGGTAAGGTTTAAGGTTTTTGGCGTTAGGGTTAAAATCACTGTCCAAAACCTTTGTAGGAACTCTTTTCCAAACTTTTTGAGTCAGTTAGACCAAAAAAAAATGAAAAATGAAATAAAAAATATTTGGGGTGTTCAGGCTTCCTGAAGGTAATACCCGGGTATTAGGTTATGGGGCTTAGGAAATGTTTAAGGTTTTTGGCGTTAGGGTTAAAATCACTGTCCAAAAACCTTTGTAGGAACTCTTTTCCAACCTTTTGGAGTTAGGTTGACCAAAAAAAAAAAAGAAAAAAGAAAAAAAATGTATTTGGGGTGTTCGGGCTTCCTGAAGGTAATACCCGGGTATTAAGTTATGGGGCTTTGGAAAGTTTTAGGGTTTTTGGCATCAGGGTTAAAATCACTGTCCAAAAACCTTTGTAGGAACTCTTTTCCAACCTTTTGGAGTTAGTTAGACCAAAAAAAAAAGAAAAAATGAAAAAAAAAAATTTGGGGTGTTCGGGCTTCCTGAAGGTAATACCCGGGTATTAGGTTTTGGGGCTAGGGTAAGGTTTGAGGTTTTTGGCGTTAGGGTTAAAATCACTGTCCAAAACCTTTTTAGGAACATGTTTCAGACCTTTTGGAGTTGGTTACATACAAAAAAAATGTAAAATGAAAAAAAAAACATTTGGGGTGTTCGGGCTTCCTGAAGGTAATACTCGGGTATTAGGTTATGGGGCTATGGTAAGGTTTAAGGTTTTTGGCGTTAGGGTTAAAATCACTGTCCAAAACCTTTGTAGGAACTCTTTTCCAACCTTATGGAGTTCGTTAGACCAAAAAAAAAAGAAAAATGAAAAAAAAATATTTGGGGTGTTCGGGCTTCCTGAAGGTAATACCCGGGTATTAGGTTATGGGGCTTAGGAAATGTTTAAGGTTTTTGACGTTAGGGTGAAAATAACTTTCCAAAACCTTTGTAGGAACTCTTTTCCAACCTTATGGAGTTCGTTAGACCAAAAAAAAAAGGAAAATGAAAAAAAAATATTTGGGGTGTTCGGGCTTCCTGAAGGTAATACCCGTTTATTTGGTTATGGGGCTATGGTAAGGTTTAAGGTTTTTGGCGTTACGGTTAAAATCACTGTCCAAAACCTTTGTAGGAACTGTTTCTAAACTTTTGGAGTCAGTTAGACCCAAAAAAAAAGAGAAATGAAAAAAAAATATTTGGGGTGTTCGGGCTTCCTGGAGGTAATACCCTAATATTAGGTTTTGGGGCTAGGGTAAGGTTTGAGGTTTTTGGCGTTAGGGTTAAAATCACTGTCCAAAACCTTTTTAGGAACATGTTTCAGACCTTTTGGAGTTGGTTACATACAAAAAAAATGTAAAATGAAAAAAAAAATATTTGGGGTGTTCGGGGTTCCTGAAGGTAATACCCGGGTATTAGGTTATTGGGCTATGGTAAGGTTTAAGGTTTTTGACGTTAGGGTGAAAATAACTTTCCAAAACCTTTGTAGGAACTCTTTTCCAACCTTATGGAGTTCGTTAGACCAAAAAAAAAAGGAAAATGAAAAAAAAATATTTGGGGTGTTCGGGCTTCCTGAAGGTAATACCCGTTTATTTGGTTATGGGGCTTAGGAAATGTTTAAGGTTTTTGGCGTTAGGGTTAAAATCACTGTCCAAAAACCTTTGTAGGAACTCTTTTCCAACCTTTTGGAGTTAGGTTGACCAAAAAAAAAAAGAAAAAAGAAAAAAAAATATTTGGGGTGTTCGGGCTTCCTGAAGGTAATACCCGGGTATTAGGTTTTGGTGCTAGGGTAAGGTTTGAGGTTTTTGGCATTAGGGTTAAAATCACTGTCCAAAACCTTTTTAGGAACACCTTTCAGACCTTTTGGAGTTTGTACACCAAAAAAAAAATGTAAAATGAAAAAAAAAAATTTGGGGTGTTCGGGCTTCCTGAAGGTAATACCCGGGTATCAGGTTATGGGGCTATGGTAAGGTTTAAGGTTTTTTACGTTAGGGTGAACATAACTTTCCAAAACCTTTGTAGGAACTCTTTTCCAACCTTATGGAGTTCGTTAGACCAAAAAAAAATGAAAAATGAAATAAAAAATATTTGGGGTGTTCAGGCTTCCTGAAGGTAATACCCGGGTATTAGGTTATGGGGCTTAGGGAAATGTTTAAGGTTTTTGGCGTTAGGGTTAAAATCACTGTCCAAAAACCTTTGTAGGAACTCTTTTCCAACCTTTTGGAGTTAGGTTGACCAAAAAAAAAAAGAAAAAAGAAAAAAAAATATTTGGGGTGTTCGGGCTTCCTGAAGGTAATACCCGGGTATTAGGTTTTGGTGCTAGGGTAAGGTTTAAGGTTTTTGGCATTAGGGTGAAAATAACTTTCCAAAACCTTTGTAGGAACACCTTTCAGACCTTTTGGAGTTTGTACACCGAAAAAAAAATGTAAAAAGAAAAAAAGAAAAAAAATATTTGGGGTGTTTGGGCTTCCTGAAGGTAATACCCGGGTATTAGGTTTTGGGGCTAGGGTAAGGTTTGAGGTTTTTGGCATTAGGGTTAAAATCACTGTCCAAAACCTTTTTAGGAACACGTTTCAGACCTTTTGGAGTTTGTACACCGAAAAAAAATGTAAAATTAAAAAAAAATATTTGGGGTGTTCGGGCTTCCTGAAGGTAATACCCGGGTATCAGGTTATGGGGCTATGGTAAGGTTTAAGGTTTTTGGCGTTACGGTTAAAATCACTGTCCAAAACCTTTGTAGGAACTGTTTCTAAACTTTTGGAGTCAGTTAGACCCAAAAAAAAGAGAAATGAAAAAAAAATATTTGGGGTTTTCAGGCTTCCTGGAGGTAATACCCTAATATTAGGTTTTGGGGCTAGGGTAAGGTTTGAGGTTTTTGGCGTTAGGGTTAAAATCACTGTCCAAAACCTTTTTAGGAACATGTTTCAGACCTTTTGGAGTTGGTTACATACAAAAAAAATGTAAAATGAAAAAAAAAATATTTGGGGTGTTTGGGCTTCCTGAAGGTAATACCCATTTTGCAAATAATTTTTTCAGCGACTTCAGAATATCGAATTTTTTACCAGGCCCGGTCGTCCTGCCAAATTTCATGAGTTTTCGCCAGTGGGAAGTGGGCCATTTTCCCCTTCAAAGGGGAGGAAAAATAAGAAAAAGAAAGAAAGAAAGAAAGACTAGGGCCCCGTTGGGGCACTGGCGGGCCCGAGCCGTGTCGCGCACCCCCCCCCCCAACGCGATCGCCTCCCCGTCCCATTCGCGTCCTCTGGCCATCGCCCTCTCTTGTAACGCCCATCACTGCAAAGACCCTTTTCCTTCATCGGCGTTTGCTGTTCTTCCTGCCATTGCGTGTTGCTTTCACTTACACTTGCCACAGCCAGCCTCATGAGTGCCTGGCCTGGTTTGACCTTTGCTCACCATGATTGTGTGACCTTGGTATCGGCTACTTGGGAAGTTCCACCGTCGTGGCAAAGCTTTGTTTGCGTAATGTGCTCAACCACCTATTTTCTATGGATGTGTAAGTAAACCACTTTCTTTTCTAACACAATGACACACTCATCTTTTAGGGAGAAAAATTCCTTCACAAATGTGTTGATGGCTGGACATTGAATCATCCTAGAAAACTTGGAGGCCAGTGAGGACAAAAATAAAAAGTTAGAAGACTTTTAAACATGTGGATATTTGGGTCATCTTTGGCGCCCCCTAGAACGTAAACCGTGGGGTGCAGCATCATGATTTGTACAACTTTGAATGGCCATGGGGTGTAGATTGGCCTGAGCAAATTTGGTGTCGGTGGGACGAAAGCCTTAGGAGGAGTTAGCCACATTCCAATGTGTGCGAATCGGCAAAAAATGCGAAATAGCCCTTTAACCGTACATTTTACAGATACGTGCGCATTGACTTTTTCGTAGATCTTATTGAGATACACATGATTGTCAAATTTTGTGTCAATATGACAAAGCATACAGGCGTGACACTCAACAATGTGTATTTTTACCTTAGGGGTAAAGAAAAAATGGACTTTTTTCTCCTGCCATGGGGGGGGGGCGCTCTTTTAGGGAGTAAAAATTCTTTCACACATGTGTTGATGGCTGGACATTGCATCATCCTAGAAAACTTGGAGGCCAGTGAGGACAAAAATAAAAAGTTATAAGACTTTGAAGAATGTGGATTTTTGGGTCATCTTTGGCGCCCCCTAGAATGTAAACCGTGGGGTGCAGCGTCATGATTTGTACAACTTTGAATGGCCATGGGGTATAGATTGGCCTGAGCAAATTTGATGCCGGTGGAACGAAAGCCTTCGGAGGAGTTAGCAAAATTCCAATTTGTGCGGATCGGCAAAAAATGCGAAAAAGCCCTTTTATTGTACATTTGACAGATACGCGCGCATTGAGTTTTTCGTAGATCTTATAGAGATACACGTGATTGTCAAATTTTGTGTCAATATGACAAAGCGTACAGGCATGACACTCAACAATGTGTATTTTCACCTCATGGGACAAGAAAAAATTGACTTTTTTCTCCTGCCATGGAGGGGCGCTCTTTTGGGGAGAAAAAATTCCTTCAAAATTATGTTGATGGCTGGACATTGCATCATCCTAGAAAACTTGGAGGCCAGTGAGGACTAAAATAAAAAGTTATAAGACTTTTAAGAATGTGGATTTTTGGGTTATTTTTGGCGCCCCCTAGAACCTAAACCGTGGGGTGCAGCGTCATGATTTGTACAACTTTGAATGGCCATGGGGTGTAGATTGGCCTGAGCAAATTTGGTGCCGGTGGAACGAAAGCCTTCGGAGGAGTTAGCGAAATTCCAATGTGTGCGGATCAGCAAAAAATACAAAATAGCCCTTTAACCGTACATTTGACAGGTACGCCCACACTGACTTTTTTGTAGATCTTATTGAGATACACGTGTGTGTCAATTTTTGTGTCAATATGACAAAGCGTACAAATGTGACACTCTATAGTGTGAATTTTCACCTTAGGGGGCGCTATGGAGCCATTTCGCATTTTATTGTTTGGGTGACTTCAGATTATCAAATTTTTTACCAGGCCCGGTCTTCCTGCCAAATTTCATGAGTTTTCGACGGTGGGAAGTGGGCCATTTTCCCCTTCAAAGGGGAGGAAAAATAAGAAAGAAAGAAACAAAGAAGAATCCATCAGGAATAATAGGGCTCTCGCAGCTGCTTAGCAGCTACGCTCGGGCCCTAAAGAAAGAAGAACCCATACAGGAATAATAGGGCTCTACGCCCGGCTGCTCTGCAGCTGGCTTGGGCCCTAAAGAATGAAGAAAGAAAAACCCCATCAATGACAAGAGGGCCTACGCCCACTAGTGGGCTCGGGCCCTAACTAGGGCCCCGTTGGGGCACTGGCGGGCCCGAGCCCTGTTGCGCCGCCCCCAACGCGAACGCATCCCCCTCCCGATCGCATCACACTCAAGGTCCAAAGATGGTGAGCGCACCTGTCTGTGGTCATTTACCATTATAATGAACGGAAGGTGCAGTTTCTATCAAATGCTCGCTGCAGACAAACTACATGTCCTATTTGAAAAAAGTCCGGACCATGAGTGAGGGGACAAACACAGCTAGGATATATCCAAATGGCAAGTTGCTCCTCCTTTCGGTTTTAGCGGGAGAGCAATACGTTTGAGCCATTGAGCGATGGGCAGGAAAAACTTGACTTTTTCTCCTGCCATGGGGGGTAAGGAAAATGACCAATTTTTTTTTATCAAACATTATAAAAACTGGTTATCTCTTGCAGGGCATCAAAGTCTTGAATATGTGAGAGATAAGTAATATGATTGACTTTGAGGCCTTTTAACTTTTTCTGTAGCATCAGATTTAATAGAAAGCTCCCTTTGGCGCCCCTCAGTGGCCATAACTACCTTGTCTGCTGTTAATAGACAACTCCCTTTGGCGCCACTCAGTGGCCAAAAGTTCTTTGTCTGCTGTAAAATCAAATTGGATTCATATTTTTTCCAGATTTTTCTTTTTTACATCTCTTATTTTACTTCTGCCCTGTTCAAAACTAGCAAATGTTTCATTGAAAATATTTTTTTAACCCTTTAAGAGCCCATTCAAGACATAAAGTCACTAATATAGCAAAAATTTGAGCCTTTTAGCTTTTTCTGTAGCATCAGATTTAATAAACGAATCCCTTTGGCGCCTCTCAGTGGCCATGACTACTTTGTCTGCTGTTAATAGAAAACTCCCTTTGGCGCCACTCAGTGGCCAAAACTACTTTGTCTGCTGTAATGTATATTTGGGTCATCTTTGGCGCCCCCTAGAACGTAAACCGTGGGGTGCAGCATCATGATTTTGAACTTTGAATGGCCATGGGTTGTAGATTGGCCTGAGCAAATTTGGTGTCGGTGGGACGAAAGCCTTAGGAGGAGTTAGCAACATTCCAATGTGTGCGAATCGGCAAAAAATGCGAAATAGCCCTTTAACCGTACAATTGACAGATACGCGCGCATTGACTTTTTCGTAGATCTTATTGAGATACACGTGTGTGTCAAATTTTGTGTCAATATGAGAAAGTGTATAGGCGTGACACTCAACAAAGTGTATTTTCACCTTAGTGGACAAGAAAAAATGGACTTTTTTCTCCTGCCATGGGGGGGCGCTCTTTTGGGGAGTAAAAATTCCTTCTCAAATGTGTTGATGGCTGGACATTGCATTATCCTAGAAAACTTGGAGGCCAGTGAGGACCTAAAATAAAAAGTTATAAGACTTTTAAGAATGTGGATTTTGGGTTTTTTTTTGGCGCCCCCTAGAACTTAAACCGTAGGGTGCAGCGTCATGATTTGTACAACTTTTAATGGCCATGGGATGTAGATTGGCCTGAGCAAATTTGGTGCCGGTGGAACGAAAGCCTTCAGAGGAGTTAGCCACATTCCAATGTGTGCGGACCGGCAAAAAATGCGAAATAGCCCTTTAACCGTACTTTTCACAAAAGCGCCTGCACTGACTTTTTCGTAGACCTTATTAAGATACACGTGTGTGTCAATTTTTGTATCAATATGACAAAGCGTACAGACGTGGTTTTTGGCGTTAGGGTTAAAATCACTGTCCAAAACCTTTGTAGGAACTCTTTTCCAACCTTTTGGAGTTAGCTAGACCAAAAAAAAAAACGAAAAATGAAAAAAAAAATGTTTGGGGTTTGAAGGCTTCCTGAAGGTAATACCCGGGTATTAGGTTACGGGGCTATGGTCAGGTTTAAGGTTTTTGGCGTTAGGGTTAAAATCACTGTCCAAAACCTTTTTAGGAACATGTTTCAGAACTTTTGGAGTTTGTTACACCAAAAAAAAAATGTAAAATGAAAAAAAATATATTTGGGGTGTTCGGGCTTCCTGAAGGAAATACCCAGGTATTAGGTTATGGGGCTATGGTAAGGTCTAAGGTTTTTGGCATTAGGGTTAAAATCACTGTCCAAAACCTTTGTTGGAATAAGTTTCAGACCTTTGGGAGTTAGTTACACCAAAAAGAAATGAAAAGTGAAAAAAAAATATTTGGGGTGTTCGGGCTTCCTGAAGGTAATACCCAGATATTAGGTTATGGGGCGAGGGGAAGGTTTAAGGCTTTTGGCGTTAGGGTTAAAATCACTGTCCAAAACCTTTGTAGGAACTCTTTTCCAAGCTTTTGGAGTTATTTAGACCAAAAAAATGAATAAAAAAATATTTGGGGTTTTCGGGCTTCCTGAAGGTAATACCCAGGTTATTAGGTTATGGGGCTAGGGGAAGGTTTAAGGTTTTGGCGTTAGGGTTAAAATCACTGTCCAAAACCTTTTTAGGAACATGTTTCAGAACTTTTGGAGTTTGTTACACCAAAAAAAAAAGTAAAATGAAAAAATATATATTTGGGGTGTTCGGGCTTCCTGAAGGTAATACCCAGGTATTAGGTTATGGGGCTATGGTAAGGTCTAAGGTTTTTGGCATTAGGGTAAAAATCACTGTCCAAAACCTTTGTGGGAACAAGTTTCAGACCTTTTGGAGTTAGTTACACCAAAAATAAATGAAAAGTGAAAAAAAAATATTTGGGGGGTTCGGGCTTCCTGAAGGTAATACCCAGGTATTAGATTATGGGGCTAGGGGAAGGTTTAAGGCTTTTGGCGTTAGGGTTAATATCACTGTCCAAAACCTTTGTAGGAACTCTTTTCCAACCTTTTGGAGTTAGTTAGACCAAAAAAAAAAGAAAAATGAAAAAAAAATATTTGGGGTGTTCGGGCTTCCTGAAGGTAATACCCGGGTATTAGGTTATGGGGCTTAGGAAATGTTTAAGGTTTTTGGCGTTAGGGTTAAAATCACTGTCCAAAAACCTTTGTAGGAACTCTTTTCCAACCTTTTGGAGTTAGGTTGACCAAAAAAAAAAAAAAAAAAGAAAAAAAAATATTTGGGGTGTTCGGGCTTCCTGAAGGTAATACCCGGGTATTAGGTTTTGGTGCTAGGGTAAGGTTTGAGGTTTTTGGCATTAGGGTTAAAATCACTGTCCAAAACCTTTTTAGGAACACCTTTCAGACCTTTTGGAGTTTGTACACCAAAAAAAAAATGTAAAATGAAAAAAAAATATTTGTGGTGTTCGGGCTTCCTGAAGGTAATACCCGGGTATCAGGTTATGGGGCTATGGTAAGGTTTAAGGTTTTTGGCGTTAGGGTTAAAATCACTGTCCAAAACCTTTGTAGGAACTCTTTTCCAAACACGGAGTCAGTTAGACCAAAAAAAAATGAAAAATGAAATAAAAAATATTTGGGGTGTTCAGGCTTCCTGAAGGTAATACCATACCAGTGATTTTAACCATTTTACCGGGTATTAGGTTTTGGGGCTTAGGAAATGTTTAAGGTTTTTGGCGTTAGGGTTAAAATCACTGTCCAAAAACCTTTGTAGGAACTCTTTTCCAACCTTTTGGAGTTAGGTTGACCAAAAAAAAAAAGAAAAAAGGAATAAAAAATATTTGGGGTGTTCGGGCTTCCTGAAGGTAATACCCGGGTATTAGGTTTTGGGGCTAGGGTAAGGTTTGAGGTTTTTGGCATTAGGGTTAAAATCACTGTCCAAAACCTTTTTAGGAACACGTTTCAGACCTTTTGGAGTTAGTTAGACCAAAAAAAAAAGGAAAAAGGAATAAAAAATATTTGGGGTGTTCGGGCTTCCTGAAGGTAATACCCGGGTATTACGTTTTGGGGCTAGGGTAAGGTTTGAGGTTTTTGGCATTAGGGTTAAAATCACTGTCCAAAACCTTTTTAGGAACACGTTTCAGACCTTTTGGAGTTTGTACACCGAAAAAAAAATGTAAAAATTAAAAAAAAATATTTGGGGTGTTCGGGCTTCCTGAAGGTAATACCCGGGTATCAGGTTATGGGGCTATGGTAAGGTTTAAGGTTTTTGGCGTTACGGTTAAAATCACTGTCCAAAACCTTTGTAGGAACTGTTTCTAAACTTTTGGAGTCAGTTAGACCCAAAAAAAAAAGAGAAATGAAAAAAAAATATTTGGGGTTTCCAGGCTTCCTGGAGGTAATACCCTAATATTAGGTTTTGGGGCTAGGGTAAGGTTTGAGGTTTTTGGCGTTAGGGTTAAAATCACTGTCCAAAACCTTTTTAGGAACATGTTTCAGACCTTTTGGAGTTGGTTACATACAAAAAAAATGTAAAATGAAAAAAAAAATATTTGGGGTGTTCGGGCTTCCTGAAGGTAATACCCGGGTATTAGGTTATGGGGCTATGGTAAGGTTTAAGGTTTTTGACGTTAGGGTGAAAATAACTTTCCAAAACCTTTGTAGGAACTCTTTTCCAACCTTATGGAGTTCGTTAGACCAAAAAAAAAAGAAAAATGAAAAAAAAATATTTGGGGTGTTCGGGCTTCCTGAAGGTAATACCCGGGTATTAGGTTATGGGGCTTAGGAAATGTTTAAGGTTTTTGGCGTTAGGGTTAAAATCACTGTCCAAAAACCTTTGTAGGAACTCTTTTCCAACCTTTTGGAGTTAGGTTGACCAAAAAAAAAAAAGAAAAAAGAAAAAAAAATATTTGGGGTGTTCGGGCTTCCTGAAGGTAATACCCGGGTATTAGGTTTTGGTGCTAGGGTAAGGTTTGAGGTTTTTGGCATTAGGGTTAAAATCACTGTCCAAAACCTTTTTAGGAACACCTTTCAGACCTTTTGGAGTTTGTACACCAAAAAAAAAATGTAAAAAGAAAAAAGAAAAAAAAATATTTGGGGTGTTCGGGCTTCCTGAAGGTAATACCCGGGTATTAGGTTTTGGGGCTAGGGTAAGGTTTGAGGTTTTTGGCATTAGGGTTAAAATCACTGTCCAAAACCTTTTTAGGAACACGTTTCAGACCTTTTGGAGTTTGTACACCGAAAAAAAAATGTAAAATTAAAAAAAAATATTTGGGGTGTTCGGGCTTCCTGAAGGTAATACCCGGGTATCAGGTTATGGGGCTATGGTAAGGTTTAAGGTTTTTGGCGTTACGGTTAAAATCACTGTCCAAAACCTTTGTAGGAACTGTTTCTAAACTTTTGGAGTCAGTTAGACCCAAAAAAAAAGAGAAATGAATAAAAAATATTTGGGGTTTTCAGGCTTCCTGGAGGTAATACCCGGGTATTAGGTTTTGGGGCTAGGGTAAGGTTTGAGGTTTTTGGCGTTAGGGTTAAAATCACTGTCCAAAACCTTTTTAGGAACATGTTTCAGACCTTTTGGAGTTGGTTATACAAAAAAAAAATGTAAAATGAAAAAAAAATATTTGGGGTGTTCGGGCTTCCTGAAGGTAATACCCGGGTATTAGGTTATGGGGCTATGGTAAGGTTTAAGGTTTTTGACGTTAGGGTGAACATAACTTTCCAAAACCTTTGTAGGAACTCTTTTCCAACCTTATGGAGTTCGTTAGACCAAAAAAAAAAAGAAAAATGAAAAAAAAATATTTCGGGTGTTCGGGCTTCCTGAAGGTAATACCCGGGTATTAGGTTATGGGGCTTAGGAAATGTTTAAGGTTTTTGGCGTTAGGGTTAAAATCACTGTCCAAAAACCTTTGTAGGAACTCTTTTCCAACCTTTTGGAGTTAGGTTGACCAAAAAAAAAAAGAAAAAAGAAAAAAAAATATTTGGGGTGTTCGGGCTTCCTGAAGGTAATACCCGGGTATTAGGTTTTGGGGCTAGGGTAAGGTTTGAGGTTTTTGGCATTAGGGTTAAAATCACTGTCCAAAACCTTTTTAGGAACACGTTTCAGACCTTTTGGAGTTTGTACACCAAAAAAAAAATGTAAAATGAAAAAAAAAAAATTTGGGGTGTTCGGGCTTCCTGAAGGTAATACCCGGGTATCAGGTTATGGGGCTATGGTAAGGTTTAAGGTTTTTTACGTTAGGGTGAACATAACTTTCCAAAACCTTTGTAGGAACTCTTTTCCAACCTTATGGAGTTCGTTAGACCAAAAAAAAAAGAAAAATGAAAAAAAAAAATTTGGGGTGTTCAGGCTTCCTGAAATGTTTAAGGTTTTTGGCGTTAGGGTTAAAATCACTGTCCAAAAACCTTTGTAGGAACTCTTTTCCAACCTTTTGGAGTTAGGTTGACCAAAAAAAAAAAGAAAAAAGAAAAAAAATGTATTTGGGGTGTTCGGGCTTCCTGAAGGTAATACCCGGGTATCAGGTTATGGGGCTATGGTAAGGTTTAAGGTTTTTGGCGTTAGGGTTAAAATCACTGTCCAAAACCTTTGTAGGAACACGTTTCAGACCTTTTGGAGTTTGTACACCGAAAAAAAAATGTAAAATTAAAAAAAAATATTTGGGGTGTTCGGGCTTCCTGAAGGTAATACCCGGGTATCAGGTTATGGGGCTATGGTAAGGTTTAAGGTTTTTGGCGTTAGGGTTAAAATCACTGTCCAAAACCTTTGTAGGAACACCTTTCAGACCTTTTGGAGTTTGTACACCAAAAAAAAAATGTAAAAAGAAAAAAGAAAAAAAAATATTTGGGGTGTTCGGGCTTCCTGAAGGTAATACCCGGGTATTAGGTTTTGGGGCTAGGGTAAGGTTTGAGGTTTTTGGCATTAGGGTTAAAATCACTGTCCAAAACCTTTTTAGGAACACGTTATGGGGCTTAGGAAATGTTTAAGGTTTTTGGCGTTAGGGTTAAAATCACTGTCCAAAAACCTTTGTAGGAACTCTTTTCCAACCTTTTGGAGTTAGGTTGACCAAAAAAAAAAAGAAAAAAGAAAAAAAAATATTTGGGGTGTTCGGGCTTCCTGAAGGTAATACCCGGGTATTAGGTTTTGGGGCTAGGGTAAGGTTTGAGGTTTTTGGCATTAGGGTTAAAATCACTGTCCAAAACCTTTTTAGGAACACGTTTCAGACCTTTTGGAGTTTGTACACCGAAAAAAAAAAGTAAAATAAAAAAAAATATTTGGGGTGTTCGGGCTTCCTGAAGGTAATACCCGGGTATCAGGTTATGGGGCTATGGTAAGGTTTAAGGTTTTTGGCGTTAGGGTTAAAATCACTGTCCAAAACCTTTGTAGGAACTGTTTCTAAACTTTTGGAGTCAGTTAGACCCAAAAAAAAAGAGAAATGAAAAAAAAATATTTGGGGTTTTCAGGCTTCCTGGAGGTAATACCCTAATATTAGGTTTTGGGGCTAGGGTAAGGTTTGAGGTTTTTGGCGTTAGGGTTAAAATCACTGTCCAAAACCTTTTTAGGAACATGTTTCAGACCTTTTGGAGTTGGTTACATACAAAAAAAATGTAAAATGAAAAAAAAAATATTTGGGGTGTTCGGGCTTCCTGAAGGTAATACCCGGGTATTAGGTTATTGGGCTATGGTAAGGTTTAAGGTTTTTGACGTTAGGGTGAAAATCACTGTCCAAAACCTTTGTAGGAACTCTTTTCCAACCTTATGGAGTTCGTTAGACCAAAAAAAAAAGAAAAATGAAAAAAAAATATTTGGGGTGTTCGGGCTTCCTGAAGGTAATACCCGGGTATTAGGTTATGGGGCTTAGGAAATGTTTAAGGTTTTTGGCGTTAGGGTTAAAATCACTGTCCAAAAACCTTTGTAGGAACTCTTTTCCAACCTTTTGGAGTTAGGTTGACCAAAAAAAAAAAAGAAAAAAAAAAAAAAATATTTGGGGTGTTCGGGCTTCCTGAAGGTAATACCCGGGTATTAGGTTTTGGGGCTAGGGTAAGGTTTGAGGTTTTTGGCATTAGGGTTAAAATCACTGTCCAAAACCTTTTTAGGAACACCTTTCAGACCTTTTGGAGTTTGTACACCAAAAAAAAAATGTAAAAAGAAAAAAGAAAAAAAATATTTGGGGTGTTCGGGCTTCCTGAAGGTAATACCCGGGTATTAGGTTATGGGGCTTAGGAAAGGTTTAAGGTTTTTGGCGTTAGGGTTAAAATCACTGTCCAAAACCTTTGTAGGAACTCTTTTCCAACCTTTTGGAGTTAGGTTGACCAAAAAAAAAATGAAAAATGAAAAAAAATATTTGGGGTGTTCGGGCTTCCTGAAGGTAATACCCGGGTATTAGGTTATGGGCTATGGTAAGGTTTAAGGTTTTTGGCATTAGGGTTAAAATCACTGTCCAAAACCTTTTAGGAACTCGTTTCAACCTTTTGGAGTTAGTTACACCAAAAAAAATGAAAAATGAAAAAAAAATATTTGGGGTGTTCGGGCTTCCTGAAGGTAATACCCGGGTATTAGGTTATGGGGCTATGGTAAGGTTTAAGGTTTTTGGCGTTAGGGTTAAAATCACTGTCCAAAACCTTTGTAGGAACTCTTTTCCAACCTTTTGGAGTTAGTTAGACCAAAAAAAAAGAAAAATGAAAAAAAAATATTTGGGGTTTTCAGGGTTCCTGAAGGTAATACCCGGGTATTAGGTTTTGGGGCTAGGGTAAGGTTTGAGGTTTTTGGCGTTAGGGTTAAAATCACTGTCCAAAACCTTTTTAGGAACATGTTTCAGACCTTTTGGAGTTGGTTACATACAAAAAAAATGTAAAATGAAAAAAAAAATATTTGGGGTGTTCGGGCTTCCTGAAGGTAATACCCGGGTATTAGGTTATGGGGCTATGGTAAGGTTTAAGGTTTTTGACGTTAGGGTGAAAATCACTGTCCAAAACCTTTTTAGGAACACCTTTCAGACCTTTTGGAGTTTGTACACCAAAAAAAAAATGTAAAATGAAAAAAAAATATTTGGGGTGTTCGGGCTTCCTGAAGGTAATACCCGGGTATCAGGTTATGGGGCTATGGTAAGGTTTAAGGTTTTTGGCGTTAGGGTTAAAATCACTGTCCAAAACCTTTGTAGGAACTCTTGTCCAAACACGGAGTCAGTTAGACCAAAAAAAAAAGAAAAATGAAATAAAAAATATTTGGGGTGTTCAGGCTTCCTGAAGGTAATACCCGGGTATTAGGTTATGGGGCTTAGGAAATGTTTAAGGTTTTTGGCGTTAGGGTTAAAATCACTGTCCAAAAACCTTTGTAGGAACTCTTTTCCAACCTTTTGGAGTTAGGTTGACCAAAAAAAAAAGAAAAAAGAAAAAAAATGTATTTGGGGTGTTCGGGCTTCCTGAAGGTAATACCCGGGTATCAGGTTATGGGGCTATGGTAAGGTTTAAGGTTTTTGGCGTTAGGGTTAAAATCACTGTCCAAAACCTTTTTAGGAACACGTTTCAGACCTTTTGGAGTTTGTACACCGAAAAAAAAATGTAAAATTAAAAAAAAATATTTGGGGTGTTCGGGCTTCCTGAAGGTAATACCCGGGTATCAGGTTATGGGGCTATGGTAAGGTTTAAGGTTTTTGGCGTTAGGGTTAAAATCACTGTCCAAAACCTTTGTAGGAACACCTTTCAGACCTTTTGGAGTTTGTACACCAAAAAAAAAATGTAAAAAGAAAAAAGAAAAAAAAATATTTGGGGTGTTCGGGCTTCCTGAAGGTAATACCCGGGTATTAGGTTTTGGGGCTAGGGTAAGGTTTGAGGTTTTTGGCATTAGGGTTAAAATCACTGTCCAAAACCTTTTTAGGAACACGTTTCAGACCTTTTGGAGTTTGTACACCGAAAAAAAAATGTAAAATTAAAAAAAAATATTTGGGGTGTTCGGGCTTCCTGAAGGTAATACCCGGGTATCAGGTTATGGGGCTATGGTAAGGTTTAAGGTTTTTGGCGTTAGGGTTAAAATCACTGTCCAAAACCTTTGTAGGAACTGTTTCAAACTTTTGGAGTCAGTTAGACCAAAAAAAAGAAAAATGAAAAAAAAATATTTGGGGTGTTCAGGCTTCCTGAAGGTAATACCCGGTATTAGGTTTTGGGGCTAGGGTAAGGTTTGAGGTTTTTGGCGTTAGGGTTAAAATCACTGTCCAAAACCTTTTTAGGAACATGTTTCAGACCTTTTGGAGTTGGTTACATACAAAAAAAATGTAAAATGAAAAAAAAAAAATATTGGGGTGTTCGGGCTTCCTGAAGGTAATACCCGGGTATTAGGTTATTGGGCTATGGTAAGGTTTAAGGTTTTTGACGTTAGGGTGAAAATCACTGTCCAAAACCTTTGTAGGAACTCTTTTCCAACCTTATGGAGTTCGTTAGACCAAAAAAAAAAAGAAAAATGAAAAAAAAATATTTGGGGTGTTCGGGCTTCCTGAAGGTAATACCCGGGTATCAGGTTATGGGGCTATGGTAAGGTTTAAGGTTTTTGGCGTTACGGTTAAAATCACTGTCCAAAACCTTTGTAGGAACTGTTTCTAAACTTTTGGAGTCAGTTAGACCCAAAAAAAAGAGAAATGAAAAAAAAATATTTGGGGTTTTCAGGCTTCCTGGAGGTAATACCCTAATATTAGGTTTTGGGGCTAGGGTAAGGTTTGAGGTTTTTGGCGTTAGGGTTAAAATCACTGTCCAAAACCTTTTTAGGAACATGTTTCAGACCTTTTGGAGTTGGTTACATACAAAAAAAATGTAAAATGAAAAAAAAATATTTGGGGTGTTCGGGCTTCCTGAAGGTAATACCCGGGTATTAGGTTTTTGGGCTATGGTAAGGTTTAAGGTTTTTGACGTTAGGGTGAAAATCACTGTCCAAAACCTTTGTAGGAACTCTTTTCCAACCTTTTGGAGTTAGGTTGACCAAAAAAAAAATGTAAAAAGAAAAAAGAAAAAAAAATATTTGGGGTGTTCGGGCTTCCTGAAGGTAATACCCGGGTATTAGGTTTTGGGGCTAGGGTAAGGTTTGAGGTTTTTGGCATTAGGGTTAAAATCACTGTCCAAAACCTTTTTAGGAACACGTTTCAGACCTTTTGGAGTTTGTACACCGAAAAAAAAATGTAAAATTAAAAAAAAATATTTGGGGTGTTCGGGCTTCCTGAAGGTAATACCCGGGTATCAGGTTATGGGGCTATGGTAAGGTTTAAGGTTTTTGGCGTTAGGGTTAAAATCACTGTCCAAAACCTTTGTAGGAACTGTTTCTAAACTTTTGGAGTCAGTTAGACCCAAAAAAAAGAGAAATGAAAAAAAAATATTTGGGGTTTTCAGGCTTCCTGGAGGTAATACCCTAATATTAGGTTTTGGGGCTAGGGTAAGGTTTGAGGTTTTTGGCGTTAGGGTTAAAATCACTGTTCAAAACCTTTTTAGGAACATGTTTCAGACCTTTTGGAGTTGGTTACATACAAAAAAAATGTAAAATGAAAAAAAAAATATTGGGGTGTTCGGGTTTCCTGAAGGTAATACCCGGGTATTAGGTTATTGGTCTATGGTAAGGTTTAAGGTTTTTGACGTTAGGGTTAAAATCACTGTCCAAAACCTTTTTAGGAACACCTTTCAGACCTTTTGGAGTTTGTACACCAAAAAAAAAATGTAAAATGAAAAAAAAATATTTGTGGTGTTCGGGCTTCCTGAAGGTAATACCCGGGTATCAGGTTATGGGGCTATGGTAAGGTTTAAGGTTTTTGGCGTTAGGGTTAAAATCACTGTCCAAAACCTTTGTAGGAACTCTTGTCCAAACACGGAGTCAGTTAGACCAAAAAAAAATGAAAAATGAAATAAAAAATATTTGGGGTGTTCAGGCTTCCTGAAGGTAATACCCGGGTATTAGGTTATGGGGCTTAGGAAATGTTTAAGGTTTTTGGCGTTAGGGTTAAAATCACTGTCCAAAAACCTTTGTAGGAACTCTTTTCCAACCTTTTGGAGTTAGGTTGACCAAAAAAAAAAAGAAAAAAGAAAAAAAATGTATTTGGGGTGTTCGGGCTTCCTGAAGGTAATACCCGGGTATCAGGTTATGGGGCTATGGTAAGGTTTAAGGTTTTTGGCGTTAGGGTTAAAATCACTGTCCAAAACCTTTGTAGGAACTCTTTTCCAAACTTTTGGAGTCAGTTAGACCAAAAAACAATGAAAAATGAAATAAAAAATATTTGGGGTGTTCAGGCTTCCTGAAGGTAATACCCGGGTATTAGGTTATGGGGCTTTGGAAAGTTTTAGGGTTTTTGGCATCAGGGTTAAAATCACTGTCCAAAAACCTTTGTAGGAACTCTTTTCCAACCTTTTGGAGTTAGTTAGACCAAAAAAAAAAAGAAAAAAGAAAAAAAAATATTTGGGGTGTTCGGGCTTCCTGAAGGTAATACCCGGGTATTAGGTTTTGGGGCTAGGGTAAGGTTTGAGGTTTTTGGCATTAGGGTTAAAATCACTGTCCAAAACCTTTTAGGAACACGTTTCAGACCTTTTGGAGTTTGTACACCGAAAAAAAAATGTAAAATTAAAAAAAAATATTTGGGGTGTTCGGGCTTCCTGAAGGTAATACCCGGGTATCAGGTTATGGGGCTATGGTAAGGTTTAAGGTTTTTGGCGTTAGGGTTAAAATCACTGTCCAAAACCTTTTTAGGAACACCTTTCAGACCTTTTGGAGTTTGTACACCAAAAAAAAAATGTAAAAAGAAAAAAGAAAAAAAAATATTTGGGGTGTTCGGGCTTCCTGAAGGTAATACCCGGGTATTAGGTTTTGGGGCTAGGGTAAGGTTTGAGGTTTTTGGCATTAGGGTTAAAATCACTGTCCAAAACCTTTTTAGGAACACGTTTCAGACCTTTTGGAGTTTGTACACCGAAAAAAAAATGTAAAATTAAAAAAAAATATTTGGGGTGTTCGGGCTTCCTGAAGGTAATACCCGGGTATCAGGTTATGGGGCTATGGTAAGGTTTAAGGTTTTTGGCGTTACGGTTAAAATCACTGTCCAAAACCTTTGTAGGAACTGTTTCTAAACTTTTGGAGTCAGTTAGACCCAAAAAAAAGAGAAATGAAAAAAAAATATTTGGGGTTTTCAGGCTTCCTGGAGGTAATACCCTAATATTAGGTTTTGGGGCTAGGGTAAGGTTTGAGGTTTTTGGCGTTAGGGTTAAAATCACTGTCCAAAACCTTTTTAGGAACATGTTTCAGACCTTTTGGAGTTGGTTACATACAAAAAAAATGTAAAATGAAAAAAAAAATATTTGGGGTGTTCGGGCTTCCTGAAGGTAATACCCGGGTATTAGGTTATGGGGCTATGGTAAGGTTTAAGGTTTTTGACGTTAGGGTGAAAATAACTTTCCAAAACCTTTGTAGGAACTCTTTTCCAACCTTATGGAGTTCGTTAGACCAAAAAAAAATGAAAAATGAAATAAAAAATATTTGGGGTGTTCAGGCTTCCTGAAGGTAATACCCGGGTATTAGGTTATGGGGCTTAGGAAATGTTTAAGGTTTTTGGCGTTAGGGTTAAAATCACTGTCCAAAAACCTTTGTAGGAACTCTTTTCCAACCTTTTGGAGTTAGGTTGACCAAAAAAAAAAAAAGAAAAAAGAAAAAAAAATATTTGGGGTGTTCGGGCTTCCTGAAGGTAATACCCGGGTATTAGGTTTTGGTGCTAGGGTAAGGTTTAAGGTTTTTGGCATTAGGGTGAAAATAACTTTCCAAAACCTTTGTAGGAACACCTTTCAGACCTTTTGGAGTTTGTACACCAAAAAAAAAATGTAAAAAGAAAAAAGAAAAAAAAATATTTGGGGTGTTTGGGCTTCCTGAAGGTAATACCCGGGTATTAGGTTTTGGGGCTAGGGTAAGGTTTGAGGTTTTTGGCATTAGGGTTAAAATCACTGTCCAAAACCTTTTTAGGAACACGTTTCAGACCTTTTGGAGTTTGTACACCGAAAAAAAAATGTAAAATTAAAAAAAAATATTTGGGGTGTTCGGGCTTCCTGAAGGTAATACCCGGGTGTCAGGTTATGGGGCTATGGTAAGGTTTAAGGTTTTTGGCGTTACGGTTAAAATCACTGTCCAAAACCTTTGTAGGAACTGTTTCTAAACTTTTGGAGTCAGTTAGACCCAAAAAAAAGAGAAATGAAAAAAAAATATTTGGGGTTTTCAGGCTTCCTGGAGGTAATACCCTAATATTAGGTTTTGGGGCTAGGGTAAGGTTTGAGGTTTTTGGCGTTAGGGTTAAAATCACTGTCCAAAACCTTTTTAGGAACATGTTTCAGACCTTTTGGAGTTGGTTACATACAAAAAAAATGTAAAATGAAAAAAAAAATATTTGGGGTGTTTGGGCTTCCTGAAGGTAATACCCATTTTGCAAATAATTTTTTCAGCGACTTCAGAATATCGAATTTTTTACCAGGCCCGGTCGTCCTGCCAAATTTCATGAGTTTTCGCCAGTGGGAAGTGGGCCATTTTCCCCTTCAAAGGGGAGGAAAAATAAGAAAAAGAAAGAAAGAAAGAAAGACTAGGGCCCCGTTGGGGCACTGGCGGGCCCGAGCCGTGTCGCGCACCCCCCCCCCAACGCGATCGCCTCCCCGTCCCATTCGCGTCCTCTGGCCATCGCCCTCTCTTGTAACGCCCATCACTGCAAAGACCCTTTTCCTTCATCGGCGTTTGCTGTTCTTCCTGCCATTGCGTGTTGCTTTCACTTACACTTGCCACAGCCAGCCTCATGAGTGCCTGGCCTTGTTTGACCTTTGCTCACCATGATTGTGTGACCTTGGTATCGGCTACTTGGGAAGTTCCACCGTCGTGGCAAAGCTTTGTTTGCGTAATGTGCTCAACCACCTATTTTCTATGGATGTGTAAGTAAACCACTTTCTTTTCTAACACAATGACACACTCATCTTTTAGGGAGAAAAATTCCTTCACAAATGTGTTGATGGCTGGACATTGAATCATCCTAGAAAACTTGGAGGCCAGTGAGGACAAAAATAAAAAGTTAGAAGACTTTTAAACATGTGGATATTTGGGTCATCTTTGGCGCCCCCTAGAACGTAAACCGTGGGGTGCAGCATCATGATTTGTACAACTTTGAATGGCCATGGGGTGTAGATTGGCCTGAGCAAATTTGGTGTCGGTGGGACGAAAGCCTTAGGAGGAGTTAGCCACATTCCAATGTGTGCGAATCGGCAAAAAATGCGAAATAGCCCTTTAACCGTACATTTTACAGATACGTGCGCATTGACTTTTTCGTAGATCTTATTGAGATACACATGATTGTCAAATTTTGTGTCAATATGACAAAGCATACAGGCGTGACACTCAACAATGTGTATTTTTACCTTAGGGGTAAAGAAAAAATGGACTTTTTTCTCCTGCCATGGGGGGGGGGCGCTCTTTTAGGGAGTAAAAATTCTTTCACACATGTGTTGATGGCTGGACATTGCATCATCCTAGAAAACTTGGAGGCCAGTGAGGACAAAAATAAAAAGTTAGAAGACTTTTAAGAATGTGGATTTTTGGGTCATCTTTGGCGCCCCCTAGAATGTAAACCGTGGGGTGCAGCGTCATGATTTGTACAACTTTGAATGGCCATGGGGTATAGATTGGCCTGAGCAAATTTGATGCCGGTGGAACGAAAGCCTTCGGAGGAGTTAGCAAAATTCCAATTTGTGCGGATCGGCAAAAAATGCGAAAAAGCCCTTTTATTGTACATTTGACAGATACGCGCGCATTGAGTTTTTCGTAGATCTTATAGAGATACACGTGATTGTCAAATTTTGTGTCAATATGACAAAGCGTACAGGCATGACACTCAACAATGTGTATTTTCACCTCATGGGACAAGAAAAAATTGACTTTTTTCTCCTGCCATGGAGGGGCGCTCTTTTGGGGAGAAAAAATTCCTTCAAAATTATGTTGATGGCTGGACATTGCATCATCCTAGAAAACTTGGAGGCCAGTGAGGACTAAAATAAAAAGTTATAAGACTTTTAAGAATGTGGATTTTTGGGTTATTTTTGGCGCCCCCTAGAACCTAAACCGTGGGGTGCAGCGTCATGATTTGTACAACTTTGAATGGCCATGGGGTGTAGATTGGCCTGAGCAAATTTGGTGCCGGTGGAACGAAAGCCTTCGGAGGAGTTAGCGAAATTCCAATGTGTGCGGATCAGCAAAAAATACAAAATAGCCCTTTAACCGTACATTTGACAGGTACGCCCACACTGACTTTTTTGTAGATCTTATTGAGATACACGTGTGTGTCAATTTTTGTGTCAATATGACAAAGCGTACAAATGTGACACTCTATAGTGTGAATTTTCACCTTAGGGGGCGCTATGGAGCCATTTCGCATTTTATTGTTTGGGTGACTTCAGATTATCAAATATTTCACCAGGCCCGGTCTTCCTGCCAAATTTCATGAGTTTTCGACAGTGGGAAGTGGGCCATTTTCCCCTTCAAAGGGGAGGAAAAATAAGAAAGAAAGAAACAAAGAAGAATCCATCAGGAATAATAGGGCTCTACGCCCGGCTGCTCTGCAGCTGGCTCGGGCCCTAAAGAAAGAAGAACCCATACAGGAATAATAGGGCTCTACGCCCGGCTGCTCTGCAGCTGGCTTGGGCCCTAAAGAATGAAGAAAGAAAAACCCCATCAATGACAAGAGGGCCTACGCCCACTAGTGGGCTCGGGCCCTAACTAGGGCCCCGTTGGGGCACTGGCGGGCCCGAGCCCTGTTGCGCCGCCCCCAACGCGAACGCATCCCCCTCTCGATCGCATCACACTCAAGGTCCAAAGATGGTGTGCGCACCTGTCTGTGGTCATTTACCATTATAATGAACGGAAGGTGCAGTTTCTATCAAAACGCTCGCTGCAGACAAACTACATGTCCTATTTGAAAAAAGTCTGGACCATGAGTGAGGGGACAAACACAGCTAGGATATATCCAAATGGCAAGTTGCTCCTCCTTTCGGTTTTAGCGGGAGAGCAATACGTTTGAGCCATTGAGCGATGGGCAGGAAAAACTTGACTTTTTCTCCTGCCATGGGGGGTAAGGAAAATGACCAATTTTTTTTTATCAAACATTATAAAAACTGGTTATCTCTTGCAGGGCATCAAAGTCTTGAATATGTGAGAGATAAGTAATATGATTGACTTTGATGCCTTTTAACTTTTTCTGTAGCATCAGATTTAATAGAAAGCTCCCTTTGGCGCCCCTCAGTGGCCATAACTACCTTGTCTGCTGTTAATAGACAACTCCCTTTGGCGCCACTCAGTGGCCAAAAGTACTTTGTCTGCTGTAAAATCAAATTGGATTCATATTTTTTCCAGATTTTTCTTTTTTACATCTCTTATTTTACTTCTGCCCTGTTCAAAACTAGCAAATGTTTCATTGAAAATATTTTTTTAACCCTTTAAGAGCCCATTCAAGACATAAAGTCACTAATATAGCAAAAATTTGAGCCTTTTAGCTTTTTCTGTAGCATCAGATTTAATAAACAAATCCCTTTGGCGCCTCTCAGTGGCCATGACTACTTTGTCTGCTGTTAATAGAAAACTCCCTTTGGCGCCACTCAGTGGCCAAAACTACTTTGTCTACTGTAATGTATATTTGGGTCATCTTTGGCGCCCCCTAGAACGTAAACCGTGGGGTGCAGCGTCATGATTTTGAACTTTGAATGGCCATGGGTTGTAGATTGGCCTGAGCAAATTTGGTGTCGGTGGGACGAAAGCCTTAGGAGGAGTTAGCAACATTCCAATGTGTGCGAATCGGCAAAAAATGCGAAATAGCCCTTTAACCGTACATTTCACAGATACGTGTGCATTGACTTTTTCGTAGATCTTATTGAGATACACGTGTGTGTCAAATTTTGTGTCAATATGACAAAGTCTATAGGCGTGACACTCAACAAAGTGTATTTTCACCTTAGGGGACAAGAAAAAATGGACTTTTTTCTCCTGCCATGGGGGGGCGCTCTTTTGGGGAGTAAAAATTCCTTCTCAAATGTGTTGATGGCTGGACATGGCATTATCCTAGAAAACTTGGAGGCCAGTGAGGACTAAAATAAAAAGTTATAAGACTTTTAAGAATGTGGATTTTTGGGTTTTTTTTGGCGCCCCCTAGAACTTAAACCGTAGGGTGCAGCGTCATGATTTGTACAACTTTTAATGGCCATGGGGTGTAGATTGGCCTGAGCAAATTTGGTGCCGGTGGAACGAAAGCCTTCAGAGGAGTTAGCCACATTCCAATGTGTGCGGACCGGCAAAAAATGCGAAATAGCCCTTTAACCGTACTTTTCACAAAAGCGCCTGCACTGACTTTTTCGTAGACCTTATTAAGATACACGTGTGTGTCAATTTTTGTATCAATATGACAAAGCGTACAGACGTGGTTTTTGGCGTTAGGGTTAAAATCACTGTCCAAAACCTTTGTAGGAACTCTTTTCCAACCTTTTGGAGTTAGCTAGACCAAAAAAAAAAAACGAAAAATGAAAAAAAAAATGTTTGGGGTTTGAAGGCTTCCTGAAGGTAATACCCGGGTATTAGGTTACGGGGCTATGGTGAGGTTTAAGGTTTTTGTCGTTAGGGTTAAAATCACTGTCCAAAACCTTTGTAGGATCTGCTTTTCCAACCTTTTTGAGTTAGTTAGACAAAAAAAAAAAAAACGAAAAATGAAATGAAAATTTTTTTGGGTGTGGGTCCATGTTAATTTTGTTGACGAAAAATTTTCGTCATAGTCATCGTCAACGACCTTTTTTTTCTGACTAAAACGAGACGATAACTTGATAAAAAGTAATTCACAAGGCCTAAGACGATAACGAAGTGTATTGACATGTTTGTCAACGAATAAAAACGAGACGAAAATGTCTGCCAGAGACGTGATCCAATCAGAGCTCATTTTGTTTGTGGAAGGAAATGACGATTTTAGAAAGAGGCGGGAGGAGTTGGGAGGGAGAACCAATCAGAGCGACGTGGTTAGGATGTTTGAGACCGAGCCCGGCAAAGGCGAAATGTCCCCGCGCTCCTCGTCGTGCTCAGCTGAAAATGTCAACAACAGCAGGGAGGAAGAGGCGTCAGGATGTGTGGACGCACTTTACTTTCGATTTAAAGGACAACAAAACACTTTGCAAAAACTGTGGAGCAAAAATAACCGGGAAAAACACAACGAATCTGAAGAGGCACCTGGAGTCGAGCCACCATGATATATACGCTCAGGTAAGCATGAATGAATGAATGGATGAAACCTGCTCCATAACGTTAACCTAACGTTACATTTTAACATAACACACAAGGCTCTGAACATACGTGAACTCACTCACTAGCCTGGTTATTTTTTTGCTCTTTTGTTAAACCCACACCGCCATGTGCATTTTCTTTCAACGGGGGCTCTCTGATAAATCAATCTCGTTAATTATCATTTAACGTTACGGTGCGGGTCGTCGGGGGCGATACCAATACACCACTGCTGTTCTGTTAAGCTAAAGGTACCTGCTGGCTGCTGATTTAAATGCATATAATTCATTTAACTATTTTGTTGGTGTTAAAAATGAACTCTACCGTCCTTTTTTCTTCATCACAGCTACAGAAGACTTCAGGTGACCTCGATGGGCCACAGGGTGCCAAGAAAAAGAAAGGAACAGTTTTGGCTGCCTTTTTGAATGTTTTGAAACATAAATAAAATGAATTACAAGTGGAATCTGTCTGTGTGTTAATTGAACAGTTGTTCTTATTATTACCCTTTTTACTTTTTAGTTGACTAAATCTATTGTAATTTTCATCGACTAAAACTCTTGTGATATTAGTCGACTAAAACTAGACTAAACTAAAAAGATTTCAGATGACTAAAATATGACTAAAACTAAGTAGTGTTTTAGTCAAAAGACTAAGACTAAAACTAAATCAGAATTTGTTGTCAAAATTAACACTGGTGTGGGTAAGAGATAGAGTGATAGCCCCCACATTCGTCAGTTGCCTTGGCGGTTTGGGGTAGGCTAATCAAGGGCTTGCACTGGCCGGCACATGTCAACCTGTCACATGTTCCCAGTCGAGTCTCCGAGCTCAATCTGTGTGTAAAAATTATGTGTTGGTAGAAAGTTTAATGACTCAGCTCAGTTGGTATGCTATGCTGTCTATCTTTTAGACTATGTGTTTGTAGAGCAATTATTTTTGGAGGTTCAGTTAGGGAGTAGAGTTGGTATGGTTAAGTGTAAAATAATAATAATAATAATAATAATAATAATAATAATAATAATAATATTATTATTATTATTAATAATAATTTTTCTTATTGAGAAGGACTAGGTGGTGTTCGTAGGGAGGGAATAGGGTGAATTTTATCTATAGGAGTAGGGTTATGGTGCATTAGTGCAAAGTCTCAGAGTTGCCACAAACTTCAAACACGACACAAACTCAAGTTCAAAAACACCACAAACTCAAGTTCAAAAACGACACAAACTGAAGTTCAACAAACAAAACTAACTATTAAGAGTAATTTTGAGGTGTTTGAGAGGTTTTTCGTAGACTTACCCTAGTGGTCCTATGTTGTTGTTGATGTGAGGCGTTTCTTTTCCAGTAGTCTAAAATCTGTCGGAGGGGGGAAAAGGTTCCAGCTGTCCAGCCGCGGCGGCAGCGGTGTGTCTGAAGTCCGGGGTCCTCGGCGGGGGAAAGAAGATAGGCGCTCCGCGGGAAGGTTTGCTGGGACTCGGTGCCGTCGGCGGGGCGAAGCTCGGTGGTGGGCGGCTTGGAGTGATGGAGGTGCGGCGTCTTCTTTCAGGTGGCGGCGCGGCGTCTTCCTCGAGGCGGTGGTCCGTCTTCTTGGTCCAGTGGTCAGTGCTCATTTACAGGAACAGGAATTGCTGTTTAGTGCACAGCACTTAAATGTGCTTTTGACAGGAGAAGACTTCCTCAGAGTTGGGCTCCAGTCATGGTTTGTGCTGTTCCTCTCAGACATGGTTGTGTTCTCTTCTCGATGTTTGTATTCCAGAATGGATGTCTCTTGGTTGTATTTTAAACTTTCAAGTTGTTTTAAGTTAATTTTAATGTAGTTTTGTTTTAAATTGAGTTTTGCTACATTAAATTTGTATGCAATGGTAAGGGATTGTGGGTATTTTAGTTCTCAGGGATGAGAGCCTAAGGAATCAATCTTCCTGTTACAGCAAAGGATTGTGGGTAAAACCGTGAGTGAGGGAGGTACATTTTTCCTGGCATGAGAACCTCAGGAGTCAGTCCTTCCTAAGAAAAAAGAGGGGAGGGGGGAAGAAAAACAAAAGCACAGGAACCCTAAAATAAAATAAAATAAAATAATATAAAACAATGAAAAAATAAAAAAATAAAAAAATAAAAGAAGAACAAAAGTGGATTGCAAAAGGGAAAGGGGAAGAAAAAAGGAAAAAAAGAAGTGTCAAGAGCAAATAGCAAAAATCAGAAGTGAGCTTAAAAACAGAGAACAGTTCCCTAAAAGACAGACAGAAATGTAAATTTGATCAATGTCCTAAGGGAAAATCTGCACGTGTATGTGTGTTCTTTTTTGCAAGCTTAGTCTGGTGTCACTGATGGTCAGTTATTAATAAGTATTTATTATTTAAATTTTTGATGAAGTTGTTTGTAGTGGGGTTAGCTGGCTAATTTTAGAGTGTTAAAAAAGATGTTAGAGGGGGAGGATTTAGGGGACACGGCGGTTCCCCTTCAGGTCTCTCTTAATCCTCCATATAGGTGACCCAACAGGGGTTACCCCCCGGCCTGGGTAGGCCTAGGCTGAAGATCACCTATTTGTCCTCTGTGAAGGTGAAAATAAAGGGGCAGGGGAGGGAATAAGAAAGAGGGGGTGTGTTAGAGAGAGGGGGAGAGATGAGGGAGAGAGATGAGGGAGAGAGAGAGAGAGAGAGAGGGGTGTGTGTGTGTGTGAGAGAGAGAGAAGGGAAGAGGGAGAGGGGGGTTTAAGGGAGAGGTGGAGATGGTGGAAAATAAAGATTGGTGAGGGGGATTTGGTGGCGGATGAAACATCCCATAGCTCCCCTGCTCTCACCATCCATGTGAGGAGAGTGAGCAAGGGACATAGTCCCCCGACCCGACTAGGTCTAGGCTCTGCTCTCCTCACGGTCCTCACAAGATACAAAGAGATCTGTAAACGTGGAAGTGAGAGTTCTCTAGGCAGAGTTTTGGGTTTGGTTTGAGCTGAGTTGGTCAGTTGATTATTGATTACTATTTTAAGTTCTAAAAGTGGATAGAGTCAAAAAGTCACAGAGGATTGTGGTGGGAGCAGGTGGTCCGTCTGGCACCATTCTGCTCATGCAGGGATTCGAGTTATAGAAAGAGAATAGATCTTGCCACCGTGACTCGCCATTGAGACTCTCCTCACCTGCTGGTTTTCATCCTCTGATAGGAGAGAGAGGTACAGATCAGGAGAGAGGGAGAAAAGGAGGGAGGCAGGGTGGGGTCAGTAGTTAATTTGTCTTGAAAAGTATTTATCTTTTCGTCATTGCTGTTAGGGTTTAGATGTTTTTTGTTTAGTTATCTGAGGAATGTAGTGTTAGTATAGGTTCCAAGGTGGAGAATTCTTTGGAATTCACTTTCACCCTTGAAACTGGAAGATCTTAGATTCTATAGGTTGTGTGCACAGAAGGAGCATGGGCTCAGACTATTCTCTGAATGATATTGTGACAAGTCTGTCCGAAGGCAAGTGGCTGGTTAGGTGTGGGAAAGAGATAGAGTGATAGCCTTCGCTTTTGTCAGTTGACTTGGCGGTTTGGGGTAGGCTGATCAAGGGCTTGCACTGGCCGGCGCATGTCGACCTGTCACATGTTCCAGTCGAGTCTCCGAGCTCAATCTGTGTGTAAAAATTATGTGTTGGTAGAAAGTTTAATGACTCAGCTCAGTTGGTATGCTATGCTGTCTATCTTTTAGACTATGTGTTTGTAGAGCAATATTATGTATATATTATTTTACAGGGCTAGGAAAATGTTAAAGGTTTTTGGTGTTAGGGTTAAAATCACTGTCCAAAACCTTTGTAGGAACTCTTTTCCAACATTTTGGAGGGAGCTAGACTAAAAAAAAAAAAAAAAGAAAAGAAAAAAAAGTTTTTGGGGGTGTTAAGACTTCCTGAAGGTAATACCCAGGTATTAGGTTACGGGGCTAGGGTAAGGTTTAAGGTTTTTGGCGTATGGGTTAAAATCACTGTCCAAAACCTTTGTAGGAACTCTTTTCCAACCTTTTGGAGTTAGTTAGACCAAAAAAAAGAAAAAGAAAAAAAATGTTTGGGGTGTTAAGGCTTCCTAAAGGTAATACCCGGGTATAAGCTTATGAGGCTATGGTAAGGTTTAAGGTTTTTGGCGAAAGGGTTAAAATCACTGTCCAAAACCTTTGTAGGAACTCTTTTCCAACCTTTTGGAGTTAGTTACACCAAAAAACAATGAAAAATGAAAAAAAAATATTTGGGGTTTTCGGGCTTCCTGAAGGTAATACCCGGGTTATTAGGTTATGGGGCGAGGGTAAGGTTTAAGGTTTTTGGCGTTAGGGTTAAAATCACTGTCCAAAACCTTTTTAGGAACATGTTTCAGACCTTTTGGAGTTAGTTACACCAAAAAAAATGTAAAATGAAAAAAAAATATTTGGGGTGTTCGGGCTTCCTGAAGGTAATACCCAGGTATTAGGTTATGGGGCTATGGTAAGGTCTAAGGTTTTTGGCATTAGGGTTAAAATCACTGTCCAAAACCTTTGTTGGAATAAATTTCAGACCTTTTGGAGTTAGGTAGACCAAAAAGAAATGACAAGTGAAAAAAAAATATTTGGGGTGTTCGGGCTTCCTGAAGGTAATACCCAGGTATTAGGTTATGGGGCGAGGGGAAAGTTTAAGGCTTTTGGCGTTAGGGTTAAAATCACTGTCCAAAACCTTTGTAGGAACTCTTTTCCAAGCTTTTGGAGTTAGTTAGACCAAAAAAAAATTGAAAATGAAATAAAAAATATTTGGGGTTTTCGGGCTTCCTGAGGGTAATACCCAGGTTACTAGGTTATGGGGCTAGGGGAAGGTTTAAGGTTTTTGGCGTTAGGGTTATAATCACTGTCCAAGACCTTTTTAGGAAAATGTTTCAGAACTTTTGGATTTTGTTACACCAAAAAAAAAAGTAAAATGAAAAAATATATATTTGGGGTGTTCGGGCTTCCTGAAGGTAATACCCAGGTATTAGGTTATGGGGCTATGGTAAGGTCTAAGGTTTTTGGCATTAGGGTTAAAATCACTGTCCAAAACCTTTGTGGGAACAAGTTTCAGACCTTTTGGAGTTAGTTGCACCAAAAAGAAATGAAAAGTGAAAAAAAAAATATTTGGGGGGTTCGGGCTTCCTGAAGGTAATACCCAGGTATTAGGTTATGGGGCTAGGGGAAGGTTTAAGGCTTTTGGCATTAGGGCATAAATCACTGTCCAAAACCTTTGTAGGAACTCTTTTCCAACCTTTTGGAGTTAGTTAGACCAAAAAAAAAGAAAAAAGGAAAAAAAAATATTTGGGGTTTTCGGGCTTCCTGAAGGTATTAGGTTATGGGGCTTTGGAAAGGCTTAAGGTTTTTGGCGTTAGGATTAAAATCAATGTCCAAAACCTTTTTAGGAAAATGTTTCAGACCTTTTGGAGTTAGTTACACCAAAAAAAATGTAAAATGAAAAAAAAATATTTGGGGTGTTCGGGCTTCCTGAACGTAATACATGGGTATTAGGTTTTGGGGCTAGGGAAAGGTTTAAGGTTTTTGGCGTTAGGGTTAAAATCACTGTCCAAAGCCTTTGTAGGAACTCTTTTCCAACCTTTTGGAGTTAGGTAGACCAAAAAAAATGAAAAATGAAAAAAAAAATATTAGGGGTGTTCGGGCTTCCTGAAGGTAATACCCGGGTATTAGGTTATGGGGCTTTGGAAAGGTTTAAGGTTTTTGGCGTTAGGGTTAAAATCACTGTCCAAAACCTTTGTAGGAACTCTTTTCCAACCTTTTGGAGTTAGTCAGAACAAAAAAAAGATGAAAAATAAAAAATATATATTTGGGGTGTTCGGGCTTCCTGAAGGTAATACCCGTATTAGGTTATGGGGCTACGGTAAGGTTTAAGGTTTTTGGCGTTAGGGTTAAAATCACTGTCCAAAAAATTTTTAGGAACATGTTTCAGACCTTTTGGAGTTTGTACACCAAAAAAAAAAGAAAAATGAAAAAAAAAAATTTGGGGTGTTCGGGCTTCCTGAAGGTAATACCCGGGTATCAGGTTATGGGGCTATGGTAAGGTTTAAGGTTTTTGGCGTTAGGGTTAAAATCACTGTCCAAAACCTTTGTAGGAACTCTTTTCCAACCTTTTGGAGTTATTTAGACCAAAAAAAAAAAAAATAAATAAATAAAAAAAATGTATTTGGGGTGTTCGGGTTTCCTGAAGGTAATACACGGGTATTAGGTTACGGGGCTTAGGAAAGGTTTAAGGTTTTTGGCGTTAGGGTTAAAATAATTGTCCAAAACCTTTGTAGGAACTCTTTTCCAACCTTTTGGAGTCAGTTAGACCAAAAAAAAAGAAAAAAGAAAAAAATATATTTGCGGTTTTCAGGCTTCCTGGAGGTAATACCCGGGTATTAGGTTATGGGGCTTAGGAAAGGTTTAAGGTTTTTGGCGTTAGGGTTAAAATAACTGTCCAAAACCTTTTTAGGAACATGTTTCAGACCTTTTGGAGTTGGTTACACCAAAGATAAATGTAAAATGAAAAAAAAATATTTGGGGTGTTCGGACTTCCTGAAGGTAATACCCGGGTATTAGGTTATGGGGCTATGGTAAGGGTTCAGTTTTTTGGCATTAGGGTTAAAATTATTGTCCAAAACCTTTGTAGGAACTCTTTTCCAAGCTTTTGGAGTTAGTTAGACCAAAAAAAAATGAAAAATGAAATAAAAAATATTTGGGGTGTTCGGGCTTCCTGAAGGTAATACCCGGGTATTAGGTTATGGGGCTATGGTAAGGTTTAAGGTTTTTGGCATTCGGGTTAAAATCACTGTCCAAAACCTTTGTAGGAACTCTTTTCCAAGCTTTCGGAGTTAGACCAAAAAAAATGAAAAATGAAAAAAAAATATTTGGGGTGTTCGGGCTTCCTGAAGGTATTAACCGGGTATTAGGTTATGGGGCTTTGGAAAGTTTTAGGGTTTTTGGCATTTGGGTTAAAATCACTGTCCAAAACCTTTGTAGGAACTCTTTTCCAACATTTCGGAGTTAGTTAGACCAAAAAAAAGATGAAAAAAAATATATATATATTTGGGGGGTTCGGGCTTCCTGAAGGTAATACCCGGGTATTAGGTTATGGGGCTATGGTAAGGTTTAAGGTTTTTGGTGTTAGGGTTAAAATCACTGTCTAAAACCTTTGTAGGAACTCTTTTCCAAGCTTTCAGAGTTAGTTAGACCAAAAAAAAATGAAAAATGAAATAAAAATATTTTTTTTTTTCGGGCTTCCTGAAGATAATACCCGGGTATTAGGTTATGGGGCTATGGTATGGGTTAAGGTTTTTGGCGTAAGGGTTAAAATCACTGTCCAAAACCTTTGTAGGAAATCTTTTCCAACATTTTGGAGTTAGTTAGACCAAAAAAAATGAAAAATGAAAAAAAAATATTTGGGGTGTTCGTGCTTCCTGAAGGTAATACCCGGGTATTAGGTTATGGGGCTTTGGAAAGTTTTAGGGTTTTTGGCATTAGGGTTAAAATCACTGTCCAAAACCTTTGTAGGAAATCTTTTCCAACATTTCGGAGTTCGTTAGACCAAAAAAAAGACGAAAAAAAATATATATATATTTGGGGTGTTTGGGCTTCCTTATGGTAATACCCGGGTATTAGGTTATGGGGCTATGGTAAGGTTTAAGGTTTTTGGCATTCGGGTTAAAATCACTGTCCAAAACCTTTGTAGGAACTCTTTTCCAACCTTTTGGAGTTAGTTAGACCAAAAAAAAAATAAAAAAGAAAAAAAGAAATTTGGGGTTTTCGGACTTCCTGAAGGTAATACCCGGGTATTAGGTTATGGGGCTAAGGTAAGGTTTAAGGTTTTTGGCATTAGGGTTAAAATCACTGTCCAAAACCTTTTTAGGAACATGTTTCAGACCTTTTGCATTTGGTTAAACCAAAAAAATGAAAAAAAAATATTTGGGGTGTTCGGGCTTCCTGAAGGTAATACCCGGGTATTAGGTTATGGGGCTTTGGAAAGTTTTAGGGTTTTTGGCATTAGGGTTAAAATCACTGTCCAAAACCTTTGTAGGAACTCTTTTCCAACATTTCGGAGTTCGTTAGACCAAAAAAAAGATGAAAAAAAAATATATATATTTGGGGTGTTCGGGCTTCCTTAAGGTAATACCCGGGTATTAGATTATGGGGCTTTGGTAAGGTTTAAATTTTTTATGTGTTAGGGTTAAAATCACTGTCCAAAGCCTTTGTAGGAACTCTTTTCCAACCTTTTGGAGTTAGTTAGACCAAAAAAACATGAAAAATAAAAAAATATATATTTGGGGTGTTCGGGCATCCTGAAGGTAATACCCCGGTATTAGGTTTTGGGGCTAGGGTAAGGTTTTAGGTTTTTGGCGTTAAGGTTAAAATCAATGTCCAAAACCTTTGGAGGAACTCTTTTCCAAGCCTTTGGAGTTAGTTAGACCAAAAAAACATGAAAAATAAAAAAATATATATTTGGGGTGTTCGGGCATCCTGAAGGTAATACCCCGGTATTAGGTTATGGGGCTATGGTAAGGGTTAAGGTTTTTGGATTAGGGTTAAAATCACTTTCGAAAACCTTTTTAGGAACATGTTTCAGACCTTTTGCTGTTGGTTGAACCAAAAAAAAATGTAAAATGAAAAAAATATATTTGGGGTGTTCGGGCTTCCTGAAGGACCTAATAGGTTATGGGACTATGGTAAGGTTTAAGGTTTTTGGCGTTAGGGTTAAAACCACTGTCCAAAACCTTTGTAGGAACTCTTTTCCAACCTTTTGGAGTTAGGTAGACCAAAAAAAAAAATGTAAAATGAAAAAAAAATATTTGGGGTTTTCAGGCTTCCTGAAGGTAATACCCGGGTATTAGGTTATGGGGCTAGGGTAAGGTTTGAGGTTTTTGGCGTTAGGGTTAAAATCACTGTCCAAAGCCTTTGTAGGAACTCTTTTCCAACCTTTTGGAGTTAGTTAGACCAAAAAAAATGTAAAATGAAAAAAAAATATTTGGGGTGTTCGGGCTTCCTGAAGATATTACCCCGGTATTAGGTTATGGGGCTATGGTAAGGGTTAAGGTTTTTGGATTAGGGTTAAAATCACTGTCCAAAACCTTTTTAGGAACATGTTTCAGACCTTTTGCAATTGGTTAAACCAAAAAAAAAAGTAAAATGAAAAAAATATATTTGGGGTGTTCGGGCTTCCTGAAGGACCTATTAGGTTATGGGACTATGGTAAGGTTTAAGGTTTTTGGCGTTAGGGTTAAAACCACTGTCCAAAACCTTTGTAGGAACTCTTTTCCAACCTTTTGGAGTTAGTTAGACCAAAAAAAATGAAAAATGAAATAAAAATATTTGGGGTGTTCGGGCTTCCTGAAGGTCATCCTCGGGTATTAGGTTTTGGGGCTAGGGTAAGGTTTAAGGTTTTTGGCGTAAGGGTTAAAATCCCTGTCCAAAACCTTTGTAGGAACTCTTTTCCAACCTTTTGGAGTTAGACCAAAAAAGAATGAAAAATGAAAAGAAAATATTTTGGGTTTTCGGGCTTCCTGAAGGTAATACCCAGGTATTAGGTTATGGGGCTAGGTTTAGGTTTAAGGTTTTTGGCATTAGGGTTAAAATCACTATCCGAAACCTTTGTAGGAACTCTTTTCCAACAGTTCGGAGTTAGTTAGACCAAAAAAAAAATTGAAAAATTAAATAAAAAATATTTGGGTTGTTCAGGCTTCCTGAAGGTAATACCCGGGTATTAGGTTATGGGGCTAGGGTAAGGTTTTAGGTTTTTGGCGTTAGGGTTAAAATCAATGTCCAAAACCTTTGGAGGAACTCTTTTCCAAGCTTTCGGAGTTAGTTAGACAAAAAAAAAGAAAAAAGAAAAAAATATATTTGGGGTTTTCAGGCTTCCTGGAGGTAATACCCGGGTATTAGGTTATGGGGCTTAGGAAAGGTTTAAGGTTTTTGGCGATAGGGTTAAAATAACTGTCCAAAACCTTTTTAGGAACATGTTTCAGACCTTTTGCCGTTGGTTACACCAAAAAAAAATGTAAAATGAAAAATAAATATTTTGGGTGTTCGGGCTTCCTGAAGGTAATACCCGGGTATTAGGTTATGGGGCGATGGTAAGGGTTCCGTTTTTTGGCGGTAGGGTTAAAATTATTGTCCAAAACCTTTGTAGGAACTCTTTTCCAACCTATTGGAGTCAGTTAGACCAAAAAAAAAGAAAAAAGAAAAAAATACATTTGGGGTTTTCAGGCTTCCTGGAGGTAATACCCGGGTATTAGGTTATGGGGCTTAGGAAAGGTTTAAGGTTTTTTGCGATAGGGTTAAAATAACTGTCCAAAACCTTTTTAGGAACATGTTTCAGACCTTTTGGAGTTGGTTACACCAAAAAAAAATGTTAAATGAAAAAAAAAATTTGGGGTGTTCAGGCTTCCTGAAGGACCTATTAGGTTCTGGGAGTATGGTAAGGTTTAAGGTTTTTGGCGTTAGGGTTAAAACCACTGTCCAAAACCTTTGTAGGAACTCTCTTCCAACCTTTTGGAGTTAGTTAGACCAAAAAAAAAAAGAAAAAAGAAAAAATTAATTTGGGGTTTTCGGGCTTCCTGAAGGTAATACCCGGGTATTAGGTTATGGGGCTAGGGTAAGGTTTAAGGTTTTTGGCGTTAGGGTTAAAATCACTGTCCAAAACCTTTGGGAACATGTTTCAGAGCTTTTGCAGTTGGTTAAACCAAAAAAAATGAAAAAAAAATATTTGGGGTGTTCGGGCTTCCTGAAGGTAATACCCGGGTATCAGGTTATGGGGCTATGGTAAGGTTTAAGGTTTTTGGCGTTAGGGTTAAAATCACTGTCCAAAACCTTTGTAGGAACTCTTTTCCAACCTTTTGGAGTTAGTTAGACCAAAAAAAAAAGAAAAAAGGAAAAAAAAATATTTGGGGTTTTCGGGCTTCCTGAAGGTAATACCCGGGTATTAGGTTATGGGGCTTTGGAAAGGCTTAAGTTTTTTGGCGTTAGGATTAAAATCACTGTCCAAAACCTTTTTAGGAACATGTTTCAGACCTTTTGGAGTTAGTTACACCAAAAAAAATGTAAAATGAAAAAAAAATATTTGGGGTGTTCGGGCTTCCTGAAGGTAATACATGGGTATTAGGTTATGGGGCTTTGGAAAGGTTTAAGGTTTTTGGTGTTAGGGTTAAAATCACTTCCCAAAACCTTTGTAGGAACTCTTTTCCAACCTTTTGGAATTAGTCAGAACAAAAAAAGATGAAAAATAAAAAATATATATTTGGGGTGTTCGGGCTTCCTGAAGGTAATACCCGGATATCAGGTTATGGGGCTTTGGAAAGGTTTAAGGTTTTTGGCGTTAGGGTTAAAATCACTTCCCAAAACCTTTGTAGGAACTCTTTTCCAACCTTTTGGAGTTAGTCAGAACAAAAAAAAGATGAAAAATAAAAAATATATATTTGGGGTGTTCGGGCTTCCTGAAGGTAATACCCGGATATCAGGTTATGGGGCTATGGTAAGGTTTAAGGTTTTTGGCGTTAGGGTTAAAATCACTGTCCAAAACCTTTGTAGGAACTCTTTTCCAACCTTTTGGAGTTAGTTAGACCAAAAAAAAAAAGAAAAAAGAAAAAAAAAAATTGGGGGGTTTCGGGCTTCCTGAAGGTAATACGTTATGGGGGCTAGGGTGAGGTTTAAAGTTTTTGGCGTTACGGTTAAAATCAATGTCCAAAACCTTTTTAGGAAAATGTTTCAGACCTTTTGGAGTTAGTTACACCAAAAAAAAATGTAAAATGAAAAAAAAATATTTGGGGTGTTCGGGCTTCCTGAAGGTAATACCCGGGTATTAAGTTATGGGGCTATGGTAAGTTTTAAGGTTTTTGGCGTTAGGGTTAAAATCACTGTCCAAAACCTTTGTAGCAACTGTTTTCCAACCTTTTGGAGTTAGTTAGACCAAAAAAATGAAAAATGAAAAAAAAGTATTTGGGGTGTTCGGGCTTCCTGAAGGTAATACATTGGTATTAGGTTTTGGGGCTAGGGTAAGGTTTGAGGTTTTTGGCGTTAGGGTTAAAATCAATGTCCAAAACCTTTGTAGGAACTCTTTTCCAACCTTATGGAGTAAGTTAGACCAAACAAAAAAAGAAAAATGAAATAAAAAATATACGGGGTGTTCAGGCTTCCTGAAGGTAATACCCGGGTATTTGGTTAAGGGGTTATGGTAAGGTTTAAGGTTTTTGGCGTTAAGGTTAAAATCACTGTCCAAAACCTTTGTTGGAACTGTTTTCAGACCTTTTGGAGTTAGTTAGACCAAAAAAATGAAAAATGGAAAAAAAAAATTATTTGGGGTTTGAGGTTTTTGGCATTAGGGTTAAAATCACTGTCCAAAACCTTTGTAGGAACTCTTTTCCAAGCTTTTGGAGTTAGTGAGACCAAAAAAAATGAAAAATGAAAAAAAAAATATTTGGGGTGTTCGGGCTTCCTGAAGGTAATACCCGGGTATTAGGTTATGGGGCTTATGAAACATTTAAGGTTTTTGGTGTTAGGGTTAAAATCAATGTCCAAAACCTTTGTAGGAACTCTTTTCCAACCTTTTGGAGTTAGTTAGACCAAAAAAAAAAAGAAAAATGAAAAAAAAAATATTTGGGGTGTTCGGGCTTCCTGAAGGTAATACCCGGGTATCAGGTTATGGGGCGATGGTAAGGGTTCAGTTTTTTGGCGGTAGGGTTAAAATTTTTGTCCAAAACCTTTGTAGGAACTCTTTTCCAACCTATTGGAGTTAGTTAGACCAAAAAAAAATGAAAAATGAAAAAAAAATATTTGGGGTTTTCGGGCTTCCTGAAGGCAATACCCGGGAATCAGTTTCTGGGGCTTTGGAAAGGTTTAAGGTTTCTGGCGTTAGGGTTAATATCACTGTCCAAAACCTTTGTAGGAACTCTTTTCCAAGCTTTTGGAGTTAGTTAGACCAAAAAAAAATGAAAAATGAAATAAATATATTTGGGGTGTTCGGGCTTCCTGAAGGTAATACCCGGGTATTAGGTTATGGGGCTAGGGTAAGGTTTTAGGTTTTTGGCGTTAGGGTTAAAATCAATGTCCAAAACCTTTGTAGGAACTCTTTTCCAACCTTTTGGAGTCAGTTAGACCAAAAAAAAAAGAAAAAAGAAAAAAATACATTTGGGGTTTTCAGGCTTCCTGGAGGTAATACCCGGGTATTAGGTTATGGGGCTTAGGAAAGGTTTAAGGTTTTTGGCGATAGGGTTAAAATAACTGTCCAAAACCTTTTTAGGAACATGTTTCAGACCTTTTGGAGTTGGTTACACCAAAAGAAAATGTTAAATGAAAAAAAATATTTGGGTTGTTCAGGCTTCCTGAAGGACCTATTAGGTTCTGGGACTATGGTAAGGTTTAAGGTTTTTGGCGTTAGGGTTAAAACCACTGTCCAAAACCTTTGTAGGAACTCTCTTCCAACCTTTTGGAGTTAGTTAGACCAAAAAAAAAAAGAAAAAAGAAAAAATAAATTTGGGGTTTTCGGGCTTCCTGAAGGTAATACCCGGGTATTAGGTTATGGGGCTAGGGTAAGGTTTTAGGTTTTTGGCGTTAGGGTTAAAATCAATGTCCAAAACCTTTGGAGGAACTCTTTTCCAAGCTTTCGGAGTTAGTTAGACCAAAAAAAAAGAAAAAAGAAAAAAATATATTTGGGCTTTTCAGGCTTCCTGGAGGTAATACCCGGGTATTAGGTTATGGGGCTTAGGAAAGGTTTAAGGTTTTTGGCGATAGGGTTAAAATAACTGTCCAAAACCTTTTTAGGAACATGTTTCAGACCTTTTGGAGTTGGTTACACCAAAAAAAAATGTAAAATGAAAAATAAATATTTTGGGTGTTCGGGCTTCCTGAAGGTAATACCCGGGTATTAGGTTATGGGGCGATGGTAAGGGTTCCGTTTTTTGGCGGTAGGGTTAAAATTATTGTCCAAAACCTTTGTAGGAACTCTTTTCCAACCTTTTGGAGTAAGTGAGACCAAAGAAAAATGAAAAATGAAAAAAAAATATTTGGGGTTTTCGGGCTTCCTGAAGGCAATACCCGGGAATCAGTTTCTGGGGCTTTGGAAAGGTTTAAGGTTTTTGGCGTTAGGGTTAAAATCACTGTCCAAAACCTTTGTAGGAACTCTTTTCCAAGCTTTTGGAGTTAGTTACACCCAAAAAAAATGAAAAATGAAAAAAAAATATTTGGGGTGTTCGGGCTTCCTGAAGGTAATACCCAGGTATTAGGTTATGGGGCTAGGGTAACGTTTTAGGTTTTTGGCGTTAGGGTTAAAATCAATGTCCAAAACCTTTGGAGGAACTCTTTTCCAAGCTTTTGGAGTTAGTTAGACCAAAAAAACATGAAAAATAAAAAAATATATATTTGGGGTGTTCGGGCATCCTGAAGGTAATACCCGGGTATTAGGTTTTGGGGCTAAGGTAAGGTTTAAGGTTTTTGGCGTGAGGGTTAAAATCACTGTCCAAAGCCATAGTAGGAACTCTTTTCCAACCTTTTGGAGTCAGTTACACCAAAAAAAAATGTAAAATGAAAAAAAAATATTTGGGGTGTTCAGGCTTCCTGAAGGTAATACCCCGGTATTAGGTTATGGGGCTATGGTAATGGTTAAGGTTTTTGGATTAGGGTTAAAATCACTGTCCAAAACCTTTTTAGGAACATGTTTCAGACCTTTTGCTGTTGGTTAAACAAAAAAAAAATGTAAAATGAAACAAAATATTTGGGGTGTTCGGGCTTCCTGAAGGACCTATTAGGTTATGGGACTATGGTAAGGTTTAAGGTTTTTGGCGTAAGGGTTAATATCACTGTCCAAAACCTTTGTAGGAACTCTTTTCCAACCTTTTGGAGTTAGTTAGACCAAAAAAAATGAAAAATGAAATAAAAATATTTGGGGTGTTCGGGCTTCCTGAAGGTCATCCCCGGGTATTAGGTTTTGGGGCTAGGGTAAGGTTTAAGGTTTTTGGCGTAAGGGTTAAAATCCTTGTCCAAAACCTTTGTAGGAACTCTTTTCCAACCTTTTGGAGTTAGACCAAAAAAGAATCAAAAATGAAAAGAAAATATTTGGGGTTTTCGGGCTTCCTGAAGGTAATACCCAGGTATTAGGTTATGGGGCTAGGGTTAGGTTTTAGGTTTTTGGCGTTAGGGTTAATATCAATGTCCAAAACCTTTGGAGGAACTCTTTTCCAAGCTTTTGGAGGTAGTTTAACAAAAAAAAGAAAAAAGAAAAAAAAATATTTGTGGTTTTCGGGCTTCCTGAAGGTAATACCCGGGTATTAGGTTATGGGGCTTTGGAAAGTTTTAGGGTTCTTGGCATTAGGGTTAAAATCACTATCCAAAACCTTTGTAGGAACTCTTTTCCATCATTTCGGAGTTAGTTAGACCAAAAAAAAATTGAAAATGAAATAAAAAATATTTGGGGTGTTCAGGCTTCCTGAAGGTAATACCCGGGTATTAGGTTATGGGGCTTAGGAAAAGTTTAAGGTTTTTGGCGTTACGGTTAAAATCACTGTCCAAAACCTTTGTAGGAACTCTTTTCCAACCTTTTGGAGTCAGTTAGACCAAAAAAAAAGAAAAATGAAAAAAAAAATATTCTGGGTTTTCAGGCTTCCTGGAGGTAATACCCGGGTATTAGGTTATTGGGCTATGGTAAGGTTTAAGGTTTTTGGCGATAGGGTTAAACTAACTGTCCAAAATCTTTTTAGGAACATGTTTCAGACCTTTTGGAGTTGGTTACACCAAAAAAAAATGTAAAATGAAAAAAAAATATTTGGGGTGTTCGGGCTTCCTGAAGGTATTAGGTTATGGGGCTATGGTAAGGGTTCAGTTTTTTGGCGTTAGGGTTAAAATTATTGTCCAAAACCTTTGTAGGAACTCTTTTCCAACCTTTTGGAGTTAGTTAGACCAAAAAAAAATGAAAAATGAAAAAAAAATATTTGGGGTTTTCGGGCTTCCTGAAGGCAATACCCGGGAATCAGTTTCTGGGGCTTTGGAAAGGTTTAAGGTTTTTGGCGTTAGGGTTAAAATCACTGTCCAAAACCTTTGTAGGAACATGTTTCCAACCTTTTGGAGATGGTAACACCAAAAAAAAACGAAAAATGAAAAAGAAATATTTGGGGTGTTCGAGCTTCCTGAAGGTAATACCCGGGTATTAGGTTTTGGGGCTAAGGTAAGGTTTAAGGTTTTTGGCGTGAGGGTTAAAATCACTGTCCAAAGCCTTTGTAGGAACTCTTTTCCAACCTTTTGGAGTCAGTTACACCAAAAAAAAATGTAAAATGAAAAAAAAATATTTGGGGTGTTCAGGCTTCCTGAAGGTAATACCCCGGTATTAGGTTATGGGGCTATGGTAATGGTTAAGGTTTTTGGATTAGGGTTAAAATCACTGTCCAAAACCTTTGTAGGAACATGTTTCCAACCTTTTGGAGATGGTTACACCAAAAAAAAACGAAAAATGAAAAAGAAATATTTGGGGTGTTCGAGCTTCCTGAAGGTAATACCCGGGTATTAGGTTATGGGGCTATGGTAAGGTTTAAGGTTTTTGGCATTAGGGTTAAAATCACTGTCCAAAACCTTTGTAGGAACTCTTTTCCAAGCTTTTTGAGTTAGTTAGACCAAAAAAAAAAGAAAAATGAAATAAAAAATATTTGGATTGCAAAAATATATCAAGGTCCAAAGATGGTGTGCGCACTTGTCTGTGGTCATTTACCATGATAATGAATGGGAGGCGCAGTTTCTACCAAAACACTTGCTGCAGACAAACTTCATGACCTATATGAAAAAAGTCTGGACCATGAGTGAGGGCACAAACACAGCTAGTATATATCCAAATGGCAAGTTGCTCCTCCTTTCGGTTTTGCAGAGAGAGCGGTGTGTTTGAGCCATTGAGCGATGGGCAGGAAAAACTTGACTTTTTCTCCTGCCTTGGGGGGGCGCTCTTTTGGTGAGAAAAAAATTACTTCACAAATGTTTTGATGGCTGAACATTGCATCATCCTAGAAAACTTGGATGAGTGGCCAAAACTTCTTTGTCTGCTGTAAAATCAAATTGGATTTTTTCCAGATTTTTTTTGTACATCTCTTATTTTACTTCTGCCCTGTTCAAAACTAGCAAATGTTTCATTGAAGATATTTTTTTTAACCCTTTATGAGCCTTTTAACTTTTTCTGTAGTATCAGTTTTAATAGACAACTCCTTTGGCGCCACTCAGTGGCCATAACTACTTTGTCTGCTGTTAATAGACAACTCCCTTTGGCGCCACTCAATGGCCAAAACGATTTGTAATCATGTGTATTTTTGGGTCATCTTTGGCGCCCCCTAGAACGTAAACCGTGGGGTTCAGCGTCATGATTTGTACAACTTTGAATGGCCATGGGATGTAGATTGGCCTGAGCAAATTTGGTGTCGGTGGGACGAAAGCCTTAGGAGTTAGCCACATTCCAATGTGTGTGAATCGGCAAAAAATGCGAAATAGTCCTTTAACCGTACAATTGACAGATACGCGCGCATTGAGTTTTTCGTAGATCTTATTGAGATACACGTGATTGTCAAATTTTGTGTCAATATGACAAAGCGCACAGGCGTGACACTCAACAATGTGTATTTTCACCTTAGGTGACAAGAAAAAATTGCCTTTTTTCTCCTGCCATGGGGGGGCGCTCTTTTGGCGAGAAAAAATTCCCTCAAAAATGTGTTGATGGCTGGACATTGCATCATCCTAGAAAACTTGGAGGCCAGTGAGGAGTAAAATAAAAAGTTAGAAGACTTTTAAGAATGTGGATTTTTGGGTTATCTTTGGCGCCCGCTAGAACCTAAACCGTGGGGTGCAGCGTCATGATTTGTACAACTTTGAATGGCCATGGGGAGTAGATTGGCCTGAGCAAATTTGGTGCCGGTGGAACGAAGGCCTTCGGAGGAGTTAGCCACATTCCAATGTGTGCGGATCGGCAAAAAATGCAAAATAGCCCTTTAACCGTACATTTCACAGATACGCCTATACTGACTTTTTTTGTAGACCTTATTGAGATACACGTGTGTGTCAATTTTTGTGTCAATATGACAAAGCGTACAGGTGTGACACTCGATAGTGTGAATTTTCACCTTAGGGGGCGCTTTGGAGCCATTTTGCAAATAATTTTTTCAGCGACTTCAGAATATCGAATTTTTTACCAGGCCCGGTCGTCCTGCCAAATTTCATGAGTTTTCGCCAGTGGGAAGTGGGCCATTTTCCCCTTCAAAGGGGAGGAAAAATAAGAAAAAGAAAAAAAGAAAGAAAGAACTAGGGCCCCGGTGGGGCACTGGCGGGCCCGAGCCTTGCGCGCCGCCCCCAGCACGACCGCCTCCCCCTCCCGATCGCGTCACACTCAAGGTCCAAAGATGGTGTGCGCACTTGTCTGTGGTCATTTCCCATTATAATGAATGGGAGGCGCAGTTTCTACCAAAACACTCGCTGCAGACAAACTACATGTCCTATTTGAAAAAAGTCTGGACCATGAGTGAGGGCACAAACACAGCTAGGATATATCCAAATGGCAGGTTGCTCCTCCTTACGGTGTTGCCGGGAGGGCGATGCGATTGAGCCATTGAGCGATGGGCCGGAAAAACTTGACTTTTTCTCCTGCCATGGGGGGGCACTCTTTTAGGGAGTAAAAATTCCTTCACAAATGTGTTGATGGCTGGACATTGCATCATCCTAGAAAACCTGGAAGCCAGTGAGGACAAAAATGAAAAGTTATAAGACTTTTAAAAATGTGGATTTTTGGGTTATCTTTGGCGCCCCCTAGAACCTAAACCGTGGGGTGCAGCGTCATAATTTGAATAACTTTTAATGGCCATGGGGTGTAGATTGGTCTGAGGAAATGTGGTGCCGGTGGAACAAAAGCCTTCGGAGGAGTTAGCCACATTCCAATGTGTGCGGATCGGCAAAAAATGCGGAATAACCCTTTAATCGTACATTTGACAGATATGCGCGCATTGACTTTTTCGTAGATCTTATTGAGATACATGTGTGTGTCAATTTTTGTGTCATTTTGACAAAGCGTACAGGCGTGACACTCAACAATGTGTATTTTCACCTTAGGGGACAAGAAAAAATTGACTTTTTTCTCCTGCCATGGGGGGGAGCTCTTTTGGGGAGTAAAAATTCCTTCACAAATGTGTTGATGGCTGGACATTGCATCATCCTAGAAAACTTGGAGGCCAGTGAGGACAAAAATGAAAAGTTATGACTTTTAAAAATGTGGATTTTTGGGTTATCTTTGGCGCCCCCTAGAACCTAAACCGTGGGGTGCAGCATCATGATTTGAATAACTTTTAATGGCCATGGGGTGTAATTTGGCCTGAGCAAATGTGGTGCCGGTGGAACGCCAGCCTTCGGAGGAGTTAGCGAAATTCCAATGTGTGCGTATCGGCAAAAAATGCGGAATAACCCTTTAACCGTACATTTGACAGATACGCGCGCATAGACTTTTTTGTAGATCTTATTGAGATACATGTGTGTGTCAATTTTTGTGTCAATATGACAAAGCGTACAGGCGTGACTCTCAACAATGTGTATTTTCACCTTAGGGGACAAGAAAAAATGGACTTTTTTCTCCTGCCATGGGGGGGCGCTCTTTTGGGGAGTAAAAATTCCTTCACAAATGTGTTGATGGCTGGAAATTGCATCATCCTAGAAAACTTGGAGGCCAGTGAGGACAAAAATGAAAAGTTATAAGACTTTTAAAAATGTGGATTTTTGGGTTATTTTTGGCGCCCCCTAGAACCTAAACCGTGGGGTGCAGCATCATGATTTGAATAACTTTTAATGGCCATGGGGTGTAGATTGGCCTGAGCAAATGTGGTGCCGGTGGAACGAAAGCCTTCGGAGGAGTTAGCGAAATTCCAATGTGTGCGGATCGGCAAAAAATGCGAAATAACCCTTTAACCGTACATTTGACAAATACGCCCGCACTGACTTTTTTGTAGATCTTATTGAGATACATGTGTGTGTCAATTTTTGTGTCAATATGACAAAGCGTACAGGCGTGACAGTCAATAGTGTGAATTTACACCTTAGGGGGCGCTATGGAGCCATTTCGCATTTTGTTGTTTGGGCGACTTCAGAATATCGAATTTTTCACCAGGCCCGGTCGTCCTGCCAAATTTCCTGAGTTTTTGCCAGTGGGAAGTGGGCCATTTTCCAGTTCAAAGGGGAGGAAAAAGAAGAAAGAAAAAGAAACAAAGAAAAACCACTACAGGAACAACAGGGCTCTACGCCCGGCTGCTCTGCAGCTGGCTCGGGCCCTAAAGAAAGAAAGACTAGGGCCCGAGCCGTGTCGCGCACCCCCCCCCAACGCAATCGCCTCCCCGTCCCATTCGCGTCCTCTGGCCATCGCCCTCTCTGGTAACACCCATCACTGCAAAGACCCTTTTCCTTCATCGGCGTTTGCTGTTCTTCCGGCCATTGCGTGTTGCTTTCACTTACACTTGCCACAGCCAGCCTCATGAGTGCCTGGCCTGGTTTGACCTTTGCTCACCATGATTGTGTGACCTTGGTATCGGCTACTTGGGAAGTTCCACCGTCGTGGCAAAGCTTTGTTTGCGTAATGTGCTCAACCACCTATTTTCTATGGATGTGTAAGTAAACCACTTTCTTTTCTTACACAATGACACACTCATCTTTTAGGGAGAAAAAATTCCTTCACAAATGTGTTGATGGCTGGACATTGAATCATCCTAGAAAACTTGGAGGCCAGTGAGGACAAAAATAAAAAGTTAGAAGACTTTTAAGCATGTGGATATTTGGGTCATCTTTGGCGCCCCCTAGGACGTAAACCGTGGGGTGCAGCATCACGATTTGTACAACTTTGAATGGCCATGGGGTGTAGATTGGCCTGAGCAAATTTGGTGTCGGTGGGACGAAAGCCTTAAGAGGAGTTAGCCACATTCCAATGTGTGCGAATCGGCAAAAAATGCGAAATAGCCCATTAACCGTACATTTTACAGATACGTGCGCATTGACTTTTTCGTAGATCTTATTGAGCTACACATGATTGTCAAATTTTGTGTCAATATGACAAAGCGCACAGGCGTGACACTCAACAATGTGTATTTTTACCTTGGGGTAAAGAAAAAATGGACTTTTTTCTCCTGCCATGGGGGGGGGGGGGGGGGCACTCTTTTAGGGAGTAAAAATTCCTTCACACATGTGTTGATGGCTGGACATTGCATCATCCTAGAAAACTTGGAGGCCAGTGAGGACAAAAATAAAAAGTTATAAGACTTTGAAGAATGTGGATTTTTGGGTCATCTTTGGCGCCCCCTAGAATGTAAACCGTGGGGTGCAGCGTCATGATTTGTACAACTTTGAATGGCCATGGGGTATACACTCACCGGCCACTTTATTAGGTACACCATGCTAGTAACGGGTTGGACCCCCTTTTGCCTTCAGAACTGCCTCAATTCTTCGTGGCATAGATTCAACAAGGTGCTGGAAGCATTCCTCAGAGAGCTTGGTCCATATTGACATGATGGCATCACACAGTTGCCACAGATTTGTCGGCTGCACATCCATGATGCGAATCTCCCGTTCCACCACATCCCAAAGATGCTCTATTGGATTGAGATCTGGTGACTGTGGAGGCCATTTGAGTACAGTGAACTCAGTGTCATGTTCAAGAAACCAGTCTGAGATGATTCCAGCTTTATGACATGGCGCATTATCCTGCTGAAAGTAGCCATCAGAAGTCGGGTACATTGTGGTCATAAAGGGATGAACATGGTCAGCAACAATACTCAGGTAGGCTGTGGCGTTGCAACGATGCTCAATTGGTACCAAGGGGCCCAAAAAGTGCCAAGAAAATATTCCCCACACCATGACACCACCACCACCAGCCTGAACCGTTGATACAAGGCAGGATGGATCCATACTATCATGTTGTTGACGCCAAATTCTGACCCTACCATCCGAATGTCGCAGCAGAAATCGAGACTCATCAAACCAGGCAACGTTTTTCCAATCTTCTATTGTCCAATTTCGACGAGCTTGTGCAAATTGTAGCCTCAGTTTCCTGTTCTTAGCTGAAAGGAGTGGCACCCGGTGTGGTCTACTGCTGCTGTAGCCCATCTGCCTCAAAGTTCGACGTACTGTGCGTTCAGAGATGCTCTTCTGCCTACCTTGGTTGTAACGGGTGGTTATTTGAGTCACTGTTGCCTTTCTATCAGCTCGAACCAGTCTGGCCATTCTCCTCTGACCTCTGGCATCAACAAGGCATTTCCGCCCACAGAACTGCCGCTCACTGGATATTTTTTCTTTTTCGGACCATTCTCTGTAAACCCTAGAGATGGTTGTGCGTGAAAATCCCAGTAGATCAGCAGTTTCTGAAATACTCAGACCAGCCCTTCTGGCACCAACAACCATGCCACGTTCAAAGTCACTCAAATCACCTTTCTTCCCCATACTGATGCTCGGTTTGAACTGCAGGAGATTGTCTTGACCATGTCTACATGCCTAAATGCACTAAGTTGCCGCCATGTGATTGGCTGATTAGATTTGGGTTTTTTTGGCGCCCCCTAGAACTTAAACCGTAGGGTGCAGCGTCATGATTTGTACAACTTTTAATGGCCATGGGGTGTAGATTGGCCTGAGCAAATTTGGTGCCGGTGGAACGAAAGCCTTCAGAGGAGTTAGCCACATTCCAATGTGTGCGGACCGGCAAAAAATGTGAAATAGCCCTTTAACCGTACTTTTCACAAAAGTTTGTAGAGCAATTATTTTTGGAGGTTCAGTTAGGGATTAGAGTTGGTATGGTTAAGTGTTAAAATAATAATAATAATAATATTAATAATAATTTTTCTTATTGAGAAGGACTAGGTGGTGTTAGTAGGGAGGGAATAGGGTGAATTTTATCTATAGGAGTAGGGTTATGGTGCATTAGTGCAAAGTCTCAGAGGATGGGGGAGAGAGAAACAGGTTGTTGGGACTGCAACCATTCTGCTTCTACAGGGATTCGAGTGATAGAGAGAGAATAGAACTTGCCACAGTGACTAGCCAGAGAAACTCTCCTCACCTGTTGGTTTTCATCCTCTGATATGAAAAAAGAGGGTGGGGGTGACTACGCCAAGTTAGAGATTAGTAAGGTTAGGGTTAGGGTTAGGGTTCGGGGTTAGGGTTAGATTTAGGGTTTAGAGGTAAGGGTTAGGGTTAGGGGTAGGGTTAGTGTTAGGGGTTAGGGTTAGTGTTGGGGGTTAGGGTTAGATTTAGGGTTTAGAGGTTAGGGTTAGGGGTAGGCTAGGGTTAGGGGTAGGGGTAGGGGATAGGGTTAGGGGTAGATTTAGGTTCTGGAGGGTTAGGGTTAGGGTGAGGGTAAGGGTTAGTGTCTGTAGGGAGCTAACCGTGGCTATTTGGAAGAATTGAAATTCATTAAGGAATACGACACTTCAGATTGTCTAGACTCTGGACTCTGTTAAAGGTAGCAAAGCTATTGTTGGAAGTCATGAAATTGAAGTATAAAATATAAGGTTAGTAATACATTGTTATTGATAAAGTATTATTTCAGAGTCAAAAGTGGACAGTTCCGTCTGGAACTCCTTCCACCCAGGCCTGTCTAGGCCATAGACTCTGCTAAACTCCACACGCTGTGACCTAAAAATTCTTTAGATTAAATTGGAAAAATTTATGAATTATTATTTAGAAATTATTATTCAGAGTCAAAAGTGGACAGTTCTGTCTTGAACCCCTTCCACTCAGGCCTGTGTAGGCTTTAGACTCTGCTAGACTCCCTAATGCTGTGACCTAAAATTATTTTAGATTAAATTTGAAATATTTATAAATTATTCTTTATAAATTATTATTCAGAGTCAAAAGTGGATGGTTCTGTCTGGAACCCCTTCCACCCAGGCCTGTCTAGGCCATAGACTCTGCTAAGCTCCCTAACGCTGTGACCTAAAACTATTTTAGATTAAATTGCAAATATTTATAAATTAGTATTTAGAAATTATTTCAAAATTTATTATTTCTTATTTCAGAGTCAAAAGTGGATGGTTCTGTCTGAAACCCTTCCACTCAGGCCTGTCTAGGTCATAGACTCTGCTAACCTCCCTAACACTGTGACCTAAAATTATTTTAGATTAAATCGGAGATATTTATTTATTGTTATTTATAAAGTATTATTGTTCAGAACAAAAGTGAATGGTTCTGTCTGAAACCCCTTCCATTCAGGCCTGTCTAGGCCATAGACTCTGCTAAGCTCCCTCAAGGCTATGATTAAAAATTATTTAAGATTAAATTGCCAATATTTATAAATTATTTCAAAATTATTTCAAAATATATTATTTCTTATTTCAGAGTCAAAAGTGGATGGTTCTGTCTGGAAGCCCTTCCACTCAGGCCTGTCTAGGCTTTAGACTCTGCTAAGCTCCCTCAAGGCTGTGACCTAAAATTATTTTAGATTAAATTGGAAATATTTATAAATTATTCTTTATAAATCATTATTCAGAGTCAAAAGTGGACGGTTCTGTCTGGAACCCCTTCCACTCAGGCCTGTCTAGGCCAAAGACTCGGCTAAAATCCCTAACGCTGTGACCTAAGATTATTTTAGATTAAATCGGAAATATTTATGAATTATTATTTATAAATTATTATTCAGAGTCAAAAGTGGACGGTTCTGTCTGGAACCCCTTCCACTCAGGCCTGTCTAGGCCATAGACTCTGCTAAAGTCCTTAACGCTGTGACCTAAAATGATTTTAGATTAAATCGGAAATATTTATGAATTATTATTTATAAAGTATTATTCAGAGTCAAAAGTGGATGGTTCTGTCTGGAACCCCTTCTACTCAGGCCTGTCTAGGCCATAGACTCTGCTGAACTCCCTAACGCTGTGATCTAAAATAAATCTTAATGGTTAGTTATAAATTATTATTTGGAAATTATTATTTCAGTCAAAAGTGTCAATTTCATTAATAATTGCATAATTTAATTTTGTTATATTATTAATTTTAGATCAATAAATAGAATTATTGGTCCAGAGTATCGACTTTTCAGAAGATTGCATTGTTTTAGATGGATAAGTTTGGAGTTAAGTGGAGATTGTTTATATAGACTATATAGGACCTAGGGTTCACTGTAAATTATTATTTCAGAGTTAGAAAGTGAGTAGGAATTGTAGTTTATTTAGGTATTGGACTATTCTAAAGTTGTAATCCATGAGTTAAACAATTTTGAGTTTAATAAGTAAGGTTAGCTCCCAAATTGTTGCTTACGGGTGTAAATTAGAATGTTGTATAAAATTGTGTCATCCCTTTCTACACTGTTTAATTTGTTAAAAAGTACAAACAGGAACTGTTAAAGTTACACCCAACATTGAATTGATATTACAGTAAAACTGAGAGAAAATTGTGTTGACTTCTGTATAACAAAGGAAAACTGTAATTTTGATTGCACTGGAACCAAATGTATTATATTTAAATTGCAAATTTAAATAATAAAAAAAATGTGATATAAATACACAAAATTGAATTATAAAGTAAATTAGTATGAGAAAAAAAGGTGGAATAAAAATTGAGTGTATAGTTGTTCCAAAACATTTTTTATTTGTTCAAAAAAGGTACAATATACAGGTAGGGGGAAATTAATAGGAAAATAAAAATAGAACTAAGAATAAAAAATAAAAAATAAAAACTGGGATAAAACATGGAATGTACAATGTTTACCAAATTAGAAAGTGGGAAATACGAGAGTGGCAAAAACGAAAAGGTGAAAAAAGGAAACTGTAAAAAACTGGACCCTGGGATCAAGAGGTGGGAAATACGAGTTTGGTAAATGGACAAATGCTGAAATGCTATGTTAGAGTAGAAATTAAAGTAAACCATAAAAGGTGCGGGTTTTATGGACCTTTATTCATGCACCAGGATAAACCAACACTCAAAATAGAAGACCAGAGGACCAGATTGTGTCGAGTTAAGTGCTCAATTAATTATTTTGGAAAATCTTATTTGTTTGAAAAATTCTTCAAATAAACCATTACATTGACCCAGCGCTGGTATTGGACATTAAATTTCAGGACATGTCTTCAGTAGTGAACCCCGAAATCATCGGATGTTTCGGCCGTTTTAACACTAGATATCCTCTTTCAAGGAAGGCCCCACGGAGTCGATCAACTTCCGTGTTGTGCCCTGTAGCCAATTGGAGCTATTTTAGTCCTATTTAGTTTTGGTGCTGTGAAGTTTTAGTTGTATTCTAGTTTGGTAGTTACTATTCTGTAACTATTAAGAGTAATTTTGAGGTGTTTAAGAGGTTTTTTGTAGACTTACCCTAGTGGTCCTATGTTGTTGTTGATGTGAGGCGTTTCTTTTCCAGTAGTCTAAAATCTGTTGGAGGGGGGAAAAGGTTCCAGCTGTCCAGCCGCGGCGGCGGCGGTGTGTCTGAGGTCCATGGTCCTCGGCGGGGGAAAGGAGATAGGCGGTCCGCGGGAAGGTTTGCTGGGACTCGGTGCCTTCGGCGGGTCGAAGCTCGGTGGTGGCCGGCTTGGAGTGAAGGAGGTGCGGCGTCTTACTCAAGGCGGAGCGGCGTCTTCTTGGTCCAGTGGTCAGGGCTTTGTCTCAATTACAGGAACAGGAATTGATCTTGAGTGTACAGCACTTAAAAGTGCTTTTAACATGACCAGACATCCCCAGAGTGGGGCTCGAGTCATGGTTTGTTTTGTTCCTCTCAGACATGGTTGTGTTCTCTTCTCGATGTTTGTTCTCCAGAATGGATTTCTCTTGGTTGATTTTTAAACTTTCAAGTTGTTTTTAGTTAATTTTAAAGTGGTTTATTTGTTTTAAATTAAGTTTTGCTACATTAAATTTGTATGCAATCGCAAGGGATTGTGGGTATTTTAGTTCTGAGGGATGAGAGCCTAAGGAATCAATAGCTGCTTCCGAATTGCCAAGTAGTAGTCGAAGTAGTAGTCGAAGTAGTATCTAGCATGTCCGAATTGGCCACCGGAGCGAGTAGCATGCTACTTCAGATACTACTTCAGATGCTAGACACGCCCACATTGTAGGTTGGTCTCGGTGCATCCTACGGGCATGCTACTGACCCAAAATGCACCGCGGGCTTCTTCTTCGTCCTCTTAAAAGTTGTAGAAGCGCATGTGATGCTAGCGCCACCAGCTGCTCTGCCTATTTAAGTGTCGCGAACGCCGGCTGGCCACAGCAGCGCGCACCATGTCGGAGCAGCAGCAGCAGCAGGCGGGACCGCAGCAGTACAGATGTAAGTTTCATGTAACTTCACACACTGTCCTAAAAAATGTGCGGTTGTATCTCTTTGTCATGTCATGGTGTCATATTTGCCCAAGTAATCATTTTATGAGCAAATATGTGGCGACATCATGGAGGTAAAGCTCACTTATTCCATCATTAAACTGCACAGCTGCAGTACTACAGCCAGGCCCGCAGATGAGGAGCTTCAGTTACCACTGTCTGCACGGGCGCAGTACCTACTCTCTGCCTGCGGGGGTCGTCTTTCCCCACCGCTCGTCTAGTGTGTCCGAATTGGGCCAACGTTTTTAATATGTAGGAGTAGGATCTAGCAGTAGCACGTAGCAGTAGCATGTAGTATCCGAGCGGGCAGTTCGGACGCAGCAAATCTTCCTGTTACAGCAAAGGATTGTGGGCAAAACCGTGAGTGAGTGAGGTACTTCCTTTCTGGCATGAGAGCCTTGGGAATCAATCTCCCTGTTGCAGCAAAGGCTTGTGGGTAAAACCGTGAGTGAGGGAGGTACATTTTTCCTGGCATGAGAACCTCAGGAGTCAGTCCTTCCTAAGAAAAAAGAGGGGAGGGGCGAAGAAAAACAAAAGCACAGGAACCCTAAAACAAAATAAAATAAAATAATATAATATAAAACAATGAAAAAATAAAAAAATAAAAGAAGAACAAAAGTGGATTGCAAAAAGGGAAGGGGAAGAAAAAAGGAAAAATAGAAGTGTCAAGAGCAAATAGCAAAAATCAAAAGTGAGCTTAAAAACAGAGAACAGTTCCCTAAAAGACAGACAGAAATGTAAATTTGATAAGTATTTATTATTTAAATTTTTGATGAAGTTGTTGTAGTGGGGTTAGCTGGCTAATTTTAGAGTGTTAAAAAAGATGTTTGAGGGGGAGGATTTAGGGGGCACGGTGGTTCCCCTTCAGGTCTCTCTTAATCCTCCATATAGGTGACCCAACAGGGGCTACCCCCCGGCCGGGGTAGGCCTCGGCTGAAGATCACCTATTTGTCCTCTGTGAAGGTGAAAATAAAGGGGCAGGGGAGGGAATAAGAAAGAAGGGGTGTGTTAGAGGGAGGGGGAGAGATGAGGGAGAGAGATGAGGGAGAGAGAGAGAGAGAGAGAGAGAGAGAGAGAGAGAGAGAGGGGGAAGAGGGAAAGAGGGAGAGAGAGGGGGGGGAGAGTGTGTGTGTGTGTGTGAGTGAGTGAGAGAGAGAGAGAGAGAGAGAGAAGGGAAGAGGGAAAGGGGGGTTTAAGGGAGAGGTGGAGATGGTGGAAAATAAAGATTGGTGAGGGGGATTTGGTGGCGGATGAAACATTTTTAGGTTTTTGGTGTTAGGGTTAAAATCACTGTCCAAAACCTTTGTAAGAACTATTTTCCAAGCTTTTGGAGTAAGTTAGACCAAAAAAAAAATAAAAATAAAAAATATATATTTGGGGTGTTCGGACTTCCTGAAGGTAATACCCGGGTATTAGGTTTTGGGGCGAAGGTAAGGTTTAAGGTTTTTGGCAGTATAGTTAAAATCAGTGTCAAAAACCTTTGTAGGAACATGTTTCAGACCTTTTAGAGTTAGTTAGACCAAAAAAAAAAAGAAAAAAAAAAAAAAATATTTCGGGTGTTCGGGCTTCCTGAAGGTAATACCCGGGTATTAGGTTATGGGACTATGGTAAGGTTTAAGGTTTTTGGCGTTAGGGTTAAAATCACTGTCCAAAACCTTTGTAGGAACTCTTTTCCAACCTGTTGGAGTTAGTTACACCAACAAAAAAACGAAAAATAAAAAATATATATTTGGGGTGTTCGGACTTCCTGAAGGTAATACCCGGGTATTAGGTTTTGGGGCTAAGGTAAGGTTAAAGGTTTTTGGCGTTAGGGTTAAAATCAGTGTCCAAAACCTTTTTAGGAACATGTTTCAGACCTTTTGGAGTTAGTTAGACCAAAAAAAAATGAAAAATGAAAAAAAAAATATTTGAGGTTTTCGGCCTTCCTGAAGGTAATACCCAGATATTAGGTGACAGGGCTAGGTAAAGTTTAAAGGTTTTTGGCGTTAGGGTTAAAATCACTGTCCAAACCCTTTGTAGGATCTCTTTTCCAACCTTTTGAGTTAGATAGACAAAAAAAAAAAAAAAAAAAACGAAAAATGAAATGAAAATGTTTTGGGGTGTGGGTAAGAGATACAGTGATAGCCCCCGCTTTCGTCAGTTGACTTGGCGGTTTGGGATAGGCTGATCAAGGGCTTGCAATGGCCGGCGCATGTTGACCTGTCACATGTTCCCAGTCGAGTCTCTGAGCTCAATTTGTGTGTAAAAATTATGTGTTGGTAGGAAGTTTAATGACTCAGCTCAATTGGTATGCTATGCTGTCTATCTTTTAGACTAGGGTTTAGAGGTTAGGGTTAGGGTTAGGGTTAGGGTAAGGGTTAGGGTTAGGCTAGGGTTAGAGGTAGGGGTTAGGGTTAGGGTTAGATTTAGGTTCTAGAGGGTTAGGGTTAGGGTGAGGGTAAGGGTAAGGGTTAGTGTCCATAGGGAGCTAACCGTGGCTATTTGGAAGAATTGAAATTCATTAAGGAATACAACACTTCAGATTGTCTAGATTCTGGACTCAGTTGAAGGTAGCAAAGCTATGGTTGGAAGTCATGAAATTGAAGTATAAAATATAAGGTTAGTTATAAATTGTTATTGATAAAGTATTATTTCAGAGTCAAAAGTGCACAGTTCCGTCTAGAACTCCTTCCACCCAGGCCTGTCTAGGCCATGGACTCTGCTAAACTCCCTAACACTGTGACCTAAAAATTATTTAGATTAAATTGGAAATATTTGTGAATCATTATTTAGAAATTATTCATTCAGAGTCAAAAGTGGACGGTTCTTTCTGGAACCTCTTCCACTCAGGCCTGTCTAGGCTTTAGACTCTGCTAAATTCCCTAACGCTGTGACCTAAAATTATTTTAGAATTAAATTGGAAATATTTATAAATTATTCTTTATAAATTATTATTCAGAGTCAAAAGTGGATGGTTCTGTCTGGAACCCCTTCCACCCAGGCCTGTCTAGGCCATAGACTCTGCTAAACTCCCTAACGCTGTGACCTAAAATTATTCTATATTAAATTGCAAATATTTATAAATTATTTCAAAATTATTTCAAAATATATTATTTCTTAATTCAGATTCAAAAGCTGATGGTTCTGTCTGGAAGCCCTTCCACTCAGGTCTGTCTAGGCTTTAGACTCTGCTAAACTCCCTAACACTGTGACCTAAAATTATTTTAGATTAAATTGGAGATATTTATTAATTGTTATTTATGTCTAGGCCAACGACTCTGCTAAACTCCCTTGTTTTAGATGGATAAGTTTGGAGTTAAGTGGAGATTTTTTATATAGATTATGTAGGACCTAGGGTTCACTGTAAATTATTATTTCAGAGTTAGAAAGTGAGTAGGAATTGTAGTTTATTTAGGTATTGGACTATTCTAAAGTTGTAATCCATGAGTTAAACAATTCTGAGTTTAATAAGTGAGGTTTGCTCCCAAATTGTTGCTTACAGGTGTGAATCAGAATGTTGTATAAAATTGTGTCATCCCTTTCTACACTGTTTAATTTGTTAAAAAGTACAAACAGGAACTGTTAAAGTTACACCTAACATTGAATTGATATTACAGTAAAACTGAGAGAAAATTGTGTTGACTTCTGTATAACAAAGGAAAACTGTAATTTTGATTGCACTGGAACCAAATGTATTATATTTAAATCGCAAATTTAAATAATAAAGAAATGGTGATTTAAATACACAAAATTGAATTATAAAGTAAATTAGTATGAGAAAAAAAGGAGGAATAAAAATTGAGTGTATAGCTGTTCCAAAACATTTTTTATTTGTTCAAAAAAGGTACAATATACAGGTAGGGGGAAATTAATAGGAAAATAAAAATAGAACTAAGAATAAAAAATATAAAATAAAAAATAAAAACTGGGATAAAACATGGAATGTACAATGTTTACCAAATTAGAAAGTGGGAAATAAGAGAGTGGCAAAAACGAAAAGGTGAAAAAAGGAAACTGTAAAAAACTGGACCCAGGGATCAAGAGGATGGAAATACGAGTTTGGTAAATGGACAAATGCTGAAATGCTATGTTAGAGTAGAAATTAAAGTAAACCATAAAAGGTGCGGGTTTTATGGACCTTTATTCATGCACCAGGATAAACCAACACTCAAAATAGAAGACCAGAGGACCAGATTGTGTTGAGGTAAGTGCTCAATTAATTATTTTGGAATATCTTATTTGTTTGAAAAATTCTTCAAATAAACCATTACATTGACCCAGCGCTGGTATTGGACATTAAATTTCAGGACACGTCCTCAGTAGTGAACCCCGAAATCATCAGATGTTTCAGCCGTTTTAACACTAGATATCCTCTTTCAAGGAAGGCCCCACGGAGTCGATCAACTTCCGTGTTGTGCCCTGTAGCCAATTGGAGCTATTTTAGTCCTATTTAGTTTTGGTGCTAAGAAGTTTTAGTTGTATGCTAGTTTGGTAGTTACTATTCTGTAACTATTTAGAGTAATTTTGAGGTGTTTGAGAGGTTTTTTGTAGACTTACCCTAGTGGTCCTATGTTGTTGTTGTTGTTGATGTGAGGCGTTTCTTTTCCAGTAGTCTAAAATCTGTTGGAGGGGGGAAAAGGTTCCAGCTGTCCAGCCGCGGCGGCGGCGGTGTGTCTGAAGTCCGGGCTCCTCAGTGGGGGAAAGAAGATAGGCGGTCCGCGGGAAGGTTTGCTGGGACTCGGTGCCATCGGCGGGTCGAAGCTCGGTGGTGGGCAGCTTGGAGTGAAGGAGGTGCGGCGTCTTCTTTCAGGTGGCGGAGCGGCGTCTTCCTCGAGGCGGTGGTCCGTCTTTTTGGTCCAGTGGTCAGGGCTTTGTCTCAATTAGAGGAACAGGAATTGCTCTTTAGTGCACAGCACTTAAAAGTGCTATTAACTAGTGGTGTGTCGGTCTTGAACGAACGGATCAAAAGAACTAGTTCTTTTTGATGAACGAAATGAACTAGTTCTCCCCCCCTAAATGACCCGTTCAATCCGTTCAGTTCTTTTGATTGGCTGAAGAGGGACTGCTTGCCTGTCTTATCCTATCGTCGCGCCTCGTTCTGTGTGTGGGTGGGGCTTAGAGAAGCAGCAGCAGTACTACTGAGCTGACTGAAAGACCGGAATGACCGAGTTGACTTAAAGAACGGGTCAAATGAACGAAAGACCTAGTTGACTGAAAGAACGGGTCACTTAAGTGGTTGGCAAGATGGCGGCGCCGTGTGGAGTCCAGCTACTCTAACAGACGACTAACGGATTGACCCCAGATACTCAGAGCATCTACCTGGCTACAACGGTTACAACGATCGACCAATACACAGCTGATCAAATAAAATACCCCCGGTCACATCGATCACGGCTGGAACGCCGAAAGAGAGACTTACCTGAGATTTCCACCATCAGCGGGCCCTCTTCCGGGGCCCTCACCGGAAAGTCTCCTACCGTGTTGTCTGATCTGCTTCCTCACCGCTGCGGGCTCCAGGACGGAGCCCTGGCGTGTAAGTGTCCTTCTCGGCACAGTCCAATCCCCGATCCAGACTGTCCTCTATTAGATCCTGCCTGTTGTCGTTGGCTGTCTGCTGGCTGTTGTTTTCTCTGTTTCAGCCATGGCTCCACACTCCTCTCCACCCGGCTGTGCCAGCTGCGCCTGTCTGGCGGAAAAGATCCAGGAGCTGGAACAAAGGATCTCCACACTCTACCAGATCCAGGAAGCCGAGAAACTCATGGACACCATCGTCTTCAGAACATCACATCCAGACTCCACCGGCTCGTCGGATCCGGACCCCGCCGCTCCCAACACCTCTCCCCCGGCTGCTGCGACCACCTCTCCTCCGCCTCCTCATCCATCCTTCTTCCCCGAGGTCTCCTCGACAAAGCTGGGAGCAAAACCCAAGGCTAATCCAGAGCCTCCAGCTAGCTCCACTCCATCCCTGCAGGAGCGCTGGTCCCACATCACCGCCCGCACCAGGAAAACAAAGTTCCCACCTCAGGCTCCCCTCTTCCAACTCCACCTGGAGAACAGGTTTGACACCCTGGACCTCCATGACTCCCACCCGCCGCCCGCGGGATCCCAGCCGATGTCCACCCGGCTATCTCATGGGTCCTCTGGTCCTCCGCCTCCCGTGCCCGACCATCCGCAAGCCAGGTCCCTCCGGCGGCGCTCGATGCCGTGCTTCACACCGGCACCACTGCTGGCCCGTGTCCCTTCCCTCTCGCCTCAGTTGTCCTCCCCGGCGAGTTCCCCCCCTCCCCATTCCTCTCTGGTCACGCAGTCTCCACGTCCACTTTTCCCTCCAACGACTTTAATTGTGGGCGACTCCATCGTGAGAAACATCCGCTTTTTTAACGCTCTCACGCGGTGTTTCCCCGGTGCGAGGGTCCTTGACATTTTAACACTCCTCCCCACTCTGTTAAAATCTCTGCCAACTTCCATCCAGAGAATTATAATTCATGTTGGCACCAATGACACGTCCCTCCACCAGACCAATCTGCCTCCAAAGCCCATAGCTTTGCCTTTGTGGACAATTTTAATCTTTTTTGGAACCGTTCGTGCCTTCTTAAATCGGATGGTATCCACCCGAACACCGCAGGTAGCCGCATGTTAGCGGCTAACCTGCAGCACACTGTTCACTGTTTCCCATGTGATTGACTATTTACTTCCCCCCCACACACACACCCCTCTCCCTCTGTTGTGCACCCACTGCTGACAGGTCCTCCCCAGAGCTCCCCCTGCTGGCAAATTCTGTCACCGACTCCCTCTGCCACAGGTTTTCATGACATTTTTTTCCCCACTCCTTAATAATTACAGTAGTATCCAACTTCTCACTATTCCTGTCCATATCACCAACAGACACCACTCTAATAGATACACCACCCGGACTGTCAATCACTCTGTTTTAACAAGCCCATCCATACTGGCTCCCATCCTCACCAAACATGACAATACCTCTGTCAGCTTCGGACTCCTCAACATCCGCTCACTCACCAACAAGGGACACATCATCCACGATCTCCTCACTGACCGCAAGCTGGACTTCCTCTGCATCACTGAAACATGGCAACAACCAAATGACTTCTCATCACTCAACGACTCCACTCCCCCGGACTACACCTACCTCTCCCACCCCCGCAGCCACGGCCGTGGTGGAGGTATCGCCGTCATCCACCACAAAAAGTGGAAAGTTCTACCGCTGTCCTTGCCTCTTTTCTCCTCACACGAACTTCTGGCAATTACACTCCCTGGACCCACTCCCACCATCATCGCCACCATCTACCGCCCCCCCAAGCCTCACTCTGACTTCTTAAATGACTTTTCGGTTCTACTCACCCATCTATGCACACTCTCACCAAACATAATAATACTGGGGGACTTCAATATCCATATTGACAACACCAACCTCCCCCTCACCAGAGACTTCTCATCCTGCCTGGACAGTTTTGGACTCCATCAATTCATCAACTTCCCGACACACACTAAAGGACACACTCTGGATTTACTCTGCTGCTCTGGCCTCATCCCATCCAACTGCACAGCTGATGATCTCCACGTAAGTGACCACCTCCTCATCTCCTTCAGTATTCCGCTCTCCCTCTCTAGAGTTTATTCAACACGCCTCATTACATTCCGCAACCTTAAGAACATAAACATTGACACTCTGCGCTCTAAGATTATGAATATTGTGATCCCGGACTGTTACACTACCCCTGATGACATAACATCTCATTACAACACCTGTTTAAATAGCATCCTCAATTCCCTCGCTCCACTCAAAACACGCTCTGTTTCCTTCTCCACAACTGCACCCTGGTACATCCCCCACCTCCGCTCCATGAAAACCAAAGGCCGCCAACTGGAAAGACTTTACAAGAAAACTGGACTCTCCATTCACAAAGAAATGTACATTAACCACATACGCTGCTACAAGGACTCAATTTCTCATGCAAAAACAGACCACTACTCCGCCCAGATCATCTCCAACAAAGGAAACACCAGATCACTATTCACTCTCCTCAACAAATCTCTCCAGCCACCGGACTCCCTCCCTCCCCACCTGTATTCAACCGACACCTGCAACACCCTAATGCAGTTTTTTAATGACAAAATCTCCAACATCCATAAACAACTACACTCAGGTTCTCTTCCCCCTGGACCCCCTCCAAACTCACCTACTCCCCTGCCACACCACCAGCCCTTCTCCAGTTTTCTTCTCCCCAATGACTCTGAAATCTATGATCTCATCCAGAAATCCAAACCCTCAACCTGTCAGCTGGATCCCCTTCCCACCACACTGCTCAAATCATGCCTCCCATCTGTGCTCCCTCTCATATCTGCCATCATTCACTCCTCACTCACCACTGGAACTGTTCCCGCATCCCTCAAGACAGCAGCCATCACCCCTATCCTTAAAAAACCTGGCTCTGACCCCAATAACTTCAACAACCTCCGCCCCATCTCAAATCTACCGTTTATGGCCAAAATAATGGAAAAGGTCGTCGCCAGCCAACTTCACACCCACCCAACCCAGAACTCCCTCTACGACCCCTTCCAATCTGGTTTCCGCCCCCGCCACAGCACCGAAACCGCACTGCTAAAAATTACTAACGACCTTCTCACTGCATCTGACTCCGGTTCACTTTCCATCCTCATTCTCCTCGACCTTAGTGCAGCCTTCGACACTATCTCCCATCCCATCCTCCTTCGTAGACTCTCCTCCATCGGCATCACCCACACTCCCCTCCGCTGGTTTCACTCTTACCTCTCAGACCGCACACAGTTCATCCAGCTCAAATCATTCAAGTCCGACCCCTCCCCAGTCAGTTCAGGTGTGCCCCAGGGCTCTGTCCTGGGGCCCCTGCTGTTCATCATCTACCTCCTCCCCCTTGGTTCCATCTTCCATAAATTCAACATTCAATACCACTGCTACGCTGACGACACCCAGCTCTACCTCTCCAGCTCACCAAACTCCACCCTCCCACCCACCTCCCTCATCACCTGCCTATCTGAAATTAAATCCTGGTTCACCTCCAACTTTCTCCAATTAAACAGTCAGAAAACAGAAATTCTTCTTGTAGGTTCCAAATCCACCCTATCCAAAGTTGACAGTCTCTCCCTTCCCATCGACAGTTCCTCAGTTTCCCCCTCACCTCAGGTCAAGAGTCTGGGTGTCGTCCTTGACAGTTCTCTTTCTTTTAAATCCCGCATCAGCCTTCCCACTCGCACTGCCTATTTCCACCTCCGCCACATCAATCGTCTCCGCCCCTCCCTCTCCCCCAACACCACCTCCATCCTCGTCCACAGTCTCGTCACCTCCCGTCTGGATTACTGCAACTCCCTCCTCTTCGGTCTCCCTTACACGTCTCTCCATAAACTTCAACTGGTCCACAACTCCGCTGCCCGTATCATCACCAAAACCCCTTCGTCCCACCACATCACCCCCATCCTTCAGCAGCTTCACTGGCTCCCGGTCCCTCTACGAATCCAGTTCAAAATCCTCCTGTATACCTTCAAAGCCATCCACAACCTCGCCCCTCCTTACCTATCTGACCTCCTCCACATCGCCACTCCAACACGCCACCTCCGTTCCTCTTCCTCTCTCCACCTCTCTGTGCCCCCTGTTCACCTCAGCACTATGGGGGGCAGAGCTTTCAGTCGCTCTGCCCCCCGACTCTGGAACTCTTTACCATCACACATCCACAACATAGACTCCCTCCCCCTCTTCAAGTCCAAACTCAAAACACACCTGTTTAAACTGGCCTATCCCTCCCACCACCCCTACCCCACTTTTTTAAATTAAATTTCAATTGGTATTATTAATTTCTTTATTTATTCCTTTGCTGTTGTTCATGTTTAATGTTGCTTTGTTGATTTTAACTGTTTGATGATTAATGATTTTAATTGTTAATAGTGTTTTATTATTGTTTTTATATGTTCTGTAAAGTGTCCTTGAGTGACGTGAAAGGCGCTACAAATAAAATGTATTATTATTTATTAAATGAACGAAAGACCAAGTTGACTGAAAGAACGGGTCAAATGAACGAAAGACCGAGTTGAACGAAAGACCCAGACCGATGAATGAGTTGAACGAAAGACCGAGTGAACGAAAGATCCAGACGGATGAACGAGTTGAACGAAAGACCGAGTGAACGAAAGACCGAGTTGAACGAAGGACCCAGACCGATGAACGAGTTGAACGAAAGACCGAGTGAACGAAAGATCCAGGCGGATGAACGAGTTGAACGAAAGACCGAGTGAACAAAAGACCCAGACGGATGAACGAGTTGAACGAGAGACCGAGTGAACGAAAGATCCAGACGGTGAACGAGTTGACTGAAAGACCGAGTGAACGAAAGATCCAGACAGATGAACGAGTTGACTGAAAGACCGAGTTGACTGGCCGCCGCACGAGGCCCGACAGCCGAGCCGGAGCGAGCGGGACAGTCACACACACGCAAAGGCACACAGCTGCTGCTGCAGCCAGAGGCAGAGACAACTATTAATACGCATTTGCACTGTCTGTTGACATTTTGTATTTTTTTATTATTGTTTTTAATGCACCTCAAAATAATAAAAAAACATTAATAACCTTATATATTTTGTTACTCCTACTTTTATATTACAAGTAGTGCAGCGTTGGACCGGGGGTGGGAAGTGGAGAGTGCAGCAGTCGCAGCGTCGGACCGCGGGGGGGGGGGGGGGGACGAGCGGACTGACTAATGACCTATTGACCGAAAAGAACGAAATGAACAAGGTCTTTTTACTGAACGACCCGGAATGATCCGGTCATCTGAAATGAACGCTTTTGCCCACCACTACTTTTAACAACAGAAGACATCCCCAGAGTGGGGCTCGAGTCGTGGTTTGTGTTGTTCCTCTCAGACATGGTTGTGTTCTCTTCTCGATGTTTGTCCTCCAGAATGGATGTCTCTTGGTTGTATTTTAAACTTTCAAGTTGTTTTAAGTTAATTGTAAAGTAGTTTATTTGTTTTAAATTGAGTTTTGCTACATTAAATTTGTATGCAATCGCAAGGGATTGTGGGTATTTTAGTTCTGAGGAATGAGAGCCTAAGGAATCAATCTTCCTGTTACAGCAAAGAATTGTGGGTAAAACCGTGAGTGAGTGAGGCGCTTCCTTTCTGGCATGAGAGCCTTGGGAATCAATCTCCCTGTTGCAGCAAAGGCTTGTGGGTAAAACCGTGAGTGAGGGAGGTACATTTTTCCTGGCATGAGAACCTCAGGAGTCAGTCCTTCCTAAGAAAAAAGAGGGGAGGGGCGAAGAAAAACAAAAGCACAGGAACCCTAAAACAAAATAAAATAAAATAATATAATATAAAACAATGAAAAAATAAAAAAATAAAAGAAGAACAAAAGTGGATTGCAAAAAGGGAAGGGGAAGAAAAAAGGAAAAAAAGAAGTGTCAAGAGCAGACAGAAATGTAAATTTGATCAATGTCCTGAGGGAAAATCTGTACGTGTGTGTGTGTGTGTTCTTTTTTGCTAGCTTAGTCTGGTGTCACTGATGGTCAGTTATTGATAAGTATTTATTATTTAAATTTTTGATGAAGTTGTTTGTAGTGGGGTTAGCTGGCTAATTTTAGAGTGTTAAAAAAGATGTTAGAGGGGGAGGATTTAGGGGGCACGGCGGTTCCCCTTCAGGTCTCTCTTAATCCTCCATATAGGTGACCCAACAGGGGTTACCCCCCGGCCGGGGTAGGCCTAGGCTGAAGATCACCTATTTGTCCTCTGTGAAGGTGAAAATAAAGGGGCAGGGGAGGGAATAAGAAAGAGGGGGTGTGTTAGAGAGAGGGGGAGAGATGAGGTAGAGAGAGAGAGAGAGGGTGAGAGAGAGGGGGAAGAGGGAAAGAGGGAGAGAGAGGGGGGGGGAGTGTGTGTGTGTGTGTGTGAGAGAGAGAGAGGGAGAGAGAGAGAGAGAAGGGAAGAGGGAGAGGGGGGTTTAAGGGAGAGGTGGAGATGGTGGAAAATAAAGATTGGTGAGGGGGATTTGGTGGCGGATGAAACATCCCATAGCTCCCCAGCTCTCACCATCCATGTGAGGAGAGTGAGCAAGGGACATAGTCCCCCGACCCAACTAGGTCTAGGCTCTGCTCTCCTCACGGTCCTCACAAGATACAAAGAGATATGTAAACGTGGAAGTGAGAGTTCTCTAGGCAGAGTTTTGGGTTTGGTTTGAGCTGAGTTGTTCAGTTGATTATTGATTACTATTTTAAGTTCTAAAAGTGGATAGAGTCAAAAAGTCACAGAGGATTGTGGCGGGAGCAGGTGGTCCGTCTGGCACCATTCTGCTCATGCAGGGATTCGAGTGATAGAAAGAGAATAGATCTTGCCACCGTGACTCGCCATTGAGACTCTCCTCACCTGCTGGTTTTCATACTCTGATAGGAGAGAGAGGTACAGATCAGGAGAGAGGGAGAAAAGGAGGGAGGCAGGGTGGGATCAGGAGTTAATTTGTCTTGAAAAGTATTTATCTTTTCGTCATTGCTGTTAGGGTTTAGATGTTTTTTGTTTAGTTATCTGAGGAATGTAGTGTTGGTATAGGTTCCAAGGTGGAGGATTCTTTGGAATTCACTCTCACCGTTGACCCTGGAAGATCTTAGATCCTATAAAGGGGGGGGGGGTTGGGGAGGGGGTGGGAGGTTGTGTGCACAGAAGGAGCATGGGCTCAGACTATTCTCGGAATGATATTGTGACAAATCTGTCCGTAGGCAGCTGGCTGGTTAGGTGTGGGTAAGAGATACAGTGATAGCCCCCGCTTTCGTCTGTTGACTTGGCGGTTTGGGGTAGGCTAATCAAGGGCTTGCACTGGCCGGCGCATGTCGACCTGTCACATGTTCCCAGTCGAGTCTCCGAGCTCATTCTGTGTGTAAAAATTATGTGTTGGTAGGAAGTTTAATGACTCAGCTCAATTGGTATGCTATGCTATCTATCTTTTAGACTATGTGTTTGTAGAGCAATATTATGTATATATTGTTACAGGGCTAGGTAAAGGTTAAAGGTTTTGGGCGTTAGGGTTAAAATCACTGTCCAAAACCTTTGTAGGAACTCTTTTCCAACCTTTTGGAGATAACTAGACCAAAAAAAAACGAAAAATGAAAAAAAAATGTTTGGGGTGTGAGGGCTTCCTTAAGGTATCAGGTTCGGTGATAGGCTAAGGTTTAAGGTTTTTAGCGTTAGGGTTAAAATCACTGTCCAATGTTTTTTAAGGAACATGTTTCAGACCTTTTGGAGTTAGTTAGACCAAAAAAAACGAAAAATAAAAATAAAAAATTTTGGTGTGGTAGGGCATCCTTAAGGTAATACCTGGGTATTAGGTTACCGGGCTAGGTAAAGGTTAAAGGTTTTTGGCGTTAGGGTTAAAATCATTGTTTAATATTTTTAAGGAACATGTTTCGGACCTTTTGGAGTTAGTTAGAACAAAAAAAATCGAAAAATGAAAAAAAAAATGTTTGGGGTGTTAAGGCTTCCTTAAAGTATTAGGTTACGGGGTTGGGTAAGGTTTAAGGTTTTTGGCGTTAGGGTTAAATTCACTGTCCAAAACCTTTGTACGAACTCTTTTCCAACCTTTTGGAGTCAGTTAGACCAAAAAAAATGAAAAATGAAAAAAAAAATATTTGGGGTTTTCGGGCTTCCTGAAGGTAAGACCCAGGTATGAGGTTGTGGGGCTAAGATGAGGTTTAAGGTTTTTGGCGTTAGGGTTAAAATCACTGTCCAAAACCTTTTTAGGAACATGTTCAGACCATTTAGAGTTAGTAAGACCAAAAAAAAGGAAAAATGAAAAAAAAATGTTTGGGGTTTTAAGGCGGAAGCCTTAACATTTTTTTTTCATTTTTCCTTTTTTAAGGTAATACCCGGGTATTAGGTTAAGGGGTTAGGGTAAAGTTTAAGGTTTTTAGCATTTGGGTTAAAATCACTGTCCAATATTTTTTTAGGAACATGTTTAAGATCTTTTGGAGTTAGACAAAAAAAAGCGAAAAAGGAAAAAAGAATATTTGGGGTGTTCAGACTTCGTGAAGGTAATACCCGGGTATTAGGTTATGGGGCTAGGGGAAGGTTTAAGGTTTTTGGCGTTAAGGTTAAAATCAATGTCCAAAACCTTTTTAGGAACAAGTTTCAGACCTTTTGGAGTCAGTTTGACCAAAAAAATAGGAAAAATGAAAAAAAATGTTTGGGGTGTAAAGGATTCCTTAAGGTAATACCCAGGTATTAGGTTAAGGGGCTAGGGTAAGGTTTAAGGTTTTAGTATTAGTGTTAAAATCACTTTCCAGTATTTTTTAAGGAACAAGTTTCAGACCTTTTGGAGTTAGTTACACCAAAAAAAAAATTAAAAAAAAAAAAAAATTTTTTTTGGGGGGTGTTAAGGCTTCTTAAAGGTAATACCCGGGTATCAGGTTCCGGGGCTAGGGTAAGGTTTAAGGTTTTTGGCGTTAGGGTTAAAATCACTGTGCAAAACCTTTTAGGAACATGTTTCAGACCTTTTGCAGTTGGTTAAACCAAAAAAAAAAAAGTAAAATGAAAAAAAAATATTTGGGGTGTTCGGGCTTCCTGAAGGTAATACCCGGGTATTAGGTTATGGGGCTAGGGTAAGGTTTAAGGTTTTTGGCGTTAGGGTTAAAATCACTGTCCAAAACCTTTCTAGGAACTCTTTTCCAACCTTTTGGAGTTAGTTTGACCAAAAAAAATGTAAAATGAAAAAAAAATATTTGGGGTGTTCGGGCTTCCTGAAATAGGTTATGGGGCTATGGTAAGGTTTAAGGTTTTAGTATTAGGGTTAAAATCACTTTCCAGTATTTTTTAAGGAACAAGTTTCAGACCTTTTGGAGTTAGTTACACCAAAAAAAAATAAAAAAAAAATTAAAATTTTTTTTTTGGGTGATAAGGCTTCTTAAAGGTAATACCCGGGTATCAGGTTCCGGGGCTAGGGTAAGGTTTAAGGTTTTTGGCGTAAGGGTTAAAATCACTGTCAAAAACCTTTTTAGGAACAAGTTTCAGACCTTTTGGAGTTAATTAGACCAAAAAAATGTAAAATGAAAAAAAAAAAATATTTGGGGTGTTCCGGCTTCCTGAAATAGGTTATGGGGCTAGGCTAAGGTTTAAGGTTTTTGGCGTTAGGGTTAAAATCACTGTCCAAAACCTTTGTAGGAACTCTTTTCCAACCTTTTGGAGTTAGTTTGACCAAAAAAAAAAAAGTAAAATTACAAAAAAATATTTGGGGTGTTCGGGCTTCCTGAAGGAAATACCCGGGTATTAGGTTATGGGGCTGGGGTAAGGTTTAAGGTTTTTGGCGTTAGGGTTAAAATCACTGTCCAATATTTTTTAAGGAACATGTTTCAGACCTTTTGGAGTTAGTTAGACCAAAAAAAATGTAAAATGAAAAAAAATATTTGGGGTGTTCGGGCTTCCTGAAGGTAATACCCGGGTATTAGGTTATGGGGCTAGGGTAAGGTTTACGGTTTTTGGCGTTAGGGTAAAAATCACTGTCCAAAACCTTTGTAGGAACTCGTTTCCAACCTTTTGGAGTTAGTTAGACCAAAAAAAATGTTAAATGAAAAAAAAATATTTGGGGTGTTCGGGCTTCCTGAAATAGGTTATGGGGCTAGGGTAAGGTTTAAGGTTTTAGTATTAGGGTTAAAATCACTTTCCAGTATTTTTTAAGGAACAAGTTTCAGACCTTTTGGAGTTAGTTACACCAAAAAAATAAATAAATAAATAAATAAATTTTTTTGGGGGTGTTAAGGCTTCTTAAAGGTAATACCCGGGTATCAGGTTCCGGGGCTAGGGTAAGGTTTAAGGTTTTTGGCGTTAGGGTTAAAATCACTGTCAAAAACCTTTTTAGGAACAAGTTTCAGACCTTTTGGAGTTAATTAGACCAAAAAAATGTAAAATGAAAAAAAAAAAATATTTGGGGTGTTCCGGCTTCCTGAAATAGGTTATGGGGCTAGGCTAAGGTTTAAGGTTTTTGGCGTTAGGGTTAAAATCACTGTCCAAAACCTTTGTAGGAACTCTTTTCCAACCTTTTGGAGTTAGTTTGACCAAAAAAAAAAAAAGTAAAATTACAAAAAAATATTTGGGGTGTTCGGGCTTCCTGAAGGAAATACCCGGGTATTAGGTTATGGGGCTGGGGTAAGGTTTACGGTTTTTGGCGGTAGGGTTAAAATCACTGTCCAATATTTTTTAAGGAACATGTTTCAGACCTTTTGGAGTTAGTTAGACCAAAAAAAATGTAAAATGAAAAAAAATATTTGGGGTGTTCGGGCTTCCTGAAGGTAATACCTGGGTATTAGGTTATGGGGCTAGGGTAAGGTTTACGGTTTTTGGAGTTAGGGTTAAAATCACTGTGCAAAACCTTTGTAGGAACAAGTTTCAGACCTTTTGGAGTTAGTTAGACCAAAAAAAAATGTAAAAGGAAAAAAAAATATTTGGGGTGTTCGGGCTCCCTGAAGGTAATACCCGGGTATTAGGTTATGGGGCTAGGGTAAGGTTTAAGGTTTTTGGCGTTAAGGTTAAAATCACTGTCCAAAACCTTTTTAGGAACAAGTTTCAGACCTTTTGGAGTTAGTTAGACCAAAAAAAATGTGAAATGAAATAAAACTATTTTGGGGGTGTTAAGGCTTCCTTAAGGTAATACCCAGGTATTAATGAACTAATTGCATCTACAGATAATCAATTTGGTTTTTAATCATGACACGGGACAGACATGTGTGTATATGTGTTAAAGGAACTGCTAAGTAATTATAAGAGAAAAAACTCATCTGTTTTTATTTGTTTTCTAGATGCCTCCAAGGCTTTTGATCGGATTAATCATGGAATATTATTCAAAAAGCTGGCTGTAGCGGGTATCCCTAAGTATATAATAATAAGTATACAATCAGAATCTTGTCCTATTGGTATGCCCAACAGACTATGTTCGTAAAATGGGACAACTATCTGTCTGCTCCTTTTCATGTCAGTAATGGAGTAAGACAAGGGAGCATTTTATCACCTATTTTATTTATTCTACATGAATGATTTATCAAATAATTTAACCTCATGTAACACTGGCTGTATGGTTGGCAGTACAGTGATGAACCATCTTATGTACGCGGATGATTGTGTCATCATTAGTCCTAGCTCAGCTGGTCTGCAGCAGCTCCTTAATGTGTGTTCTGTGTTTGGAGAACAACATGATATCAAGTATAATGGGTTAAAAAGTGTTATTATGATCTGCAGAACCAGGGAAGACAGACTTATGACGTTTCCTGATTTTAAACTCTCTGGTAAAGTATTAAATGTCTGCAGCGAAGTGAAATATCTTGGTCACATATTCACAAACCAGCTGACAGATGATGAAGACATTTATCGCCAGTGTCGTATGTTGTATGTTTGAGCGAATGTATTGTCACATAAATTTGGTTGTTGCACTATTGATGTAAAGCTCACTTTGTTTAAAATGTATTGTTCACCTTTGTACATCGTACACCTGTGGCTGAACTATGAAAAAGGCAGCCTTCAGAAGCTGCAAATTGCTTACAATGATGCTCTGAGGATACTCTTAAACAGGCCCAGATGGGCGAGTGCGAGTGAGTTATTTGTGAGTACTGGTGTAAATAAACTGCAAGAGGTTCTGAGAAATGTGATGTACAGGTTCATTTGCCGGTTAAATGACTCAACAAATCAAACTGTGTTGCACATGGTGAACATTGGGCTTGGTGACACACGATGCTTGTCCCATTTTTGGAGGCATTGGTACAACTGTCTTTTGAAGATGAGCTATTAGACTGTTTTTTTTCTAATTCTGTGTTCCTTTTGTACTGTGTCTTAAGTTAACATAAGATATTATCAACATGCTCTGGAGTTTGAAGATCTGTCTGACTCTGTATTTCAGCTGGGGTGAATGTTTTGATGTACAGAGCTTAGGTATTGTAATGGACATTAAAGTCCTTTATTGTACTCCAGATTGATTGATTAGTCTGGGTCACCTGTCTGACTGCCCTCAGTATCACGTTTTTCTTTTGTAATTCCTGACCATGTCTTCTCGCTTTCTCCTCTCCTTTAAACCACTCCGTTCTCTGTAAAAATCAAGTCAAAGTCTCTGTATGACAACTGCTGATAAGAAGACTCTCTATTTTAGTTTTAATCCATTTTAAACATATGACAACTAACCCCAAAAGACATGTTGCCCCAAACTACCATGTTTGCTAATTCTAGCTCAAGATTAAAGTTATCTTAAAACAGAGCAATGACAGAGGTATGACAGGATGTCATAATCTCTCCTCTAACAAGTCCAAATGTTTCACTGCTAGGATTTTTATCTGGAAGAAGCTTATTTTAAAATATATAAAGTTATCTTTTTTCACTGTGGGTTGTATGAAATGGTTAATTGGCACTCATCTCAGTACACAATGTGCTCTTCTCTTCTCAGACAGGACACGACCTCTGACCATGTAAAGGAAGAAAACTAGTATTCCACTTTTTAGTTGTGCCCTCTGGTGGCAAAGATAATTGCAATGTGACAACTTACCTGTGTGACAACAAGCCCCGGTCTCCCCTATTTGAGAATTAGGCCATCCAGTTAAGATAAATGTTATGTTGTTGGTTGTTAAAATCTGGATAAAAGATATTATTTTTAACTTTTAATTTTAATTTTTCAGTTTTCCCCCTGAGGAATTGCCACCTTATTGTAGTCAGGGGGTTTGTGTGCCTCAGCGACCCTAAGAGCAATACCAGCAGGAGCTATAGTCTTCAGGTGGGACACCCAAGTTTGACAGGTCTTAAGGTAGAGGCCTGACAGAGTGCAATCCACTGCTCAGGAGCTGGACACACAGCTAACAACCCATGTTTTGAAGAAAACACTAACAGTCATTGGCGTCGTTAGGCCTATTTAAGGGGGGCTGAAGCCCCCCTAAAATATTCTTTAGCCCCCCTAAATAATTTTATAGATTTTTTTTTGTTTTTTAAATATATATATATATATATATATATTACAAAAAAGTGCAGACAAATTCAATACAAAGACGCAGGAATATGAGTTTAAATAAATAATAATATGACATGTCATTTTTCACTTAAATATGATCACAAATCATTTGGTTTCCCCTTACTTCACTGTGTAAGGTGGAGAGCCTTCGTCAGCGTTTAGTTATTCAATCCGTTCCACTTGTTGATATAGAGAACGCCCACATTACTGAAAATCCAGTCCGCGTTTTCACTGCTGCCAGCAGCAGCACCTACATGCTCCCTGCACACAGTGACAGCTAGACGATCACATCACGAGCCAGGCAGAGAGCAGCATCATGGACATACGCAAGTTTTTCAAAAAAGTAAGTCTTTATAGCTGCTGGTAGTAACAATAAGCTCCAGCTAACAGTAAATAGTCCCATGTAATTTATGAACCAGTTGCTCCCCTTTTTGAGAAATAAAGACCTGGCTATCACACCAATTGTTAGCATGATGTTGATTTCTGTCACTTGTTTTAGCTCTGAAAAAAGCGAGCTGAGCTCATTCACGTATGATTATCATCAGTGGAAAATAATAATGCACTAATAATACTCACCCCACCATCCCCACTGACCTGTAGGAGTCAGGACAGAGGAGCACAGCAAGTGAGAGGGGAGACACCTCTACTGGAGAGGTGAGTCTAAAAGAATTCACAGGAGTGATGCAGACAGTCTGATTAGAATTTTATGGAACTCAATATGGATATGAAATATGAAATTTCAGTCACGGTGCACCATATAAGACTTATTTCATTTGAGTTTTTATTTAAGAGAGTCAAGATTAGAAAGTGGAGAGAGCCAAGAGATAAATTAGCCTGACCGAAATATTTTTGGGGGTTCTATTTTAATATTACTTTAAGTCAAGTAATTTAGTAATATTTTTCAGGGCTTTAAATTGCAACCATTTTAGTCAAATATGGGCCCAAAATGTAATCTGTGTAACATCTTACTATTTGGGAGCAAAAAATTACTGTGGTGTGTGAGCTTAAGTCATGACATTAGCCTCTATGTTGGATTAGTTATTAATTCAATGCGTTTCAATGTATCTTGGAGGGTCAGGCAGAAGGAAAGGCTGAGGAGCTGCAGCAAATGGCAGAGGAAGCTGAGAGATGAGAGCAAACAGGCCAAGAGAGGGAAAATAATGAAGCAGCTGCAGCAACTCATTCCACTACAGGGTTTGATTTAGGTGACAAAGACACAGGGCCCAGACAGGTCAAGCTGAAGAGCTACCCACAAGATAGTTTTGGTACACAGAAGCGAGCATTTCACTACAGCTGGTTTGAAAAGCACAACTGGTTAGGATATTCAGTCAACCAGAATACAGCTTTCTGTTTCCCATGTAGAGTGTTTGGCAAAAACATAAAACATGATAGTTTGGTCAGTAGTGGTTGCAAGAACTGAAGAAAAAACAGACTGAAATAAAACAAAAAAACTCCTGGTGGCCTGAGACTACATCTTAGTTAAATCCGTCCAAAAAAGCTGAAAAGCAATTTCTCAGTCTTTGTTTTCTGTTTGTGAAATTTTGTGCTCGCTCACTACGTTCACTCACATCCTGTTCATCTCTTGGGGGCTAAGCCCCCCCTGTCCTTAAAACCTAGTGACGCCCCTGCTAACAGTGTTAAAAATGTTAAAAAAAAAAAAAAAAAAAGAAAAAGAAAAAAGGCCCCCTAACATTTCTGACTGCCCCCTCATATTTGTATTCCTAGAACCGGCCCTGGTCCTTTTATTTTGAATTGCCATTTTGAATACAAACAGCTGTGAACGATATAACTGTAAGGTCTCAGAATGCTGCTCTGCTGACTCTCCAGCAGAGTAGTATGAGTGTGACAACCTGCTGCATGAGCTGCACATTCAATGCAGTAACTAATCAATATGAAAACAAAACAATAAAAATGATGCAGCCAGTGTAAAAGAGCTGGTCAGCTAGTGGCGTTAAATTATCCAAACTACCAGTACCTGAGGATTGAGGAAACATAAAAATACACTGTGTCTCTGTGGGATGTTCAGAAATGCAAGACATTTACTTCCCTTCAAAGTGCAACCATGTAAACTGGACATTTTAAACTTGAACGGTACCTTCTTAAAGTCCCTGCAAAGTTTATAGCTTAAGTGCACTGGATTAAAAATAGAAAGGACTGCCTATTTTTAAAGTGCAAACTGCAACAAAAGTAAACGCAAACTTAGTGAAAACAATTGTCTTTGTCAGAACTTTGCTCACCTCTCACAATGGAATGTCAAGATTTTTTGCAGGGAAAGGAGGTCATTCACATGCCCTAAGTTGAGGCAGCTCCTTTTTGCGGTGACAAATCACCCGCACTTGAAAAAACCCTCTCTGATACGAGCTGGTCCCTAGGACACGGAGGTATCACTTTGTGAGCCAAAAAAGGATGCTCCTTCTCATTTGCCCTCCACCAGGCCAGAGGATTGTCCTGCAGCCCTGCAGGTCTCACTGCCCTGTATCTTTTGATCTTGTCTTCAGCCTTTTCTGCTCGGGTTTGCTGTGGTCCTCCACCCTTTATTTTTGGTCTGTAGTCTTCACCAAGGAGAGACTCCGAAGTGCTGGATTCTTTAGACTTCTTGGGTAAAGGGGGTTTCATGCCTGCCTCTGCTTCACCATCATCATCATCATCTTCCTGTGCATGAGAGAAGAGAGAGAGAGAATGTGTATAAGAATAGGGCTACTAGTCTAGAATTTGCGGGTGTTTTTTCCTCAGGACTTCTGTTATTACTTACATCAGATAGTTCCACCACTACTTCAGTCTGGAGTCTGGAAAAGTTGTTGTTTCGCTCCTCGTCAGACAGGAACAGGAGGGCTTTAAAGTGTGGCTCCACTGCTGATGTTACAATCAGCATGTCTTTCTGGTTCACATACCTGGGATTTTAAACATTTAAATCATTATAAATTGCAGAAAGATTAATGATAGAGATGTTTCCTATAATATAGTTATGCACATTATGCAATGCATTGCTCCACACACACACATACACAGACACATATGCAATACATAGCTCTCACACACACATAGACACATATACTGTATATGCTTAGGCTTAGCATAGGCCTTCCTTGTGCTAAGATTCTTCTTGATTTCAGTCTTGACCTCCTTTACAATGTTGGAATCCTCTGGGGTGCTGGTCATCTCCTTTAGCAGCAGGGTGTACAAGGGTGCAATCATTGACAGAGTTGGGGACTTTTCTTCAGACATGACCTGAGTGGCCATCTTGATGTGTGCACAGCTTCAGAGCGCTGCCTTCCTCTTTCAGGGTGCACAGTTCTTCATTTCTGCGGACTTTAGGTGTGAGCAGAGCGGCAGATATTGCAGGTTGCTGTTCTAAAAAGTTCTCTAACATATCTAGCACACTGTTCTGGCCCTTCACACAACGTCAACAGTGAGCTTGTGTGCCTTCAGCTGCGGTAACTGCTGCTTTTCTTTGAGGATGTGGGTGGCTGTTGAACTACGGTGAAAATACTTTGCAATGTGCCTCACTCTCCCAAGCAGGCGTGCAACATGTAGGAGTTTGAGACCGGCTTGTGATACGAGGTTTATAATGTGAGCGAAGTAGCCTACATATAAATATATAAATACATCTTTAAATAAATACTTAAATATGTTATCAATAATTAAAATGGGAGTCAAATAAATAAATGTGTCATTAACACGATGGGACGACAGAGCGATGGATTAACATACCATTACACACATATTCTGTGTTTTTCCATGTGTACTCTACATATTCGCATCATTACATACTCTCTACATGTGTATACAACATACTCACATCATTACTCATTCTTACTCCAGGTTTGTGGTTTGTATCACAAGTCAGTCACTGTATCTCATCCCATTATCAGTCACAATCAAGTAAGGTTTGGATCAACGAATTGTCACAAGAGTTTAACACATAGTGTAGTCTCATCAGTTATGGTAATCTGCATATTTGAGTAATTAATCACATATAAACAAGGTAACATTAGGAAACAGGAAATGGTTAATCATTTTTTCTTGAATAAAGTAACACGTGGTTTACTGTTGTGAAATGTTGTGAGTCAGTGAAAGGGTGTCCGAGGTAGGAGGTTCACGGTGATGGTCGCCAGCAGGAGGGGCTGCAAGGGAATTTCCTGTTCAAAGCCGGCAGGTTTTCGCCCTTGCCAGATGTGAACCGAATCAAAGAATGATTAAACATTGTGTTGTGTTTATGAAAAGTAATTATTCTGATCACAAATATGAGTTGAATTGATCTGTTGGTGTAACACATGCATTTGTAGTCAAGGTAACATTATCATGCTGCATAACACTGTCATAACTTAGTCATGTTTAATGTAACCAAAGCAACATTAAGAGGGGATTATGTGGGAGCAAGTAGATTTGAGCAAAGAAAGTTGCAAAACAGGATGCAGGATACGGCCAGAGAGGTCATGTCCACCTGAACTTGTCACACATGGCTCTACCAGATTTCTACAGAAAATTTGGCAGAGCCGGCTAGTGAGCAAAACATGTTTACAGAAGAAGTTACGTTGTTGGCTTTCAGACACCAATGTGAAGACCACTTACGGGAAGATAAGACCTCCAGTGATGTCATTGGAGTGTATAAAAGGGAAAACAGTTCTAGGAGATTCTGGGATTGTTTGGCTTCTGCTGTCCATCTGATTGTCATGAGCTGTGGTTGATGCTGTAATTACAATAAAATCCCGCGAGAGGCTGCCAGCTTGATTCTGTCTTCGTGTAGTTCATTTTTATACCTTTGCATCAATGAAATCTACCATACTTGGTGATGTAGTCTTCTACTACTAACACATATCTGTTACCTTTAGAAGTTATGGGCAGTTCTAGGATGTCAGTCGCCACTCTGAAATGATTGACTTGCTTGAACCCCCCCCCCCCATTGGTGCTCTATGCTTGGGCACCAGAGCCCTGCGGGTTTGACAGGGGATACACTGCTCACACCACTGCTGAATATCCCTGAACATGAAGGGCCAGAAATAAGTCTGTCTCGCTCTTTCCCATGCTCTGTCTGCTGAGAAATGTGCTGCAACGGGACCTCCATGCAGATGCTGCAGCACTTCTGGGATGAAGGGCACAACCATCTGACATATAGCAGCCCCCCATGGTGGGAGATGTCAAAGTGCGACAGAGAAGTCCAATCACCACAGAGAGACGAGGAAATTCTGTCTACAACTTCCGCAGCTGCCGAGGCTGACCTCTCATCTGGTCCCAAGAAGGCCGAGAACCCGTAGTCCAATCCAGTCCAATACTGGATGTCAATGGACATGCCACGCAGACCCAACAGAGGATTAGGGTTGGTTATAATAGTGAAGGCTGGAGCACTGATGAAATGCCTGAACTGGTGCACCGCCCACACTACACTGGCATACTGACTGGCACACAACACCACACTTTCAAGTCCATCCTTATCTTGAGCCAACACGACCCCCACCACTTCCATGGAGGCATCTGTGTACACTTTAGAGGATGCTGATGTATGGCATGGTGACCACAGGAGCAGTGGAGAGCACCACTTTTAAATACTCAAAGGCTGCATTACATTCTATTGTCCACAGGAAAGGCACATCTTTCCAAGTTAAACAGTGCAAGGGGGCGGTGTGCTGTGTAAAGTCTCTGACAAAACGGCGATAGAATGAACAGAGTCCCACAAAAGCCCTTACTTCAGTGGGATTCTTGGGAGTAGGCAAACTCTTCACTTTGTCTGTGTTTCTAGGGTCAGGCTGCAGGCTGTGGCGGGACACCACATGCCCCAGAAACACTTGATCCCTAGCGAGGTGGCACTTTTTGGTATGGTATGGTCTTTATTGTCATTGCAAACTGTGCACAACGAAATTGCATTTACAGATGGGGAAAGTACACACAAGAGGGAGGGAGAGGAGGAGGTAAAAAAAAAAAAGACTGCTCTCATTAATATGAGTGCAGTGACAAAAAAACCCTCAGCAACATGAGCACATTACTGACACCACATACACAGAGATTCGGAGACATGCTATGGTTGTGGGGGGGTGAGTGTGTGCCTATGTGCATGTGTGTGAAGGTTCATGGATGCGTGTGTGCGTAGGCCCAGGAGATCACTCCGTCAAGTCAACAATCCGCAGGTGTCCGTGAAGGAGGGGGTTGAGGAGGAAAGTTCAGAGCGTCTAACTATTTTTAGGGTTAAGTCTGAGGCCAGGTGCCTGAATCCTGGATAAAACCTCACGGAGGCTGCAGAGGTGGTCCTCAAACGTGGGGCTGTATATCAGGACATCATCGAGATACACCATACACACCTGCCACGGAAGTCCCCTCAGCATCAGCTCCATCATATGCTGAAACGTGGCAGGTGAGTTGGTGAGGCCCATCAGCATTGACCGCCACTGGTAGAGACCCGCGGCTGGTAGTGAATGCCATCTTCTCGCAGTCCTCTTCTGCAACCTCCAATGCCAATAGCCATTTGAGAAATCTATGGTGCTGAACCAGAGAGAGCTGGCCAGTGCATCCAAGGTGTCATCCACTCTGGGGAGGAGGTGACAGTCTTTCACAGTTATACTTTTCAAGCGGCAATAGTCAATGCAAAATCTCCACTCGTCATTCTTCTTCTTCACAAGAACAACAGGCAAGGCCCAGGGGCTGCAGCTTTCCTCTATCAACCCATCCTTTAAAAGGACCTCAACCTGCCTATCAATTTCCTCCTTCTTTTCTGAAAAGGCACGATAGGCTCGCTGTCTCACAGGAGAATGGTCACCTGTTTTGATGCAATGCTTGATGAGGGTACATTTACCAGCCACACCAGTTGTTGTGTTGAATATCTCCTGGTGTTCTCTCAAGAGGGCAGCTAGTTGTTCTGTCTGTTGCCTGTTGGCAGGAGCCTCTTTCAGTGACACCAAGGGCAGTTCAGTGGATGAGATAGCAGAGACTGTCTCAACTGGAGCATGTGTGAGTGGCACAATCTCAGATTCATCCACAGAGAACTGTTGCCCCTGAGTCCACTAGGATGTTGACTTGAGTGACAGTCCCTTCAATACTCTTCATCACATAGGAGGTGTGCAGTTGCTCTGTAGTGTCCTCTGTCAGTGTATTAATTGTGGAGGGTATAACATCTCCCAGCTGCATCTCTTTTCCTGACTGATTGGAGATGTCCTCCCTTCTGGGGGAGAGCCGTACTCCTCCGCATCTCTGTGTGTCATCATTAAAGGGGCCCCTGGAAGGTCGAGGACCACGCCAGGTTGGAGAGGGCAGCCCGGTTCCCGACACACACACTGACACCCTGGAGAAGAAGTTCTCCACTCATCCCTCCAAGTGCCCTCTCAGGCACTTATTTTCCACTGTAATCCGTCTGTAGCAGACGACTGGTTTCTGCTTTCTCATCTTTAATTCACCCGCAAAGGAATGCAGTGACTCTGGTCAGAGACTCTGGTCACTGAAAAGAGATGGGGGGTGAATTTCCACACCAAACCATGGTCTTTTACAACCTCCTGTCTGTGGGAAACTAACCAAGAGGTGATCTCCCAAAGACAGACAGTCAATCTTTTGCATTTCAAAGAGACAAAGTTCCTGATCTCCAGCAGGACCCCCGGACTAGATAAACATTCACCCCTCTGCTCTTGGCCGGAGACTCTCAAATTTGACACCTTAACCTTAAAGGTACCTAAGAAGATCATGAGAACTCAACTAAAGAGTGCATCAAAAGCATTAATCTGTGAAACAGACCAAAGCCATAAATCTTCAGAGTGGCTGTGTTTCCTGTGACTTTCTTTAGGTGAAGAATAAGGATTTTTTATCTGTACACCACATCAGCTGTGAAAACAGTCTTTGTCCCGTTTGTTTAGCATATTTATAAGCCAAACTGCTAAATTCACAAATTTATTCCAGGTTTTCTATGGATTAAGAGCTCCCCCAAGTGGAGTTTTAGGAATATGATTTTGGTCAGATTCCAAATGTGTATTCCTTTATTTAATTATGTTGCATGTATATACTTTGTAGCTTAGTGAATGGTTTTCCCAAATTAGGTTAGAAATATTAGAAATAGTAACTGAAGACTCTTTTAAACATGAGTTAAGAATGTTTTGATCGTTTTAATGCTATGCTTGTCTACTTCATCAGAATATATATTTTAATCATTTACTAAATACAGATTGACAAGGTTATATTCCAATTAAGTGTTATCACATATGTGTTTCTTATGCGTGATGGTGTTTCTGTTAGAAAGATAACTTGGTTTTCATCCCTCTCTAACTTTCAAAGAGCTTCTTAATCCTCAGGTTACAGACTACCAGGAAAATGGGTGATTAAAGTTTACCTTGCATTTAATGTTATGATTTGATGCATCTGCTCATAAACGATGAAGTGAAACTATGTCATACTGAATGTGATTTGATAAACAGCATTAATCATAGTGAGTGAGTAAATTAGATCTAACTTGCTTATTAATCCCGCAAGTTAAAATCAATTCGCTTGCCAGCCTGATCAGCCCCCGCTGTGAACAATGGGTGCACAAGCTTGCCCCCTCCTTTGGTTGACGCCCCACATCAAATGGGTTAAAAGTGCTGACGCTACTTGCTCTCTTATCATCCTTTGCTCTTATCGTCCTTTTGTCTCGTGTGTTTTTGTCTCTGTCCATCGTCTTGTAACTTTTTCCCAATTTTTTTTAACACCTTAAGTTTTCAGAGTTTTCCAGAAGCTTGGATGAAACCATACCCAAGTTCCTTTAAAGCATCAGTAATTAGCTGCACGCATAGAGTAACAAAGTCTAAGTCTATTATTTTGTTTAGTTCGCTAAAGTGACTCTGAAAGTAATATCGGCTGGCCAGCGAAATTATTTTCTTAAGTTAATAGGGCATTAATCTACAGTAAAGCTAATGCTGAACGCCTGGAGGACAGACCTGCATCATCTGCCGAGCTGCGTTTGCCACAAGATTCCGGAAGGAGAGCACTGTGGGACCCACGGGGCGCATCTGATGTGCATTTCTGTGTGACAACAGATACACCGTTTGGCCTGCTGCTAGCCGCCCTGCAAAGACCATCTGTAGCCTGGGCCTTCAGTGATCCGCTCCAAGATTGCCACTGAGAACCATCATCAAACAAGTAGGCAAACCCCTCAACACTCCTTGAAGAACTGGGGCCTTATGTATCAACGCTGGCGGCGCCAGAAAACCTTGCGTACGCCAAAATTGGCGCACACGTCCAGATTTATCATTGCGAAACGAGCGTCGGTTCCAGCGCTAATCAACGCAAAGTCAGGAGGTGGTGTAGAAGTTGGCGTTGAGCCGATACTTGCGTTGATGGCACTTTGGCGACGCTGTGTGGCGGTGTTTGGTCACTCACTATGTGACAAGCGTGCACCACATCCCCGTGGCCGAGCAGCACGTTGCCCCACATGACGAACCAGCAGCAGACGGAGGGATGCGAGCTGATCCCTGCCGGGCCGCCGTGTCTCGCGGGAGAATCTCATCGCCACAGTGTGAATGGGTAAGAAGTGAATACACAGTTCAATGAGCCAAATTAATTTATTTTCGCCACCAGACGCTCGAGGACATTTACGAGCTGGTCCAGCCGCTCGTTGATCCCCGCGACCCCCCTGATGATTTCTTCCTGCGATTGCAGGACCGCCTCCATGAGGACCCTTCCACTGCGTCTGGGTGGTCCAGCGGAAGCGCCGCGGCTGGTGGACGCTCCACCGCTTGTCGGCGCGCTGGTGCTGATGCTGGTGCTGGTGCTGGTGCTGGGGCCGGGGTGGCCCGAATGCCGCTGGTCCTGGCCGACAACTCGGCGGACGGGCTGCCGCGGGCCGGGGCTCCGCAAGCCGGCGACACGGCCGACACATTGATTTCTGTGACACAATAAAAATATTGGATCATTTCAATTCCTGCTTCTGTGTATCTGTTGCGTTTACGTCTCTCTCCACGTTATCATAGGTAATGTAATCCAGTATTTAGAGGTCAGTTATGCACATTACAGTTGTTTATTGCATAAAAACTTATCGAAAAATGAAGTAAAGGGCGAAGTATAAATCACGTCTAAAAATAGACTGAATCCCGACGTTGAAATGAAGTTTAAACTTAGACTAGACGTCTAATATACGTCTTTTGCTCAGTAGGATGGCAAAGCATGTGGACATTTGTGTGACATGCCACTTACCCTATAATAATAATCGCCACCACCCGCTGCTCAAACGGCGTGAGGGTCTCCTCCCCAGGACCCCCACCTGTCTGGCCGGTACTCCTCCGGAGGGCAGCTGTACGCCGCTTGACCTCCACCTTGAGGTCCGACCACTTTTTTTTAATCTCCGCGGGGGTGCGTGTCTCGGAACCCATCGCGTTCACCCTCTCGCAAACTTTCTCCCACTCCAAGCGTTTTTGTTTTGCACTGAAGCCACTGGATAGGCTGCCAAACAAAACACGCTGTCGCTCCTCCACCTCCGCCACCAGCACCTCCACCTCGCATGCCGTAAATTTAGTTTTTCTTGTCATTTTGTCTGCGTGCGAGGACAGGGAGACCCTAATTAAATAAATCTGCATATTTATAGGAGGGCGTAACGGGGACGGGCCCAGTCACTCCGACATCTGCGCTCAATTCCACGCTGATTGGGATTTATCAAGGAAACACACGTGGATTTCGGCGCCCGCACACATTGATACATACAGATTTTTTTCAGCGTGACGGACCTTGCATGCGCTCGTTTCTGGTATGAGTCCCACGCAAGTGTTGATTCATAAGGCCCCTGGTGATGCTGTCAAGCGTTCAGAGCTTATAATTTTAATTATAGTTTAGTTTCTCCAAATTCCTCTTCAAAATTGATCCTTGTAACCCCATTAACGTAGGTTAAATTTTTCCTTATTCACTCACTATCATTAACCTCCAGTTTTAGCTTAGTTCAAACCATTACGTCATTCATTCATTAGATGTTCTTTTATTTTCCCATTATTTGATCGTCATTTAGTGAACTTATGTTATCACCTAGTATTTGTCAATAAATTGTCCATTTAATTTTAAGTTGTCGTCTCTTTGTGGTCCTTCCAGAAGTGAAGTCCCTAAAATAAGAATTCCGGCCTCAGATGCGAGAATTAATTTAAATCTGTTTAAGACTGATATAAGAACGTTTGATTACTCAATTGAACTTTGTTTTGTCTTTTTCCCACTGGAAAAGGTGGGTGGTGCCCCTTCAACGAGTACATAAATGTCATTATTTAATTCTATTATTTTAGGACATTTATTTTGAATTCGAATCGCTACATGTCTCATTTCCAGTCTCATTTCCCTCATGTCCTCAGTAAGTCTCTCTATAGCTTTGTACGCACCTCCTCCATCTAATATAGAGTGCACTATGGCAGTTGCACTCCCTCCAGGGGAAGCGTGACGCGCCTGGATGTTGACCAGTGGCGATTGCTCTAAGACTGCAAGGGAAGCTCAGCGTCCCTTAAAATGTCACCCCCCCCAAAAAAAGAAAAAGTGGTGAAATACGTACTGCTGTGTGTACATTTCATTAACTAAATATGCGCTAGAAAGCCTTCATCTTTTGTTCATCTTTTGTTCTTATCACACTGTAATAAGAAGCTGACAAATCACAGGTAACCGGCACAACTTTGTTCTCATTCATCCTCGCAGCGCCTCAGCGCTTCACACAGCCGGACGCTCAGCGTGTGCTGACTTCAATGTGGAAGCTCAAAGTGGGTTGTTCCAGCAACGAAACTAGATGCTCATTGGATAAATGCTGGGCTTTGTCCTGCCCATCGGACGCTCAGCGTCTCTGGAGTTCTATGACGAGAGGGCGGTCCCAACTTTCTCGCGGACGCTGAGCTTCTGCATCCATGACTGGATGAGCTATCTGAGGCGAAATCCTTTTTTGATTGACAGCTAAACAAGCGAATCAGCGATCTTGAAGAATAAAACATCTACCAGAGCATTTTCCAAGTTATTTATTCCGTTGTTCTTAACTGCTCCGGAGACTTTACGGATCCTCAGCGACTTTTGTCTTTGTTAAAAATGACTGCCGTTGTGTTCGGCGACTCTGTTCTGTTACATACAAATAAACAAACACAATTATGATGTAGGCCAGAAAAATGAGCTTCCCCTCCTTGAAAGACCAGCAGCCACCACTGATGTTGACATAGCCCATTTTCAAAGCCTCTCTGGCCATTTCACATCAGCCAGAAATGACCAGGGGCCTTATGTATCAACGCTTGCGGCGCAAGATAACCTTGCGTACGCCAAAATCGGCGCACACGTCCAGATTTATCATCGCGAAACGAGCGTCGGTTCCAGCGCTAATCAACGCAAAGTCAGGAGGTGGTGTAGAAATTGGCGTTGAGCCGAAACTTGCTTTGACTGTGATTCGCACTTTGGCGACGCTGTGTGGCGGTGTTTGGTGACTCACTATGTGACAAGCGTGCACCACATCCCCGTGGCCGAGCAGCACGTCGCCCCACATGACGAACCAGCAGCAGACGGAGGGATGCGAGCTGATCCCTGCCGGGCCGCCGTCCTCGCGCGGGAGAATCTCATCGCCACAGTGTGAATGGGTGAGAAGGGAATACACAGTTCAATGAGCCAAATTAATTTATTTTCTCCACCAGACGCTCGAGCACATTTACGAGCTGGTCCAGCCGCTCATTGATCCCCGCGATCCCCCTGATGATTTCTTCCTGCGATTGCAGGACCCCCTCCGCGAGGACCCTTCCACTGCGTCCGGGTGGTCCAGCGGAGGCGCCGCGGCTGGTGGACGCTCCACCGCTTGTCGGCGCGCTGATGCTGATGCTGGTGCTGGTGCTGGTGCTGGTGCTGGTGCTGGTGCTGGTGCTGGGGCCGGGGGCCGGGATGGCCCGAATGCCGCTGGTCCTGGCCGACGACTCCGAGCCGGCGGACGGGCTGCCGCGGGCCGGGGTTCCGCAAGCCGCCGACACGGCCGACACATTGATTTCTGTGACACAATAAAAATATTTGTTCATTTCAATTCCTGCTTCTGTGTATCTGTTGCGTTTACATCTCTCTCCACGGTATCATAGGTAATGTAATCCAGTATTTCGAGGTCAGTTATGCACATTACAGTTGTTTATTGCATAAAAAGTTATCGAAAAATGAAGTTAAGGGCGAAGTATAAATCACGTCTAAAAATAGACTGAATCCCGACGTTGAAATGAAGTATAAACTTAGACTAGACGTCTAATATACGTCTTTTGCTCAGTGGGATGACAAAGCATGTGGACATTTGTGTGACACGCCACTTACCCTATAATAATAATCGCCACCACCCGCTGCTCAAACGGTGTGAGGGTCTCCTCCCCCGGACCCACACCTGTCTGGCCAGTACTCCTCCGGAGGGCAGCTGTACGCCGCTTGACCTCCACCTTGAGGTCCGACCACTTTTTTTTAATCTTCGCGGGGGTGCGTGTCTCGGAACCCACCGCATTCACCCTCTCGCAAACTTTCTCCCACTCCAAGCGTTTTTGTTTTGCACTGAAGCCACTGGATAGGCTGCCAAACAAAACACGCTGTCGCTCCTCCACCTCCGCCACCAGCACCTCCACCTCGCATGCCGTAAATTTAGTTTTTCTTGTCATTTTGTCTGCGTGCGAGGACAGGGAGACCCTAATTAAATAAATCTGCATATTTATAGGAGGGCGTAACGGGGATGGGCCCAGTCACTCCGACATCTGCGCTCAATTCCACGCTGATTGGGATTTATCAAGGAAACACACATGGATTTCGGCGCCCGCACACATTGATACATACAGATTTTTTTCAGCGTGACGGACCTCGCGTGCGCTCGTTTCTGGTATGAGTTCCACGCAAGTATTGATACATAAGGCCCCAGGGCCTCTTCAAGGTCAGTAGCCCCCTGCTCATGACATTTAGCTTGCAGAGTTGGATCGAGCCCCACCAGGAACCTGCAGAAAATGTCTCTGTCCAAAAGCCTCGAGCAGCTTTGCTTTAACTGCAGAATAATCAGCATGAAAAGCTGCTGGCAGGCTGTCCCACAGGAGGAAAGCAGCCTTGGTCAGCCATGTTGGCAAAAGTCCCACCAGTTCATAATCACAGTCACCTCCGATGCCTCCCATTAGCGCTTTCACAACCACTTCATATTGGCGGCCCAACAGGGGAAACTTTACTTGCCTTCTCCAGTGAAGGGCGGTGGGAGTTCAATCCTGACTCCACTGGCGAAGGATCCTTCACCGTGTCGCTCTCTGTCAAGCAGGCATGGGGTCCAGCTCAAACTTCCACATATTTGCAGCTCCAGTCATTTCGTTCTTCTTTTCTTTAACCAAGCCAATTCATACCGCGAATTGCAGGTCCAACGACACGGCAAATACGTTTGGCTAAGTACACTTGAGCAGCTAAGCTGCTGGGGAAAAAAAAAAAAAACATTAGCGAACCTTTCTTTCTTTTTCTTGTTATTCTTGTAGGGAATCCCACTGCTGCCACCAATGTAGCCGAGTGCAGGGCTGCTTATACTGTGTAAGGATTAAAATAAAGGATGATACAAACAGCAGGAGCGTCCACTCTGTTTTATTTCTCTTCCTTTTTTTTCACGTCAACTTCACCCTGTTAACCACAGCAACCACTTCTGGTCCTCCTTCAAAATAAACCCTGGCACATCCTGTGCACTAAACCGTGCCTGCCCAAACTCCACTAAGGCATACCACAACAAAAAATAGGTTACACTAGTCTGGTCGCAGGTGAGACGCCGGTAGCTGCTTGGGTCTCTCTCTTCCTCCCTCCTCTCGTGTGTGTATGTGTGTGTACCTGCTGCCGCAGAAGAGTGAGTATGGCATCAATGTAGGTCGCAACCACAGCATTATTAGTTAAATCAACAATTCCATTTTTAACAGGTTAGATCCGATGTAATGACGTGCAGTGGTCCTCATCTGCCATAATCAGCTGATTAGGAGCGTGCTGTTTTTGCTCCTCTGTTGCTGCTTTGTCTCTTGGCTTTGCCTGCTTTGTCTCCTGTGCTGTTTGCTACCTTTAGCCTGCTCACTGACTAGCTTGGGCCTTTCGAGTGCTAATAGGACCTGTCATTAGCTGTCTGTCTCCTACCTGGCGACTGCCTAGAGAACTTTTGATTGATTGCAATCATGTTTTAAGGGTGTGAGTAAGTGGTGGGGATATTTGTTCTTTTATGCTTGGTTTAATTTGTTTAAGTTAGCCTTCTTTTGTTTTCTCATCACTTTTGATGATGGGGCGTCTCCATCACAGCTCCTGTAGCTAAGCTGCTATGCCACTTTCAGCTGCTCAGAGCTCCGAGGAGAGAGGGGACGAGTCAGAACTTCGGGAGAGGGGTGTGTTGAATTGACCAATAGGAGCTGTTCGGGCTGTGTTCAACATCATGCGTTCCGTACAGTAAACAGGATGAGAAGAAGCAGGAAAATTTGAGGCAGTGGAAATAAAGGACAAAAACCGTACGGTATGTTAACAAAACATGGCATTCTTGTCAGTGGTTTGCACACATAATGCTGAAAGAAGGAGGAGAGGACAGGCTGTCAGAAGGAGAAATCTTGGCTGTCCTCTTAAAAAATGAATGCTTGGGTGAAAAGTTTCGCCATTCTCCGCTTTTCCGCCGTCTGCCCAGGCGCTTTGCATTGTGTGTAACAGTAGGCGGAGCAGACTGGTCTAATGCATACTGTGAAATTTTCCCGAATCAGTACGTCATCCGGGTATTTTTGGCATACAGCAAATTTCACATTTGTTCGCCTACTGCATACTAAATTTTTGGCAAATCAGTATGTACTGCTTGTATGGTTGGCGAATTGGAATACGGCCACTGTTTTATTCACACAGTTACTATATCATATTTCCAGATGTCCAATTGAAGAAAAAACTTAAATGGTTAAAATAGTTCTTGTAAGACACTGTTAAATATTCGCTTGTGTAGTTTGTGATGATATCAGCTAGTTGTCAATAAACAGAGAATTGACCCTGAGAAATCTGTGACTTCATGTCTATAGTCTGTACATGAGGAGGGACCTCCCATGCTGAAACAGACTGGAGACAAACTGTAAGATAAAAAATATTGTGGATCAATAGACATTTAATTAACCCTGTGTTTACTAAGTGTGTATAAGGTTCTTATTGCAAATACTACTACAACCATGGACAGTTTGTTTGATATCTTTATGTGCTCTGTATTCGAACGGAAAAAAAAAACAGATTTACACTCCATAACGGTTTGCACACCTCTTTTCTTCACACTGTGCAATTGTCTCATTCTTTGTGTCTATTTCAGTGCACACACACAAAACCTGTGGAAAGCCCCAGTGTTTAGCAACGGGTGTAGAAGAGTAATGATGGGTGGAGAAAGACACAGCATGAATTACAGGTGATGAAATATTTAGCCTGTCAGTCTCCAGGCCATAAAAACTGGATCTGGTCAGAGAGCCAGAACCTGCTGGGCGGCATTCCTCGCTGACATTTCCCCGATGCGCCACGGAAACTGGGTGTGACAAATGTTGTGAAATTTGGGAGAAAACATGCGGGGGCCCATTATTGGCTCACTCCACTGGACAGCTCTGAAAAGAGTTAAAGGAAAATGTTTATTGGTGTCACAATCATGCCATGCCCAATTCTGCACCTTTGTCCTTATGACAGCAGGAGCTACAGAAACTGCTGTGTGAACCCTAAAACTCATTAACGTTGCATGAATGAAAACAACATTCAACAACATTAACATCTATCATCATAATTACAACCACAAATCACTAGTCACTAAGATCTTGCTCAGTTCTGTTTACAGGTCAATTTGATAAGACTGCATACATACCTGTGTGTGTGTGTGTAAGAATATAAATCACCAGCACACAGCCCATTGCCTGTGAAGAATGAGATAAGGTCAACAATTACTGAAGATTAACTCGAATAATGAGAATTAAATAAGGTTCTACACAATACATTCAACACACACTTTGTTTGTTGTGTGCTACCTTGTGTTAACAGGCTTCATGAAGAAATTAATAAATGAAAGACAGAACCATTACAAAATCAAAAACTGAATAAATTTCAAGCCTGTCTCAGAAGATGCACACACAAACAATCTTTCTCTCTCCACTGTCCTAAACCAACAGGTGGCAGCAGTGAGTCTATGAGGCCCAAAGACTTTAACTTCAGGTGTGTTTGCAACATGACACCTGAACACACCTCTAATACCCTGCTAGTTGTGTGTGTGTGTGTGTGTGTGTGTGTGTGTGTGTGTGTGTGTGTGTGTGTGTGTGTGTGTGTGTGTGTGTGTGTGCATTTGCCCTGCAGTCAGTGTTAGCATTCTGTCAATAGTCCTGAGAATCTTTTCTTTGATCTTTGACCTCAGGTTTAGGTGTGTGCACTTTATACCCTAACATATTTGTGTTCATATATTTACTGCATTGTAAACAAACTATGTCTATATTAAAAAAACAAAAAACATATAAACAGGCTCTTTATTATAATTATGATTGTTATTATTATTATTATTATTATTATTGTGTGTGTGTGTGTGTGTGTGTGTGTGTGTGTGAGAGAGAGACAGTGTGTGGGAGAAAATGTCACAGAGGTGGCTGGTTGATGACTGGTTAATGGTCTTGAAGGAAAACAAGTTGAATCTTCAGTTAATTTTGTGAGTTTCTGATTCGAACGTCAGTTTGTTTTCCCCCCTATTTTTAGAAATCTGACTCAACAGCTATCAGGACAAAAAAGGTATTTTGTAATGAAAACATGAGTAAGCTAACACTAAGCAAAACAAATTCATCGGCACATGAGAAGAAACGCAACACAGACAGTTTAGAATTTTTATCTTTTAACCAAGAAAAAACTTTGATCCAATCCAAAAATACTCTTTTGATCTCAGTGTGTTTGAGGTGATTTAGCTGGATTAAAAATTAAAATAAGAAATAAAAAAGCCATCTTACACAGTCTGATGGAGTTAATAAAAATGAATTATCTATTAAAAGGTTTGATGGAGGTTAGAGAAACAAAAAGGCCTTCAGACAAGGAGGCAGGTTTGTTTTGTTCATCCAGTTCTCGGGAAAGAGCAATGGAGGTGTGGCCATCTACAGATGGAATTCCCCTGAACTCACCTGAGCACCCCTCCCCCTTCCTTACAGGAGTATAAAGGTGTTCAGGTGTTAAAAGCAGCAACAGGTGCATCACAGTTACACACAGAGGAGACGTAACCACATACATACACTGACGCACACTCACTCTGAGGATTCAGACGGCTTCCTAAACGTTCCCACACCAGACTGTCTCACGCTGTAAACAGGTAAGGCAAGTTTACTTCATCTTTTATTTCAGTTTTGATTTCTGAATGTTAAAAACTCCTACAAAGCAGATTCTGTTAAACATGATCATTGATAGTAATTAAAACAACAATAAAAAATGATAAATTATTACAAACAAAAATAGATTTCCTGAGAGAGTTTCTGCAACAGCTTTCCTCCAAAGTTTATCTGTAACATTCTTCCTCAGAGTCTCCATGTCATCACCGTGCCTCAGCAGCGTCCTGACCTGTGCCAACCTCACCATGTACCAGACCAGTGACACACTGTTGCACCAGGCCAATGTGCTTCCCAGTATCAACACAGTGCAGACCAGTAACAACTGCCTGCACTCCAGTAACCCAGCATATAGCTCCAGCATTACCGGTAAGAGAAGCTGTTTTACTGTTGATGATTCAGTTTTGTTCGTTGTCTTTTTAATGTGTCAGAGAAATTTCATCTCTTAGCTGCTGGATTTAATAGTTTGTGTCATCTAAGTGAGTCAAATCTAACAAACAGTTTAATACCGCCTGTTTATAATCCAGTCAGAGTTTCGACTCTAGTTTTAGGTAAGCCTAATCACAGGGTAAACACTGTCCTGTATTGTCAAACGTCAGCGCCACCATTAGCCTGCTGGACTTTGCTGTGACCTCCTTTGGTTTCTGTCGGTTCAATCATTGACCAGTCAGCTAAAGTTTAACTCAGTTTAACGGTCGGACAGAAGAATACAGCCGCCTCAGCTATCTGACAGCTCCAGCTTTGTTTCACTTACCTCAGAGACATACAGTAAGACTGATGATGATAAAGACCTGTACACCTTCATCATACGGCTGAGCAGCTCCACATCAGACAGACAGATAATCAGGGGGACAACAATAGCTAACGTCATATGAACCTCAAGAACAACATCAGAAGAAGAAACCTGTTTGAAATGACCTTTTTGCCTGTTTTGAAACACTAAAAGTGTTAGGAGGAGCATGCCATCTCTAAAAACACGCCGTGTCTGGCAGGAGAGGTATGCTGTCTGACCTCTTACATAAGCTCACCTGTGGTCTGTTTGCAGGAGAATGGTACAGACACATCAGCCCTCTATGCTGGTCAACAGAGAATGTCCTGGAGTGGATCAGCGACCACGTAGAAAGCACAAACTTTGATGCCAGGACTTTAAGTCTAGCCTGCTGCTCCATGGATGGCCCTGCCCTCTGCACTATGACCCGAGACCAGATGATGGGGGTCTTTGGCCCTCAGCTTGGACTGCAGCTTCATCAGAGTCTGCAGGAACACAAGGCTAAATATGGTAAAACTACCAGCATCTTATTTATGGTTTAGAGTCCTAGTTATCATGTGACCATAACTCACATGACATCATAAAAGGTCACATCATGTGACCAGCCCTTGGTGTGAATTACCTTGTTTATTTTGTCATGGACTGAGAGACTTTAATATTATGATTGATAATAATAATAATAATAATAATAATAATAATAATAATAATAATAATACGTTTTTACGAAACGCAATAAGGAATGAATCAATATGAAATGTGAGTCACATGACATCAATATAGGTATGTTAGTATTCATCAGATGTATTCAGTCCTCCACCATCTCATTTTTTCCTGTTGTTGTGTCATTTTCTCAGAGATGCAGAGTTTTTCTGGACCAGAGCTAAATGAGACCTGCCAGCTGCTGGATCACTTCCTGGACAACCTGAACTTCCCTTTGCTCAGCACCATCAGGATTGGCCAAAGTTAGTATCCTGCAAACAAGCATAAACTGATTTTGTGTAGAACTGAAGGCTAACCCCCACAAACTGCCAACAGCTGAAGGACCTGAGAGCAGGAGAGAGTTTGACTTCAGGGACGATAACGATCTGAGCAGTCTGTCTCTGGAGCCCGTGATGCCTTGGGGAGACTCTGAGTACCTATCTGATAATCAGTCTGACAGCGAGTTCAGCTCCTCCTCCAACAGTCAGTATTTTCTTTTCATGTGTTTCTCTTTGTTTCATGTTCTTCACGTTTTCTCTACTTTAAAAAATTGATCTCCTGTGTTCAGGCGGCACATTTGGCTTCTCAAACCTTGGCTCACCAGAGTCTGGCAGCTGTGAATCAGACCCTGAGTTCTCCTACCCCTCTATTTCAAGTAAGTAAGCAGAAAAAGTGCTGGTTTATTGGGCTCCCTGGATTTAGAAGATTATTAAGGTTTCTAGTTTTTTAGTTTAATTGACTTTTATAAATTACTGTTTTGTTGACAGAGGTTCACATAAAAACAGAAAAGGAAGAGTGTCGTCAGAAGCGACCAAGGGGCCGGCCTCCAAAAACCAGTCGAGAGAACAGCAACAGCTTTTACGAGACCCAGAAAAAGAACAAACATGGTAAGGCTGTGTTTGGACTCTGTATCTTTCTTTTCACAGAGCAGCTTTAGAAAAAACAGCACCACATACACACGCACGCACACACGCACGCACACACCTAAACTCACCAGGTCCTTTGTGCGCAGCTCCTCGAGGCACTCACCTTTGGGAGTTCATCAGAGACATCCTGATTCACCCGGAGAGGAACCAGGGCCTAATGAAGTGGGAGGACCGCCGTGAAGGTGTCTTTAAGTTCCTGAAGTCTGAGGCTGTGGCTCAGATGTGGGGCCAGAAGAAGAAGAACAGCAGCATGACTTACGAGAAGCTCAGCCGGGCCATGAGGTAAGTAGCTCACAGAGATCAATTACTCCTAATCAACTCTAAACTTCATAATATTCCATATTAACAGAGTTTTGGTTCAAAGGTCACAGACCATCTTTTAGACTTCATGAGACAGCTTTAATGTTAGCTGATAGTGTAAATGCTCCAAAACAGGAAAATATCATTGATTACAATAGAGACCAGAGCTTTGCTTTTGAAAAATGAGAAATGTATCAGCGGTACTTCAGGCCATAGAGGGCTCATAGCTTAAGTCTTTAACTAGGACTAACTGGCCCCTCACCTGCCCCTACAGGTATTACTACAAGAGGGACATCCTGGAGCGGGTGGACGGCCGGAGGCTAGTCTATAAATTTGGAAAGAATTCGAGCGGCTGGAAGATGGAGGAGATTGGCATGTGAGCTGGAAGAAGTAATGTTTAAGACACAAACTTCCTCTCAGAGGGAAGGTGTTGCAGAAAATGTAAGCCAGTGTTTTTGGCTCCTGTAGGTTTTATGAACCGATATTAATGTGGTCATGTTTTATGTTTCTTGTTGTTGTCTTTGATGACTGAGTCTCTGTCAGTCAAACCGGGAGAAAAAAAAAAGCTCTTTTATTTGTACAGAACTTACTCTGACCTATGTAACTGTTTCACATCTGTGCTGTTTCTCCGTCTTTATCTCCATGCAGTCTGTTTAGTTTGCAGACCTTGTTGTCGTACTGGAGACCATCTTATTTTGATACTCTTATTTAATGTGTTGTTACAGGGTGAAGTTTAGTTTGGATCTTAAAGATGGACGATGTTTATGAAAGTCTGTTGAAGGACAGAGAATGTATGATAAATGTGTCTTCATCACATTTTCTCAGAAATGATGTGCACTACATGTCTATCAGTATCACTTATTATCAAGTGTGTTTACACAATTTGTTTTGTACGTGTAATCATTGTTTGTATGAATCAAAAATATGAAGAACATTGAGTGATTTTTTTTACTTAAACCAATTCTTTGAAAAATGTCCAAATATTTATGAAACCATTTTTTTTTCTGTTTTTATCACAACTATAGTTGACATCTATTGGCTCTTGCAACTCTTTTTGTAATGAATCGTATGATATTAAAACAATAAACAAATAGAAAAGGTAACTGTCTGTGCCGATGAGTCCTTCATTAAACTCAAAGTTCAGCCTTATGACTTTCACATCGCCGAGAGTTAAATTATCGCTGATGTAGCTCCTCCTACCCTCTAATAGTGAGCAATCTCTCCCATAAAAAGTAAAAACCACAAACAGGAATTTCTTAACAAAAGGAAGAGTATTTTTTCTTATATTAACAACTCTTCTTTAGAGACATCAAAGACCTCCAGAACACAATATATATAATATTTCAGTCAGGACCACTGAGGGCTGGCTTAGGATCAGCTGACTGTGGCCTGTAGTTTGACTTTGTGTTCTGCCTAAACTACCGCTATGCTTAAGTTCAGTCAGGACCACTTAATTAAAATTAATTATTTATTACGAGCAAACATTTTTGCATTGGTGGTTTGGCTCTGTTCTGAGAGTTCCCTGTCCTTCCATGTGCTTGCATGGAATGCCACGGCTATGAGAGGGGAGAGCTCCTTCCCTCCCTTTCATGTGCATACATAAAAAGCCAAGCAAGACCTGGAAGGGCGTGATTGGAAGGAATGGCCTGCCCAATCTAAACTCGAGTAGTGTTCAGTTGTTCTGTGCAAGTCACACTTTGTCCATAACTAACACCATGTTCAAACATAAGGTTGTTCATTGGTGCTGCAGGCACCATGTTGGCCTAGGCCGTAGGTTAATGATTGACTTTGTAGTCGTATCATCTGATCTGCGGCTGCATGTTTTGGACACTCAGGTGAAGAGAGGTGCAGAGCTGTCAACTGATCAATACCTGGTGGTGAGTTGGGTCAGGTGGTGGGGAAACCGCGCAGACCTGGCAGGCCAAAACATATAGTGAGGGTCTGTTGGGAACACCTGGTGGAAGAACCTGTTAGGTTGGCTTTCAACTTCCACCTCCGACAGAGCTTCAACTGCATCCCGAAGGCAGAGGGGGACATTGAGTCTGAATGGGCTTTGTTCTGCTCTGCCATTGTTGAAGCAGCTGTTGCGAACTGCAGCCGCAAGGTCACTGGTGCCAGTCGTGGCGGTAACTCCAGAACTCGGTGGTGGACACCAGAGGTGAGGGGAGCCATCACGCTGAAGAAGGAGGCCTACAAGTCATGGTTAGCCTGTGGATTTACCAGTCGATCGACGTGCCGATCCTCACCTTTGGCTGTGAACTTTGGGTAATGACCGAAAGAACAAGATTGCGGATACAAGCGGCCGAAATGGGTTTCCTTCGCAGGGTGGCTGGGCTGAGACTTAGAGATGGGGTAAGGAGCCCGGGCACTACGGATGTGCTCAGAGTAGAACCGCTGCTCCTCCATGTCAAGAGGAGTCAGCTGAGGTGGCTCAGGTATCTGGTTAGGATGCCTTCTGAATGCCTCCCATTGGACGTGTTCCAGACATGTCCCACTGGGAGGAGACCTTGTGGCTGGCCCAGGACCAGGTGGAGGGATTATATCTCTCACCTGACCTGGGAGTGCCTGGAAATCCCCCCGGAGGAGCTGGTGGAAGTGGCTGGGGTGAAGGCCATCTGGGCTTCCCTCCTGTAGCTGCTGCCCCCACGACCCGGACCCGAATGAAGCAGAAGAAAATGACAACAACGACGATGGTATGGGGGTGCATTAGTGCCCAAGGCATGGGTAACTTACACATCTGTGAAGGCAAAATCAATGCTGAAAGGTACATACAGGTATTGGAGCAACATACGCTGCCATCCAAGCAACGTCTTTTTCAGCAAGACAATGCCAAGCCACATTCTGCACGTGTTACAACAGAGTGGCTGCGTAGTAAGAGTGTGCAGGTACTCTACTGGCCTGCTTGCAGTCCAGAACTGTCTCCTATTGAAAATGTGTGCCACATTATGAAGCACAAAATACGACAATGGAGACCCTGGACTGTTGAACAACTAAAGCTGTACATCAGGCAAGAATGGGAAAGAATTCCACCTTCAAAGCTTCAACAATTAGTCTCCTCAGTTCCCAAACGTTTACTGAGTGTTGTTAAAAGGAAAGGTGAGGTAACACAGATGTAAACATGCCCCTGTCCCAACTACTTTGGCACGTGTTGCAGCCATGAAATTCTGAGTTAATGATTATGTTAAATTAAGGAGTTTGAACATTAAAAATCTTGTCTTTGTAGTATATTCAATTGAATATAGGTTGAAAAGAATTTGCAAATCATTGTATTCTGTTTTTATGTATGTTTATCACAATTTCCCAACTTCAATGGAACTGTGTTTTGTAAATCAAGTGTTGATCTGTTACCTGTCAGACTAACTCGATAAACACCTTTACCTGTCAGTCTGGCTCGATAACACCTTAACCTGTCAGTCTGATTCTATTACACCTTTGCCTATCAGTCTGACCCCATAACACCTTTACCTGTCAGTCTGACTCGATAACACCTTTATCTCACAGTCTGACTCTATAACTCCTTTACATGTCAGTATGACTCTATAAAACCTTTACATAACAGTCTGACTCTATAACAACTTTACTTGTCATTCTGACTCTGTAACATCTTTACCTCGCAGTCTGACTCTTTAACACCTTGACCTGTCAGTCTGACTCTATAACACCTTTACCTTACAGTCTGACTCTGTAACACATTTGCCTGTCAGTCTATCAGGATAACCCCTTTACCTCACAGTCTCTAAAACAACTTTGCCTGTCATTCTGACTCTGTCACACCTCTACCCTTCAGTCTGACTTTTTAACAACATTACTTGTCAGTCTGACTCCACTACATCTTTTCCTCACAGTCTGACTCTTTAACACCTTTGCCTGACAGTTTGACTCTGTAGCACCTTTACCTGTTGGTCTGACTCTGTAAAACCTTTACCTGTCAGTCTGACTCTGTAACACCATTTCCTGTCAGTCTAAGTCTGTAACACCATTACCTGAAAGTCCGATTCTATATAACCTTTACCTTAAAGTGCGACTCTTTGTAACACCTTTACCTGTCAGTCTGACTCTGTAAAACCTTTACCTCATAGTCTAACCCTAACACCTTTGTCTTCAAGTCTTAGTCTGTTACACTTTTACCTGACAGTCTGACTTTATTACACCTTTACCTGCCAGTCTGAGTCAATAACACTTTTTCTTCACAGTCTGACTCTTTAACACCTTTACCTCTCCGTTTTACTCTTTAAAACCATAACCTCACAGTCTGACTTAATAACACCTTTACCATTCAGTCTGACTCTGTAACACATTTGCCTGTCAGTCTATTAGGATAACACCTTACCGTCTGACTCTAAAACACCTTTCAGTCTGACTCTATAACACCTTTGCCTGACAGTTTGACTCTGTAGCACCTTTACCTGTCAGTCTGACTCTGTAAAACCTTTACCTTTCAGTCAGATTCTAACAGCCTTTCTTCAGTCAGTCAGTCAGTCTAACTCTGTAACACCATTACCTGATACCCGATTCTTTATTACCTTTACCTTAGATTCCGACTCTGTAACACCTTCTCCTGTGCGCCTGACTCTGTAACACCTTTACTTGACAGCTTGACTCTGTTACACCTTTACTTTACAGTCTGACTCTGTTACACCTTTATCTTACAGTCAGGATCTGTAATGCCTTTACTTGACAGTATGACTCTATCATATTTGTAAGTCTGAATTTGTAACACATGTACCTCACAGTCTGAGTCTATAACAACTTTAAATGACAGTCTGACTCTAAAGCACCTTTGCCTGATAGTGTGACTCTGTAACACTTTCACCTGGCAGTCTGACACTGAAACACCTCTGCCTGTCATACTGACTTTTTAACAGCTTTACCTGTCAGTCTGACTTTCTATTACCTTTACTTGAGAGTTTGACTTTGTAACACCTTTACCTGTCACTCTGACTCTGTAACACCTTTACAGAGTCAGTCTGACTACACTCACCGGCCACTTTATTAGGTACACCATGCTAGTAACGGGTTGGACCCCCTTTTGCCTTCAGAACTGCCTCAATTCTTCGTGGCATAGATTCAACAAGGTGCTGGAAGCATTCCTCATTCCATATTGACATGATGGCATCACACAGTTGCCGCAGATTTGTCGGCTGCACATCCATGATGCGAATCTCCCGTTCCACCACATCCGAAAGATGCTCTATTGGATTGAGATCTGGTGACTGTGGAGGCCATTTGAGTACAGTGAACTCATTGTCATGTTCAAGAAACCAGTCTGAGATGATTCCAGCTTTATGACATGGCGCATTATCCTGCTGAAAGTAGCCATCAGAAGTTGGGTACATTGTGGTCATAAAGGGATGGACATGGTCAGCAACAATACTCAGGTAGGCTGTGGCGTTGCAACGATGCTCAATTGGTACCAAGGGGCCCAAAGAGTGCCAAGAAAATATTCCCCACACCATGACACCACCACCACCAGCCTGAACCGTTGATACAAGGCAGGATGGATCCATGCTTTCATGTTGTTGACGCCAAATTCTGACCCTACCATCCGAATGTCGCAGCAGAAATCGAGACTCATCAGACCAGGCAACGTTTTTCCAATCTTTTCCAATTCTGCTGCTGTAGCCCATCTGCCTCAAAGTTCGACGTACTGTGCGTTCAGAGATGCTCTTCTGCCTACCTTGGTTGTAACGGGTGGTTATTTGAGTCACTGTTGCCTTTCTATCAGCTCGAACCAGTCTGGCCATTCTCCTCTGACCTCTGGCATCAACAAGGCATTTCCGCCCACAGAACTGCCGCTCACTGGATATTTTTTCTTTTTCGGACCATTCTCTGTAAACCCTAGAGATGGTTGTGCGTGAAAATCCCAGTAGATCAGCAGTTTCTGAAATACTCAGACCAGCCCTTCTGGCACCAACAACCATGCCACGTTCAAAGTCACTCAAATCACCTTTCTTCCCCATACTGATGCTCGGTTTGAACTGCAGGAGATTGTCTTGACCATGTCTACATGCCTAAATGCACTAAGTTGCCGCCATGTGATTGGACAGGTGTACCTAATAAAGTGGCCGGTGAGTGTATGTCACACTTGTACCTTACAGTCTGACTCTGTAACAGCTCTACCTTGCAGTCTGATTCTGTAACACCTTTACCTCTATGTTTCAGTTTTTTTAAAACCATTACCTCAAAGTCTGACTTAATAACACTTTTACCTGTCAGACTATCAGGATAACACCTTTACCTCACAGTCTGTCTCTGAAACACCTTTACCTGTCATTCTGGCTCTGTCACACCTTTACCTTTCAGTCTTACTTTTTAACAACATTACTTGTCAGTCTGAATCCACTACATCTTTTCCTTACAGTCTGACTCTATCACACTTTGCCTGACAGTTTGACTCTGTAGCACCTTTACCTGTCAGTCACTCTGTAAAAACCTTTACCTGTCAGTCTTACTCTGTAAGACCTTTTCCTGACAGCTTGACTCTGTTACACCTTTACTTTACAGTCTGACTCTGTTACACCTTTATCTAACAGTCAGACTTTGTAAGACCTTTACTTGACAGTTTGACTCTATCATATTTGTAAGTCTAACTTTGTAACACATTTACCTCACAGTCTGACTCTATACAACTTTATTTCACAGTCTGACTTTATAACAACTTAACCTCACAGTCTGTCTCTAAGGCACCTTTGCCTGATAATTTGACTCTGTAACACCTCTACCTGTCAGTCTTACTCTATCAAACCTTTACCTTACAATCTGACTCTTTAACACCTGTACCTTACAGTCTGACTCTATTACACCTTGTCCTCACAGTCTGACTCGATAACACGTCAGTCTGACTTCATAAGACCTTCACTTCACAGTCTTTCTCTGTAAAACCTTAACTACACTGTCTGACATAATAACTCCTTTACCTCACATTCTGACTCTATAACACCTTTATCTGTCAGTCTTAACACCTTTACCTGCCAGTCTGAGTCAATAACGCCTTTACTCTACAGTCTAATTCTATAACACCTTTACTTTACAGTCTGACTTTGTTACACCTTTACCTGTCAGTTTGACTATTTATATGAATTTTATTACAGGCTCAAGTCCCAATAGCATGACATGCACCACAACATTAAGAGAAACAGACAATATATAAAAAGAAAAAATAAATATATACATAGACACATAGGTCCATAAAAACATACTTTTTTTCAAGAGAGTTTCAAAAGGCATCCATACCAATATTTCCACAGATATGACTGATATCTGACCGAACTGCAATTCGGGCTTGTAAGCACCATTATAATGCAGTTCTGTGACTTATCAAGTCAGGACAAGAACTTAAACATCAGGGGCCTCATGTATCAATACTTGCGTGGAACTCATACCAGAAACGAGCGCACGCAAGGTCCGTCACGCTGAAAAAAATCCGTATGTATCAATGTGTGCGGGCGCCGAAATCCACGTGTGTTTCCTTGATAAATCCCAATCAGCGTGGAATTGAGCGCAGATGTCGGAGTGACTGGGCCCGTCCCCGTTACGCCCTCCTATAAATATGCAGATTTATTTAAATAGGGTCTCCCTGTCCTCGCACGCAGACAAAATGACAAGAAAAACTACATTTAGGTCCGGGGGAGGAGACCCTCACACCGTTTGAGCAGCGGGTGGTGGCGATTATTATTATAGGGTAAGTGGCGTGTCACACAAATGTCCACATGCTTTGTCATCCCACTGAGCAAAAGACGTATATTAGACGTCTAGTCTAAGTTTATACTTCATTTCAACGTCGGGATTCAGTCTATTTTTAGACGTGATTTATACTTCGCCCTTAACTTCATTTTTCGATAACTTTTTATGCAATAAACAACTGTAATGTGCATAACTGACCTCGAAATACTGGATTACATTACCTATGATACCGTGGAGAGAGATGTAAACGCAACAGATACACAGAAGCAGGAATTGAAATGAACCAATATTTTTATTGTGTCACAGAAATCAATGTGTCGGCCGTGTCGCCGGCTTGCGGAACCCCGGCCCGCGGCAGCCCGTCCGCCGGCTCGGAGTCGTCGGCCAGGACCAGCGGCATTCGGGTCACCCCGGCCCCCGGCCCCAGCACCAGCACCAGTATCAGCACCAGCGCGCCGACAAGCGGTGGAGCGTCCACCAGCCACGGCGCTTCCGCTGGACCACCCGGACGCAGTGGAAGGGTCCTCGCGGAGGGGGTCCTGCAATCGCAGGAAGAAATCATCAGGGGGATCGCGGGGATCAACGAGCGGCTGGACCGGCTCGTAAATGTCCTCGAGCGTCTGGTGGAGAAAATAAATTAATTTGGCTCATTGAACTGTGTATTCACTTCTTACCCATTCACACTGTGGCGATGAGATTCTCCCGCGCGAGGACGGCGGCCCGGCAGGGATCAGCTCGCATCCCTCCGTCTGCTGCTGGTTCGTCATGTGGGGCGACGTGCTGCTCGGCCACGGGGATGTGGTGCACGCTTGTCACATAGTGAGTCACCAAACACCACCACACAGCGTCGCCAAAGTGCGAATCACAGTCAACGCAAGTATCGGCTCAACGCCAATTTCTACACCACCTCCTGACTTTGCGTTGATTAGCGCTGGAACCGACGCTCGTTTCGCGATAATAAATCTGGACGTGTGCGCCGATTTTGGCGTACGCAAGGTTTTCTCGCGCCGCAAGCGTTGATACATGAGGCCCCAGGTTCCTCAGTAGTGCCTGTGAAGTGTTTAACCCTGAGTTACAGAAAAACTTACTAGCTCTGCTGGTTTTTTTCAGCAGTATCCTCAGACAGTCATTATATGCTACCTGAAGTTTGCGCATGGTCCCCTTCTTGTCGCTAACTCACAGTGGGGCTGCATACATAGGGGTGCAGTAAGCACAGAACAAGTTCACTTTCACATCATCAGAACAGTAATGGAATTTCCTGATTAGCATGTTTGCTTGGACATACAGCATTCATCTCTGCCTGTACATGTCTGCATCATCTTCTATCTTGCCAGTGATAATGTGCCCAAAATATTTTGTCAGAGGGATTGCCCTGACAGGTAAAATATTGGAAAGTTCAGCTTCTTATCGTCTTTAGTCCTACATATCAATACAACACTCTTTTTTTGCATTGTACTGTATATCAAACTCAACCCCATACTCAGAGCATATATCCAGCAGCTGCTGGAACCCAATGCTGCTTGGGGACATTATAGCCAAGTCGTCTGCGTACATCAGATAGTTTAAAAAGGTGTTCCCTATCAGACAGCCTCTCTTACACTTTCCCAACTGTTTTGACAGGTTGTCCATGTAGATTGAACAGGGCTGGTGACAGAAGGCCCCCTGCCATACTCCATTGCCTACACTGAAGGATGAGGATAGGCTGTTTCCCCACTTTACCTGCATACCTTGTTTGGCATACCAGTAAACCAGGATACGTATGATGCATCCAGGCACACCCCTCAGCATGAGTTTAGTAAAAAGCTTATGGTGATTTACACTGTCAAATGCCTTGGAAGCATCAATAACCCCAGAAACATTGTAGATCCCTGCCTTCTATAGGATTCAACAGCTTCTTTCAAGGCATAGATACATAGATCTGGACTGTGTTTAGACTTAAAACCAAACGGATTTTCTGTGGTGTAAATGCACTCACTCAGTCTATCTAGTAGCAACTTTTCTAACACCTTTGAGAGAAGGCTGGCTAAGGCGATGGGTCTATAGTTGTCTAAACTACCCATTTTACCTGCCTTGTCTTTAATGACGGGCACTAGTGTAACGGTCAGCATAGCATCTGGCAGTATACCACGATTCATCAGCCCTGTGAGGCAGATGGACAGCAGTGCTGCTACTCTACAGCTGGCTAACTTAAGATGTTCCGCAGTGATGTTATCCTTGCCACTAGCTTTGTTATCAGCTAGTTGCTCTACGGCATGATAGACCTCGTTGGGAGTAGAGTGAATCACCTCCTCATTTAACTTGCCCACACAATAGGACTCATTTTTGATACAATTAAACAAAGCTGCATAGTGCTGCCTCCACAGCTCTGCTATATTGTCTGCCCCAGATTCACCTTCAATGTGGCATGGCAGTATTGCTTTGGCCCTATTTGTAGCTTTTACCTCCTTACAAAACTCAGTGACATTGTTACCAAGCAAGTTTTTTTAGGTTTGCATGTGCAAAAACATGTGCAAACTTAGTAGATCAGGTTTTCGTGCACTATCAACTAGATGCACTGAGGATTGCGTCTGTCAAATGAGCAAAACAGCATGTGCAATCAATTTAGTGTGTTTGCCTGCATGAATATGCATAATGCATGTCGATCATCAGAATGCGCAAAATTCTGGGAGTAGAAGATGCAAATGCAATCATTTAGCACCCGCACTGTGATTTATCAAACCAGGAAACCGATTGTGGTCGCTGTTTTGCACCTATATTTAGCACATTTGAAAGGCGTGTGCAAACTGGAGCAGCATTACGCATGGTCATTGTGGAGAAAAGGATGCAGAAGTGCCATGATACATGCTATGATCCAAAAGCTTGTGATTTATTTCGTTTTTCTGGTAAATGACAATTTTCATAAATAATAACGTCAAACACGAAACAGACAAAAGAATGTAACTGTTTGTCTTATTGATTTTAAATCGTATTTATCCCTTTTTTGATTTCTAGTGTATCTTCTTGCATTTGTAAAGCACTTTGAATTGCCTTGTGTATGAATTGTGCTATACAAATAATAATAATAATATTAATAGATTTTATTTGTAACGCACTTTATATTTGAAAACAAATCTCAAAGTGCACAGGCAACAATAACAAATAAAAAGCAATAACGGTGCAAAAAAAAGCAACAATAACAGTAAAATCAAGCAACAGAACAAGACAATAAAAACAGTCAGCAAATAAAATCAGATAAAATCAGTCCGGATAAGCTTTCAGAAAAAGGAAGGTTTTGAGTCCTTGTTTAAAAGCATCCACTGACTGCGGAGCCCTGAGGTGGTTGGGGAGGGCGTTCCACAGACGGGCAGCAGTCTTGAAGGCCCTGTCGCCCATGGTCTTGAGCTGAGTCCCGGGCGGGCGCAGACGGTGCAGTTGGCCTGACCGGGTTCTGACTGAGGTATGTGGGGTAAGGAGTTCGGTGAGCTAGGTGGGGGCTGCACCATGCAGACAGTGATGGGTGTGAAGGAGGATTTTGAATTCGATGCAGAGGTGAACGGGGAGCCGGTGCAGAGTGCGAAGGATGAGGGTGATGTGCTCATGTTTATGCACTCTCATCAGGACCCGGGCGGCACTGTTTTGGACATATTGGAGCCTTTGTAAGCTCTTGCCCGGGATCCTGATGAAGAGCGCGTTACAGTAGTCCAGCCTGGAGGAGATAAAGGCATTGATGAGCCTCTCTGCAGCAGGACGAGAGAGAGATGGCCGGAGTTTGGCGATATTACAGAGGTGAGAGAAGGAAGTCTTGCAGATACGGTTGATGTGATCGTCAAAGCTAAGATGGGGGTCAAACCTGACTCCCAAATTAGTCATGGAAGGAGAGAGGGAAAAGTTGTGGTCGAGCTGGTGGGGGATGCCGATATGAATGGCTTCTGTTTTGGAGCTGTTCAGCTGTAAGAAGTTTTCACTCATCCAAGCCTTTATCTCCTCCAGGCAGGAGTCCAGTTGAGCGACAAAGGAGGGGGGAGTGGAGGAGGGGGTGACCTTGAGGTAGAGTTGTGTGTCGTCAGCATAGCAATGGAATTGTATTCCATGCCTGCTGATGACACGACCAAGGGGGAGCATGTAGATGGTTAAGAGGGTTGGACCGAGCACGGAGCCCTGGGGGACCCCACGGACAACAGTGTGAGGGCGGGATTTAGCATCCCCCAGGGCCACGAACCTGGTCCTTCCCGTGTGGTAGGAGTAAAACCATTGAAGGGCGGTGCCAGAGATACCAATGTCGTGATGGAGGCAGTGAAGGAGGATGTGGTGATCAACAGTATCAAATGCAGCAGAGAGGTCGAGAAGGATGAGGAGGGAAGTGGAGCCGGAGTCGGAGGTCATCAGGAGGTCATTGGCGACTCTAATGAGAGCTGTCTTGGTGCTGTGGGAGGGACGAAAGCCGGATTGGAATTTTTCATACAGACTGTTTGATTTAAGATGGTTGTAAAGTTGGATGGATACAATTCTTTAAAGAATTTTGGAGATGAAGGGGAGATTTGGAGATGGGTCTGTCGTTTGACAGAGATTCAGGATCAAGAGTGGGTTTTTTGAGGAGGGGCTTGATGATAGCTGTTTTGAGGCTGACCGGAATGGGGCCGGTTTGAAGAGAGTGATTAATTATGTTTTTATTAGTTGACTGATGGAATGACAGTGAGCTTTAAGCAGAGGGGAGGGGAAGGGGTCGAGGGAACATGTGGACGGTTTGGATTTACTGATTATTTTTTCGACCTCCTGCTGCACTGTGGGGGTGAATTGAGACAGGTGTTGTGTGGTGAGTGCAATGTCACTTGATGGGATAGAAATGTAGGTGGAAGAGAGGGATGCTATAGAAGGTGTTTGACTGTGGTGAAGAGTTGTTTGGAATTACCTGGGTTATTGTTAATGATGTTGGAGTAGTGTGCTGACCTGGCTTTGGAGAGTTCTTTGGCATATCTCTGACGATGTTCCCAGTCAGCCAACTTATGCACTATCAGCCCAGATGTGACATAGGCCCGCTCCAGGACTCGGCCAGTCCTTTTTAGCAGTCTCAGCTCCTCTGTGAACCAGGGGGCGGAACGGATGAAGGTGACTGTCCTGGTTTTTAGTGGAGCATGAAAGTCGAGGATAGAGTGAAGATTGTGGTTGTAGTAGTCCATGAGGTCAGTAAGTGATGTGTTTGAAGAAGGAGAAAGGAGCTGGAGATGCTGACTGAGGGAGGTGGAGTCAATGTTCTTGAGATTTCTGAAGGATATAAGGCGTTGTGGTTTGGTGGGGGGGGGGGGATTGAAGGTGACTGCATATGGTCTGAAATGCCAATGTCCTGGATGTGAAGATCTGAGACGTGGATGGAAGCTGTGATGACCACATCCAGTGTGTGGCCCTTGGTGTGGGTGGGTCCAACAACGGATTGGTGGAGGTTGAGGCAGTCCAGAACCTGTTTAAATTCAGCAGCCAGTTGGCAGGAGAGTGAGTCCATGTGAATGTTGAAGTCCCCCAAAACCAGAATGTTTGAGTGTGAGGTGCAAAGTGAGATTAGAAAGTCATGAATTTCAGAGAGGAATGATGGATGTGGTTTGGGGGGGCGATAAATGAGTGCTATAGTTGCAGAGGTGATGTGATGTGATGTAATGTGTTTGCAATTAAAAACCAGATGTTCAAAAGTGTTGAAGGGTGGGACAGACAGTAGAGAGGTTTGAATGGTGCTGCGGTGAAAAACAGCGAGGCCACCCCCCAGACTGGTAGTCCGGGCCTTACTGAGGTAGCTATACCCAGGGGGACAGGCCTCATTGAGGGCAGAGTAGACCTCAGGCTGTTGCCAGGTCTCTGTAAGACAGATAATGTCAATACCTTTGTCTATAATGTGGTCGTTGATGAGTCCGGCTTTGTTTGTCAGTGACCGAACATTTAGGAATTCCAATGTGGAATGGCTTGTGAGTCCGGTCCATTAAGGGGGCGCAGGACGCTGTGATCCACTGCGGGTTTTCTGTCCATCCGGCCATACCCGCTCCTGTCTTTTGCGACTGGAGTAGCGGTGTTCTGATGACGCCATTGTTGTGCGACGGTGCAACCAGCCGACCAGAGGGATGTAATGGATTGGTGACAGTTACCATGATCACCGTGTTTGGCCAGAACAAACTGGCGACCAGATCCTCTGTGGATGTAGCGGGGTCGGTGAGGTAGTTGGAGTTGAGCAGGAGTGCTGATGTGATGGGAGCTCAGAAGCGGCACAGAGATGACGGTGGAGTAGCCTGGAGTGTCAGTGTTAGCCATTAGCCAGGATCCCAGTGAGCGACGATGGATGGCAGCCGCACAGCCCAGGATGGTCCAGAGCCTCCACAGAGATGGCAACCCACTTGCAGACATCCGTTCGAGGGCAGATGGCATGCAGAAGCCGGGGAGATTGGCTAGACGGAGAGAGGTCGGTATAACAGGTGCAAGCTGCAGTCTAGCAGCTAGCACCGTGTCAGCGCTGCCGTCCCAGCTGAAGGGGCACCAGGCTTGCTAGTCACCACACAGATGACTCCCGGGGGTTTGTGCAGTAGCAGAGACACAATCCGGGGAAAAACCACTAAACCAGAGTTAGGTGGAGCAACAACCTAGCTGTGGAGGGTGGAATTTATGGGGTTTAGAGTCAACAGGTATGGAGAAGCGGCGAACAGTCAACGCCAGCGTCCTCTCCAGCCTGTGTCCCAGGTCTAACCTCAAATAAACTTGCCTTGCCTTTTATGCAGTTCCCCAAAACGATATGTACAACTCCATGGTTTCAAACACTCTGTTCTCACAAACTTTCCATGGTGACAGCTGATAGCTCACCTAAACACCCAATGTGTTAAGGTCTACTGGCCTCCTATATAGCGCTCACTATACGATTGTACATTTCACACAGGTCAGTAAGGTGTTTGACATCATCACAGTTAATATTTGAACATAAAATAGCATCCATGGGTAGCTGTTTTTCCCTCAAGAGAACATCTGTCCTCCCACAATAATAAGAGACATCCTCTCTAGATAGTTTAGCCCAATCCACTTTGACCCTGTTGGCGCCATATTCTGTTGGGCTGCTGTAATCAGGCAGATGATCAACATTTACCACCATGGAGACAGGTAAGTGATCAGTGGCAGTCAGCCCATACAAAAACTCAAATTTTTCCAGACTATCATGAGCATCAGCTCTGAAGATTACATGATCCAGCCAGGATGTTGTGTGCCATGCTTCACTGATGTAAGTAAAGCTATCTACTGGAAGGAATTTCTTGCTGGAGAGAACAAGTTTGCTGTCATGACAGAACTGCATCAAGTGCCAACCAAACAGAGATTTGTCGTCAGAGATGTCTGCGTTCAAATCACCCATCACAAATACAACATAAGAGTTTATGAACACCTATCTATTTACATATTCATCCTCTCTTTCGTAACATTCATATGGGGTATAAACATATAAGATGATAAAAACATTCATATCATGCACAACTTTAATTGCAATACACCAGTCCACTTCTAATCTGATGACGCTGATCACTGGGTCATATTTCTTGTGCCACAAAATGGCCACACCTCCAGGTATTCTGCTACGCACCATACCGGTGACCCTCCTGCTCCATGGAAATCACTGTGGACAGAATCAAGTTTATCGAGGTCCTGTTTGGCTAAAAACGTCTCTTGCAGGCAGAGAATGTTTGTGGTCTCCAATAGCTGGTCGACAACACCACAATGTGCTCTGTCCCCAGCACTATGTTCAAGGTGCAAGCCTCATGAGTTGTATGACACGACTCTGACCTCCATCACTGTGTGACTAATTATGTACCCCAGCCCCCATTACAGGCACATTCTTAACTGACATGGGCCTCACTGTGGACTTGGTTTTGCATGCCTCATAGAATCGCTGCACAAGTTTGCCTTTAGGCCACAGCTCGGGGTTGAACATTTCATCCACTTCTTTGCACTCAGGTGTTATTTTAAATGAACTGGACCGGCTTTGTACAGTTTCTACCTTTTGACAGGTTACATCATGCCCTAGTTTATCTTCCATGTGCCTGGTCAGAGTCTCACGGTCTAAATCAGGTGAAAATTTTGTTGCAAATACACTTAACAGCCTAGACTTAATGACTTGGATATCTCCACCAGTACCAGTCCCGACAATGCCACCAGTTTTCTTCCCTTTGAGGGGATAAAGGCGAGGTCTGGGCTTCTCTGGAGCATTTTCAGAGACCTGCTATTGCCGGTTGTTGCTCCTCTTGCCCCAGGTTCTGGGGTGGGTGGCTGCCGTGTCGCTCCACTTCACATGAGGGTCTCCCTTTGCAGCACAGGTTGGCCCATCCAGGCCCGAGGCAGAATGTTCCACCTTCTGGGTTAGGTCTTCCTTGCCGATCTGGCCCTCCATGCCATCATGGGTCCTCTTACAAATGAAGGAAGTAAATGATCTCTGACTCATTTCAGGCTTGCTGGTTATGGGAGCAGGCCCTCTCTCGAGATTTGTTCTAGATTGCTCAATAGCACCCAGATGTAGGTTTATATCCGTGGCGATAATCCACAGATCATTACAGGTGTTTGCCTGCAGAGACGCAGCACGTTTCATAGTCGTAATATCCGCACTTAATTGTTCAATCTTACCCAGCAAGCAGTAAATTGCTATTAAAGGTCACAGGTGGTAGTTCATCAAGATGGTGAGAAACAGACCAAGGTACATTTTCACCAGCTTCATTGAGAAGCTTAAGGCAACTCCTGATGTTCTGTGAGTCTTTCTGTAGCCCACTGTGGGCCAAAAGCCTGCAAGTACGTACCTGGGTACAGCTCAAAAAGCAGTTTGGTTGAGTGTGCAATCCATTCTGAACAAAAATGGTCCACAGCCATAGAAACATCACCTTTATATCACCTTAACCTGTCAGTCTGACTCTGTAACACCTTTACCTGTCAGTCTAACTCTGTAACACCTCTGCCTGTCAGTCTGACTCTAACACCTTTACCTACCATTGTGACTCTGTAACACATTTACCTTACAGTCTGACTTTTTAACACCTTTACCTGTCAGTCTGATTCTTTAACACCTTTACCTGTCAGTTTGACTCTATAAAACCTTTTCCTCCCAGTGTGAATCTGTAATACCTGTACCTTACAGTCTGACCGTTTAACACCTTAACCTGTCAGTCTAACTCTTTAACACCTTTACCTCACAGTCCGACTCTATAACACCTTTACCTCCCAGTCTGACTCTGTAACAACTTTACTTCCAAGTCTGACTCTACAACATCTTTACCCTAGAGTTTGACTCATAAACACCTTTACCTGTCAGTCTGACTCTTTAACACCTTTACCTGTCAGTCTAACTCTGTAACACCTCTGCCTGTCAGTGTGACTCTCTGACACCTTTACCTGATAGTCTGACTCTGTAACACCTTTACCTACCATTGTGACTCTGCAACACATTTACCTTACAGTCTGACCTTTTAACACCTTAACCAGTCAGTCTGACTCTTTAACACCCTTACCTCCCAGTCTGACTCTGTAACAACTTTACCTCTGAGTCTGACTACAACTCTGTAGGGTAAGGTACAGGTATTACAGATTCACACTGGGAGGAAAAGGTTTTATAGAGTCAAACTGACAGGTAAAGGTGTTAAAGAATCAGACTGACAGGTAAAGGTGGTAAACAGTCAGACTGTAAGGTAAATGTGTTACAGAGTCACAATGGTAGGTAAAGGTGTTAGAGTCAGACTGACAGGTAAAGGTGTTAGAGAGTCAGACTGACAGGCAGAGGTGTTACAGAGTTAGACTGACAGGTAAAGGTGTTACAGAGTCAGACTGACAGGTTAAGGTGATATAAAGGTGATGTTTCTATGGCTGTGGACCATTTTTGGTCAGAACATGTTTACCTTAGAGTTTGACGCTTAAACACCTTTACCTGTCAGTCTGACTTTATAACGCCTTTACCTGTCAGTCTGACCCTGTAACACATTTGATTTAGAGTTCGACTCTGTAAAATCTTTACCTCCCAGTCTGACTCTGTAACACCTGTACCTTACAGTCTGACTCTTCATCACCTTTACCCGTCAGTCTGACTCTTTAACACTTTAATGTGTCAGTCTGACTCTATAACATCTTTACCTTCCTTAAAATTTTACTCTGTAACACTTTTTCTTGATAGTCTAACTCTGTGACACCTTAACCTTACAGTCTGACTCTGTATCAACTTTACCTAAGAGATTGAATCTGTAACACCTTTACCTGTCTGTCTTACTCTTTAAAATCAGTACCTCACAGTCTGACTGGATAACACCTTTACCTGTCAGTCTGACTCTGTAGTACCTTTACCTCACAGTCTTAAGGTCCTTACACACCAGGCGTGAATTCGCCTGGCGAATTATTTGCCTTTATTCGCCTTTTTTTAAAACAGCATAAAGTCAATGCAAGCTTCCACACCGGCAGCGATTTTTCCGTGGGGCGAAAATCGTCTTTTATTTTTTCGCTCGTGTTGAATTTTGCGAAGATGCGCAGGCGAATATCTAGACCTGCTAGACCTCTGGCCAATCAAAAGTCATGTTGTTGATGATATTCATTTATCAAGCACCCTATGGCAAACCCATCCAGCTCCTCTTGGAGACGAGTGAGCTATAGATGAGCCAATATGTGCTTATATACATTATAACGGGGCTGGGGGCCCGGAGCTTTCAAGAAAACGGGACTTTGTCTCATTCATATAGAATATTGCCTATTATTTTAATCTTACCTCAGACATGTGGCTAGCCGCTCCTCTGGACCAATTGGCTCTCTGTAGTTAGTTGTCTGCTTCTCCAGCCGTGGGGTCAGCTGCTGGAAGAGGTCGTTAAATTGCCCGAGGGACATTCTAAAATACTGGCGGAATTTCGGGGGGTAGAACTTTGGTTTGCAAAATTTATACTCATATTCACTTCGCACCCAGTGTGTATAGGCGAAAGCGATTTTTCAGACCGGCAAATGTTTTCGCATTTTCATCTTGCTTTTTCGCTTCACTCAGCAAATTCGCCTGTGTGTAAGGACCTTTACTCCGTAACATATTAACTACACAGTCTGACCCAGTCTAACTCTGTAACACCTTAACCTTACAGTCTGAATTTTATTACCATAAACCATTTACCTTTGAGTCTGCTTCTTTAACATTAACCTGTGAGTCTGACTCTATAACACCTTTTCCTGTCAGTCTTACTCTGTAAAACCTTAACCTGACAGTCTGACTCCTATAACACCTTTACCTCCCGGTCTGACTCTGTAACACCTTTACCCGTCCATCTCACTCTGTAACGCCTTTATATTTTAATCTGACTCTTTAACACCTTTCCCTGCCAGTCTGACTCCAAAGGACCTTTACCTGTCAGACTGACTCCAAAGGACCTTTACCTCACAGTCTGACTCCATCACACATTTAACTTTCAGTCTGACTCTTTAACACATTTACCTTCCAGTCTGACTCTGTAACACCTTTACCCTCCAGTCTGACTCTACAACACCTTTACCTTAGAGTTTGACTCTGTAACACCTTTACCTGCCAGGCTAACTCTATATTACCTTTCCCTGTAAGTCTGACTCTGTTACACCTTTACTTTAGAGTCTGAATTTGTAACACCCTTTCCTGGCAGTCTTACTCTGTGACACCTTTACCCAACAATCTGACTTTATTTCACCTTTACCTAAGTGTTTGACTCCGTAACACCTTAACCTGTCTGTCTTATTATTTAACATAATTTCCTCACAGTCTGACTCGATAACACCTTTATCTATCAACTGTATAACCTTTTCCTCACAATCTGACTGTGTAACAACTTAAACTTACATTCTAACTTTTTAGCACCTTTACCTGTCTGTCTGAATCTGTAACACAACTTTTCCTGTCAGTCTCACTCTTTAGCAACATTACCTGTGATTCTAACTCTATAACACCTTTACGTCACAGTCTGACTCTCTTACATCTTTACCTGTCAGTCTGACTCTATAACAACCTAACCTGTCACTCTGACGAGACTACACCTTTACCTCACAGTCTGACTCTGTGACAACTGAACCACACAGTCTGACTCTATCACACCTTTACCTCCCAGTTTGACTCTACAACACCTTTACCTTAGAGTTTGACTCTGTAACCACTTTACCTGCAAGTCTAAACCTATATCACCTTTCCCTGTAAGTCTAACTCTATTACACCTTTACTTTAGAGTTTGACTTTGTAACACCCTTTCCTGGCAGTCTTACTCTGTGACACCTTTACCTGACAATCTGAATTTATATCACCTTAACCTAAGTGTTTGACTCTGTAACACCTTTACCTGTCTGTCTTATTATACAACATCATTTCCTCACAATCTGTCTCAATAACACCTTTACCTATCAAACTCTACCACACCTTTTCCTCCCAATCTGACTCTGTAGCACCTTAAACTTACATTCTAACTTTTTAACTCCTTTATCTGTCAGTCTGAATTTGTAACAAAACTTTTCCTGTCAGTCTCACTTTTTAGCACCATTACCTGTGATTCTAACTCTAAAACACCTTTACCTCACAGTCTGACTCTCTAACGCCTTTACCTGTCAGTCTGACTCATTAACAACCTTACCTGTCACTCTGACTAGACTACACTTTCTCCTCACAGTCTAACTCCGTAACACCTTTGCCTATCAGTCTGCCCTGATAACACCTTTACCTCACAGTCTATCTGTGTAACACCTTATCCACACAGTCTGACTCTATAACACCTTTATTTCACAGTCTGACTCTTCGGGCTCTATTTTCGTGTTTGCCGGTGAGGCGGGGGAGGGTGGCGGACCCTGCGCAGTGGTATTTTCGTCTGGCGGAGCCCGACGTACAGCCAGTTTGGTATTTTCGTGGACTGAGGCGCACCGAGATCCGCCAAGCTGGAGAGTCAGACTAACAAGTAAAAGTGCTACAGAGTCAAACTCTAAGACAAAGGTTATATAGAGTCAGACTGTCAGGTAAAGGTGTTACTGAGTGAGAATTACAGAAAAGGGTGTTATAGAGCCAAACTGTCAGGCAAAGGTGATGAAGGGCTCTATTTTCATGCCTCGCTGACGACTTGGCGCATGCGCAGCGAAAGTGAGGTCCGCCGCACCGACAAGGCGTTCCCAAGCACAATTTGGTATTTTGGTGAGCAGTGTAGCCCGGCGTAAGTATCCCCCCTTCCTACCTCAGCTCCTCCCAGCGGCACAAGTCGTAGCAAGGGAGGAGAGAGGGCGTGGAGTGGATTTACCACAGCCGAGACCTGTATTGACCAATAACATCAGCTCCTCTCCTCGCCTTTAAATCCTCCATCGGCGAGGCGTCTTACAATTTTCATGACGTAGTCAAAGAGATCAAGAGATATCTGAAGACAGCAATACCACACGATGGCGACAGAAGGCAGCCCCTCAACAAGTGTCGCTGTAAATGCTGCAGAGGGTCTCCTTCACACTGTCTCATATAAGCACAGATGGATTTGGTGTGTGTAAGTTTGGACCCACTGGTAAGACAAACACCCTTTTCCACCAATAAAGACACTCACACAAAGTTGCATATAATTAAACCTCACGTGACAAAGGTGGGTTGTGCGCACAGAGCACAACATATATTCCAAAAATGGCATTAGAATTGGAACCATCTGTGCGTAATGACGCATCACGCTCCATGGCCTGGCTCTTTCTTTCATAGATATTGGCATATAAAATAATTTTGGCTCACAAAACTGAATATCATAATATTCGTATGTAGGCTTAACGTAAACAACTCATCTGATCAATGAAACAAATCATCTGTTCAGCCGCCGCCGCAGCAGCAACTGCAGCAACTGGTCAGGTTGTGTGTCCAAACGCATGCCAAATGCGCTCATCAGATCAGATATAGATCAGAAAATGTCTATATAAATCTAAATGTATGTGCTGACTCAGATTATTAGTTGTTGTTGATTATTTATTGCACTGAAATGTGCCTGACACTGTGGAAACCTCCCGGTGAGGCATCGGTGATGTATGCCGATACGCCGCCGGTCTACCAAAATACCACTAGACCAGCTGCGCTCTGCCTGCGCTCTGCCTGCGCTCTGCCTGCGCTGAAAGCTGACCAGGATTGAATCCGCAAGCTTTCAGCGCAATTTATACGCCACCGGCGAGCACGAAAATGTCACTGCGCCAGCTGATTCTGTCAACACCTCCCCCTGCCTCGCCACCACACACAGCTTGGCGGACCTCGGTGCGCCTCAGTCCACGAAAATACCAAACTGGCTGTACGCCGGGCTCCACCAGACAGAAATACCACTGCACGGGGTCCGCCACCCACCGCTGCCTTGCCGGCGGACACGAAAGTAGAGCCCTCTGACTCTAAAGCACCTTTGCCTGACAGTTTAACTCTGTAACACCTTAACCTGACAGTTTGACCGTTTATCACCTTAACCTAAGAGTTTGAGTCTAAAAGGCATGAACCTGTCTGTCCTACTCTTTCAAGTCATTACCACGCAGTATTACTCTATTACACCTTCACCTGTTAGTCAGACCTTGTAACAGATTGACCTGTAAGTCCGTCACTATAACACCTTTCCCTCACAGTCTGACTCTAAACCAAGTTTACCTGCAAGTCTGACTGTGTATCACCTTAACCTCACAGTCTGGCTCTATAACACCTAACAACACAGTCTGCCTCTATGTCGCCTTTACCTGCCAGTCCAACTCTATAACACCTTTACCTCAGAGTCTTTCGCTGTAACACGCGAACAACACAGTTTGACGCTATAACACCTTTATTATGCGAGTACGCATGCGTCAGCATTGCACACCATCCCGCTGAATCGCTCCGTCCCGGGCGACTTTGAACCCAATTTTAACCGGTTTTAAGCAACTTTTTAGACTGCATTCTTAACAGTTTGTTGGCTTTTAAGTTGAATTTTTACCGTGTATGGGTTTTATCTGCTATTTTAAGACGGCCCTCAGATGATCCACGCTGCATTAGGCACAGAACTCTGCAAGGGACCCGGAAGAGTGGGAATTTTAAATGGCTGTGTGTGCGGACTGCAAAATAAAAAACTCACGGTTGGAAGAGAAGCTTTGTCGTCTGCAAAATGATCTCCGTGAAAAGGATAGGCTGCTGGAGGGCTTCATATCCTTAGCTTCAGCTCAAGCTAAACATATATCCCTGAGTCAGGCCTCCAGGATCACCGGTCTTTCGCCCTCAGCTCTGGCACCACAGCTGGTTTCGGCCTCCGCTGCCACTCTGCCCTGGTTGGCCTCCCTGCATTCTCCGAACGGGCCGGCCGAGGGCCCTGCAGCCGGGGGTCCAGCCGGCTCACCCGTGCCGCACAGCGCAAAGCCGGCAGGCTGTCTCTCCACCTCTCCTCCCGCGCATCGGTACAGTCAGGGTCTGAGACCGCTGGATGATCCTGACACTGGCATGGTAGCGGGGCTCCCAGCGCTCCCTACCCACAGCTCGACCCCAAAGCTGAAGGGGCAGCAAACCTGGCTCGAAGTGGCGCAACGTGGATGGAGGACAACCGCAGCGGAGAGAGTCCCTTCACCACCACGGCTCTCCCTCTCCAACCGCTTCTTGGCCCTGAGGGATGAGGCCCCCGCTGACCCAGTCGCTGCTCCGGCTCCACTTCTCCTGTCGGTCCCAGCTCCAGCAGAGGCGGCTCCGCTCGGACCTGGCACCGCGGCCCTCCTCGACCGGGATACTGCGTCGCAGGCTGCTGAAGGAGGCCGTCTCCAGGCGCTCGGAGAGGCTTCCCCGGGCCGGCAACACCCTCACTCCACCTGCGTCCGCTCACTGCCGGCAATCGCCGTCTCCTGCACAGGTGGAGCGCCCAACATCTGAAGGCTTCAGCGCCTGCACATCAGCTCCTCGTCCCCTTTTTCCCCCGACCACGCTCATCATCGGAGACTCCATAACCAGTTACATCAGATTTTTTAATGCCATAACTCACTGTTTTCCCGGCGCCACAGTACCTGTCATCCTGGACAAACTTCTTAATCTACTCCCCTCTCTCCCCTCCTCTGTCACTAAGATTGTGCTCCATGTTGGCTCAAACGACATGTCCCTTAAGCAGTCCGAAATCACAAAGAGGGATTTTAACTTGCTTTTTAACGTTTTAAAGGACACTGGAAAGACAGTTTTTATCTCTGGCCCGATCCCCACTCTCGGTCGTGGAGCGGAACATTTTAGCAGGATCCTCAGCCTCCATACCTGGCTCCAATCCACATGCCCCACCCACAACTTCGGTTTTATTGACAATTTTAATCTGTTTTGGGACCAAGCATCACTTTTCAGCCATGATGGGATCCACCCCAACAGGCGGGGTAGCCGAATGCTCTCTTACAACATCCAGTATATGATCCACTCCTCACCCGTCTGACAGTCTGCACTCAGCAGCCCATCTTTCCACACCCAGGCCACCCCCCCTCCTCCTCACAATAACCTCTGGTCATCTCAAAACAGTCCCACAATCCCCGCTCATTCACCTGCCAACCCCCACCTTCCTCTGCCCCCCCCCCCCCACTGGTACTATCAGTAAATCCGTGATTCCAGTCCGCATCTCATCCTCACGTCCTCCCCGTCCTCCTGCCAGACTTTGTCCCCCCACCAATCTCATCCACATCCCCCTGCTTCCTCGGCTACCCCGCCCTGCTTTTAACAGCAAACCTGCAATCTTTGGACTTTTAAACATCAGGGGCCTCATGTATCAACGCTTGCGGCGCAAGAAAACCTTGCGTACGCCTAAATCGGCGCACACGTCCAGATTTATCATCGCGAAACGAGCGTCGGTTCCAGCGCTAATCAACGCAAAGTCAGGAGGTGGTGTAGAAATTGCCGTTGAGCCAATACGTTGACTGTGATTCGCACTTTGGCGACGCTGTGTGGCGGTGTTTGGTGACTCACTATGTGACAAGCGTGCACCACATCCCCGTGGCCGAGCAGCACGTCGCCCCACATGACGAACCAGCAGCAGACGGAGGGATGCGAGCTGATCCCTGCCGGGCCGCCGTCCTCGCGCGGGAGAATCTCATCGCCACAGTGTGAATGGGTAAGAAGTGAATACACAGTTCAATGAGCCAAATTAATTTATTTTCTCCACCAGACGCTCGAGGACATTTACGAGCCGGTGCAGCCGCTCGTTGATCCCCGCGATCCCCCTGATGATTTCTTCCTGCGATTGCAGGACCCCCTTCGCGAGGACCCTTCCACTGCGTCCGGGTGGTCCAGTGGAAACGCCGCGGCTGGTGGACGCTCCACCGCTTGTCGGCGCGCTGGAGCTGGAGCTGATGCTGGTGCTGGTGCTGGGGCCGGGGGCCGGGGTGGCCCGAATGCCGCTGGTCCTGGCCGACGACTCCGAGCCGGCGGGCCGGGGTTCCGCAAGCCGGCGACACGGCCGACACATTGATTTCTGTGACACAATAAAAATATTATTTCATTTCAATTCCTGCTTCTGTGTATCTGTTGCGTTTAGGTATCATAGGTAATGTAATCCAGTATTTCAAGGTCAGTTATGCACATTACAGTTGTTTATTGCATAAAAAGTTATCGAAAAATGAAGTTAAGGGCGAAGTATAAATCATGTCTAAAAATATACTGAATCCCGACGTTGAAATGAAGTATAAACTTAGACTAGACGTCTAATATACGTCTTTTGCTCAGTGGGATGACAAAGCATGTGGACATTTGTGTGACACGCCACTTACCCTATAATAATAATCACCACCACCCGCTGCTCAAACGGCGTGAGGGTCTCCTCCCCAGAACCCCACCTGTCTGGCCAGTACTCCTCCGGAGGGCAGCTGTACGCCGCTTGACCTCCACCTTGAGGTCCGACCACTTTTTTTTTAATCTCCGCGGGGGTGCGTGTCTCGGAACCCACCGCATTCACCCTCTCGCAAACTTTCTCCCACTCCAAGCGTTTTTGTTTTGCACTGACGCCACTGGATAGGCTGCCAAACAAAACACACTGTCGCTCCTCTACCTCAGCCATCAGCATCTCCACCTCGCACGCCGTAAATCTAGTTTTTCTTGTCATTTTGTCTGCGTGCGAGGACAGGGAGACCCTATTTAAATAAATCTGCATATTTATAGGAGGGCGTAACGGGGACGGGCCCAGTCACTCCGACATCTGCGCTCAATTCCACGCTGATTGGGATTTATCAAGGAAACACACGTGGATTTCGGCGCCCGCACACATTGATACATACGGATTTTTTTCAGCGTTACGGACCTTGTGTGCGCTCGTTTCTGGTATGAGTTCCACGCAAGTGTTGATACATGAGGCCCCAGATCCCTCAACAACAAAACATTTTAATGCCATGATTTTATTTCACAAAACAGTCTGGACTTTTTTATTCTGACTGAAACCTGGCTGACAATTGTATTTCTCTTATAGAAGCCACCCCCCCTGATTTTACTCACCTCCATCAGCCCCCGCAGTCAGGCCGGGGAGGGGGGGTGGCTGTCATATACGGGTCAATGACGTGACGCCTCAATATTCTGTCCGACTGTATTTTTTCTAAGTTGATTTTTTTTTTAAACGTTTTAAGATATACTATCTTTATGTAGTATCTCTCTAATATATGGAGCCACTTCAACTTTTCAAAAATCAGGAGTTTTTTGTAATTTTTTTTAACTTCAAAGGGTCAAAATATCATGTGGTGCGACCGTCTGGCCATGACTTCTGTTTTGAAAACTTCTTTGAAATTACTCTAAATCTATTACAATTAAGTTTCTGCAATATTCGGCATAATTTCCAAAGTGTTTTTTATTCCTGTACAAAATTGCAAAGCTTTTGCAGTTATATTTTTTTCATAATATACAAACGAATTTTGTCCGATCGTGTCAATTTCATTAAATATCATGTGGTGCGACCATCAAAGAATGATCACTTTTGGGACTTTTATTCTGAAATCTTCTCAAGGACAGGAAGTTACATCATCCACCATTTTGTCATAAAGCTTTGGAAGCAGAGAGAAGGTTTGTGGCTCTTTCACTTTTTCTAAAAAAAGAACCTTTTTAACTGCTGTAATGGTGTTTGCACTTTTCGATGTCATGTGGTATGACCTCAAAAAAAACAATTATTTTAAGTTATTTCCACAAATATGTACTTTTATTATAAATTTCATCGTGACCTTTTGTGGGAAGCTAGCTAGTTTTGTTCATGTGGCTAATCCTGTATCAGTAAGATTTGATTGGATTTGAAATGTCATGCGGTGCGACCAATCATCATGTCGTGCGACCACTGCAGATTGTTTTCTATCATAAATATATGCCCTCGATTGGCAGTATTTGTGATTTTTATATTCAATTGATGTTTGATAAACACTAAGTACTTCATTTTTAGTATTTTTTTGGTTATTTGATGGGTCATTTCGCTAATATTTCAGAAATAATGGTTAGTTCATCTTTGTACAATATAAGAAAAAAATATTAAAAGGATGCCATTTCACTTGGGTATTTATGCAGTTATTAGCAATTTATCAATTTTTATATATCTATTTAACTCATTTTAATTTATTTTACCAGATGCCACTGTCAGGCAAAGTCAAAAGCGCTCGCCACAGGCAGCGCGTCAACTGTGACCCCGCAGCAAGAGCAGAGTACCTTGCCAGGAGAAGAGAAGGGTATGTTAAAAAATGTCGTATATATATGTAGATATTTTTCTGTGTTTTTCATTACCCGGAGGACTTTTTTTTTCCATCAACATGTTCATTTACTGTGATCTGTTAGTTGTGCAAAATAAAAATAGACTAGGGATTTATGGCATGGCACTATATTACATTCTTGTTTCAGCTACCAGAGAAGGAAACTGCAGGGGAAGATTCCGTATGTAAAATCAAGTGAGCTGCCAAAGAGAATGAAAAAGAAGCAGAGAGAGAAATGGAGAGCAGCATCCAGTGCTTACAGGGAAAGAAAAAAGATGGCAAATGCTGTGTTAGACCTTTCACCACCATCCATGGAGAACATTCCACCAATTCTGGATGGTGTAGATGTTGCACAAGAACAGCCACAAGAGCAGCCAGAAAATACAGGTCAAGCTGTGGAAGACCCCATGCCTCTGAATGAGGATTTTAATCCACCGGTGTCCTCCACACCAGAGAGGAACAAAAAAAAAGAATAGATCAGCAGAAAAACTTTTCAAAAAATTGCGGAGAGAAAAGCGTCAACTGAAAATGCAGGTCTTACATTTGAAGAAACAGCTAGCAAAGATGAGAAAACAAAGGGATAAATCAAGAAAGAGTGAGGAGAGGTTAATGGTAAAACAAATAGTAGGCCTACGTGAAAGATTCAGGCTAAGGGGGCACAAAAAAATGTCAGCAAAAAGAAAGCAAGCAGTTATCAATTTTCTGTCCAGAGATGAAAACAGTCGTCTTTTAGCAGGGAAAAAAGACACTATTACCAAACACAAACTGAAAATACAGCGAAGAGTTTTAACAAAGCCCTTGATTGAGCTCCATGCTCAGTATCAAACAGAGGTGGAACAGGATCTCTCCATGTCTTACCGACAATTTGTCAGGAGACGGCCTTTCTACATCACAGAGCCAAAGGCCAGAGACAGAGATACATGTGCGTGTGTTGAACATGAGAATCTCCGGCTATTGATCAACAAACTTGCCAAGAGAGGGCTGTTGAAGACAACCAGCATCTCAGAATTATTGAATAGGATTGTTTGTGACCCTAAAAACAAAGCATGTATGGATCGTGTATGCCCAAAGTGCTGCTTTGAAGAAGTCCAACTACCTGAGACACCCTCTGCTGAAGTTTCGTGGGAACAATGGGAGCGAGTAACATCAACAAATGGAGAGAAAGTCTTTGCAAATGTTTTAAAACAAACACACACAGGGACCATAGAAGATTTAAAAGTTCTGTTCCACAAAAAGCTAGAATGTTTAGCCATACACCAGTTTAACTGGATCCATCAAACAGAGCAGTTCCGTACATTCAAACAAAATCTTACAGAAGCTGAAGCTGTGCTTCACATTGATTTTTCAGAAAACTACGCCTGCAAGATGAGCACAGAAGTACAGGCCTATCATTTTGGAGGCAGCAGAAAGCAGGCAACAATACACACTGCCATTCTTTACACAGTGCATGGCACTAAATCATACACAACACTGTCAGACAGCCTCCGCCATGATGAGCGGGCAGTATGGGCACACCTGGAGCCCATACTGAAAGAGATTCGGGCAACCTACCCACAGATTATGACCCTACATGTCATCAGTGATGGACCTGTCACACAGTACAGGAACAAAGCCAACTTTTACCTCCTCAGTACTGTGCCTTTCCTTTCTGGGTTCAAGCATGTTTCATGGAACTATTCAGAAAAGTCCCATGGAAAGGGTGCCCCGGATGGTATCGGTGGTGCCGTGAAGAGGGATGCAGATCTCTATGTTCGTCGGGGAGGTGAGCTGCAGACACCACTGGATTTGTATGAGATGCTGACGAAAAAATCCGGGTCAACTATTACTCATTACTGGGTAAACGAAGAGAGCATCCAGAAATATGATGAGCTGGTTCCAGAGAAATTGACGGCTGTGAAAGGAACCTTAAAAATACACCAAGTGTTATCTTCACAAGCTGCACAAATCAGTCACAGGGAGGTTTCGTGCTTCTGCCAGCATGCAGAAATGAAGACATGCCTATGTTACCAGCCAGTGAAAGTAGATTTGAGGGACACCACTGACAATTCCCTAAGCACTCCTGAGCCACCAAAGAAACAACCTCCTCAAGACTTGAGTGGAAAGTTTGTCATAGTCACCTATGATGAACTTCCCTATGTAGGCCAGGTCCTTCAGGTCGTGGGAGAGGAAGTACAAGTTACCTCCATGCGACAGTCAGGAGATAATAACTTGTTTGTGTGGCCACAAGTGCCAGATATTATATATTACTACAAAAAAGATATTATCCATGTCATTGCAGAACCTGAGCGAGCAACCTCACGCTACTCTAAGCTGACCAGCCAAGATTGGGCAAAGTTTACACAGGCCTGGGGTTAGAGGCACACACACACACACACACACACACACACACACACACACACACACACACACAGAGTTATATTTTTATCAAACAATCCAAAAATGTTTTTGAAATAAAATGTTTTTGTTCATGTTGTTCATACGGAGATTGGGCCAAATTCAGAGCAGCAAAGTTCAAAAAGGCCTGGGGTCAGCACCACATATCCACATGTGCACACACACACACACACACACACACACACACACACACACACACACACACACACACACGGTTAGATTTTTATCAAACAATCCAAAAATGTTTATGAAATAAAATGTTTTTGTTTTTGTTCATGTTGTTCATGCGGAGTTTGGGCAAAGATTGGGCCAAATTCAGAACAGCAAAGTTCAAAAAGGCCTGGGGTCAGCACCACATATCCACATGTGCACACACACACACACACACACACACACACACACACAGTTAGATATTTGTATAATGAAATGAAATTTTTGTGTTCATGTTGTTCATGTGAGGACTGGGCAATGAAGTTCAAAAAGACGTGGGCCACGCGCACACACACACACTCACACGCTCACACAGTTCAATTATTGTCAAAAAAATGAAATGAAATGTTTGTGTTCATGTTTTAAATGTTAATAAATTTGGTTTGAATATAAAACTTGCATGAAATTAATTGTTAATTGGTCTCTTTACATTGATTTTTATTGATACATTGTTTTCAGGTCATTTGGTGCGACCACCCATCATGTGGTGCGACCAATAATAACATTAATTATATCAAATACAAACTAAAATATCTCATTTCTGTAACAGAGACATTAATACCTGATACAATATGCTTAAGTGAAAGGTAGTTTTAAAACATTTTTGTCAGTATTATGCAATTTAAAGAAAAGATTAGTCAGTGAACTACATTTAATATAGCGACTGTGACATTATAGAGCTAATATATAATAATAATAATAATAATAATACATTTTATTTGAAGCGCCTTTCACGTCACACAAGGACACTTTACAGAACATATAAAAACAATAATAAAACACTATTAACAATTAAATTCATTAATCATCAAACAGTTAAAAATCAACAAAGCAACATTAAACATGAACAACAGCAAAGGAATAAATAAAGAAATTAATAATACCAATTGAAATTTAATTTAAAAAAGTGGGTTAGGGGTGGTGGGAGGGATAGGCCAGTTTAAACAGGTGTGTTTTGAGTTTGGACTTGAAGAGGGGGAGGAAGTCTATGTTGCGGATGTATGATGGTAAAGAGTTCCAGAGTCGGGAGGCAGAGCGACTGAAAGCTCTGCCCCCCATAGTGCTGAGGTGAACAGGGGGCACAGAGAGGTGGAGAGAGGAAGAGGAACGGAGGTGGCGTGCTGGAGTGGCGATGTGGAGGAGGTCAGATAGGTAAGGAGGGGCGAGGTTGTGGATGGCTTTGAGGGTATACAGGAGGATTTTGAACTGGATTCGTAGAGGGACCGGGAGCCAGTGAAGCTGCTGAAGGATGGGGGTGATGTCGTGGGACGAAGGGGTTTTGGTGATGATACGGGCAGCGGAGTTGTGGACCAGTTGAAGTTTATGGAGAGACGTGTAAGGGAGACAGAAGAGGAGGGAGTTGCAGTAATCCAGACGGGAGGTGACGAGACTGTGGACGAGGATGGAGGTGGTGTTGGGGGAGAGGGAGGGGCGGAGACGATTGATGTGGCGGAGGTGGAAATAGGCAGTGCGAGTGGTAAGGCTGATGTGGGATTTAAAAGAAAGAGAACTGTCAAGGACGACACCCAGACTCTTGACCTGAGGGGAGGGGGAAACTGAGGAACTGTCGATGGGAAGGGAGAGACTGTCAACTTTGGATAGGGTGGATTTGGAACCTACAAGAAGAATTTCTGTTTTCTGACTGTTTAATTGGAGAAAGTTGGAGGTGAACCAGGATTTAATTTCAGATAGGCAGGTGATAAGGGAGGTGGGTGGGAGGGTGGAGTTTGGTGAGCTGGAGAGGTAGAGCTGGGTGTCGTCAGCGTAGCAGTGGTATTGAATGTTGAATTTATGGAAGATGGAACCAAGGGGGAGGAGGTAGATGATGAACAGCAGGGGCCCCAGGACAGAGCCCTGGGGCACACCTGAACTGACTGGGGAGGGGTCGGACTTGAATGATTTGAGCTGGATGAACTGTGTGCGGTCTGAGAGGTAAGAGTGGAACCAGCGGAGGGGAGTGTGGGTGATGCCGATGGAGGAGAGTCTATGAAGGAGGATGGGATGGGAGATAGTGTCGAAGGCTGCACTAAGGTCGAGGAGGATGAGGATGGAAAGTGAACCAGAGTCAGATGCAGTGAGAAGGTCGTTAGTAATTTTTAGCAGGGCGGTTTCGGTGCTGTGGCGGGGGCGGAAACCAGATTGGAAGGGGTCATAGAGGGAGTTCTGGGTTAGGTGGTTGTGAAGTTGGCTGGCGACGACCTTTTCCATTATTTTGGCTATAAATGGTAGATTTGAGATGGGGTGGAGGTTGTTGAAGTTATTGGGGTCAGAGCCAGGTTTTTTAAGGATAGGGGTGATGGCTGCTGTCTTGAGGGATGCGGGAACAGTTCCAGTGGTGAGTGAGGAGTGAATGATGGCAGATATGAGAGGGAGCACAGATGGGAGGCATGATTTGAGCAGTGTGGTGGGAAGGGGATCCAGCTGACAGGTTGAGGGTTTGGATTTCTGGATGAGATTATAGATTTCAGAGTCATTGGGGAGAAGAAAACTGGAGAAGGGCTGGTGGTGTGGCAGGGGAGTCGGTGAGTTTGGAGGGGGTCCAGGGGGAAGAGAACCTGAGTGTAGTTGTTTATGGATGTTGGAGATTTTGTCATTAAAAAACTGCATTAGGGTGTTGCAGGTGTCGGTTGAATATAGGTGGGGAGGGAGGGAGTCCGGTGGCTGGAGAGATTTGTTGAGGAGAGTGAATAGTGATCTGGTGTTTCCTTTGTTGGAGATGATCTGGGCGGAGTAGTGGTTTGTTTTTGCGTGAGAAATTGAGTCCTTGTAGCAGCGTATGTGGTTAATGTACATTTCTTTGTGAATGGAGAGTCCAGTTTTCTTGTAAAGTCTTTCCAGTTGGCGGCCTTTGGTTTTCATGGTGCGGAGGTGGGGGGTGTACCAGGGTGCAGTTGTGGAGAAGGAAACAGAGCGTGTTTTGAGTGGAGCGAGGGAATTGAGGATGCTATTTAAACAGGTGTTGTAATGAGATGTTATGTCATCAGGGGTAGTGTAACAGTCCGGGATCACAATATTCATAATCTTAGAGCGCAGAGTGTCAATGTTTATGTTCTTAAGGTTGCGGAATGTAATGAGGCGTGGTGAATAAACTCTAGAGAGGGAGAGCGGAATACTGAAGGAGATGAGGAGGTGGTCACTTACGTGGAGATCATCAGCTGTGCAGTTGGATGGGATGAGGCCAGAGCAGCAGAGTAAATCCAGAGTGTGTCCTTTAGTGTGTGTCGGGAAGTTGATGAATTGATGGAGTCCAAAACTGTCCAGGCAGGATGAGAAGTCTCTGGTGAGGGGGAGGTTGGTGTTGTCAATATGGATATTGAAGTCCCCCAGTATTATTATGTTTGGTGAGAGTGTGCATAGATGGGTGAGTAGAACCGAAAAGTCATTTAAGAAGTCAGAGTGAGGCTTGGGGGGGCGGTAGATGGTGGCGATGATGGTGGGAGTGGGACCAGGGAGTGTAATTGCCAGAAGTTCGTGTGAGGAGAAAAGAGGCAAGGACAGCGGTAGAACTTTTCACTTTTTGTGGTGGATGACGGCGATACCTCCACCACGGCCGTGGCTGCGGGGGTGGGAGAGGTAGGTGTAGTCCGGGGGGGTGGAGCCGTTGAGTGATGAGAAGTCATTTGGTTGTTGCCATGTTTCAGTGATGCAGAGGAAGTCCAGCTTGCAGTCAGTGAGGAGATCGTGGATGATGTGTCCCTTGTTGGTGAGTGAGCGGATGTTGAGGAGTCCGAAGCTGACAGAGGTATTGTCATGTTTGGTGAGGATGGGAGCCAGTATGGATGGGCTTGTTAAAACAGAGTGATTGACAGTCCGGGTGGTGTATCTATTAGAGTGGTGTCTGTTGGTGATATGGACAGGAATAGTGAGAAGTTGGATACTACTGTAATTATTAGGGAGTGGGGAAAAAATGTCATGAAAACCTGTGGCAGAGGGAGTCGGTGACAGAATTTGCCAGCAGGGGGAGCTCTGGGGAGGACCTGTCAGCAGTGGGTGCACAACAGAGGGAGAGGGGTGTGTGTGTGGGGGGGAAGTAAATAGTCAATCACGTGGGAAACAGTGAACAGTGTGCTGCAGGTTAGCCGCTAACATGCGGCTACCTGTGGTGTTCGGGTGGATACCATCCAGTTTAAAAAGGGACGAACGGTTCCAAAAAAGATTAAAATTGTCCACGAAGGCAAAGCTATGGGCTTGGGAGGCAGATTGGAGCCAGGTGTGCAGGCTGAGCACTCTGCTGAAGCTCCCGCACCCACGACCAGAAGTGGGAATGGGGTCGCTGATAAAAACAGACAGTTCACAGTTCTTCAGAAAGTTAAAAAGTTGGGTAAAATAGTCCTTCGTGAGCTCGGTCTGGTGGAGGGACGTGTCATTGGTGCCAACATGAATTATAATTCTCTGGATGGAAGTTGGCAGAGATTTTAACAGAGTGGGGAGGAGTGTTAAAATGTCAAGGACCCTCGCACCGGGGAAACACCGCGTGAGAGCGTTAAAAAAGCGGATGTTTCTCACGATGGAGTCGCCCACAATTAAAGTCGTTGGAGGGAAAAGTGGACGTGGAGACTGCGTGACCAGAGAGGAATGGGGAGGGGGGGAACTCGCCGGGGAGGACAACTGAGGCGAGAGGGAAGGGACACGGGCCAGCCGTGGTGCCGGTGTGAAGCACGGCATCGAGCGCCGCCGGAGGGACCCGGCGTGCGGATGGTCGGGCACGGGAGGCGGAGGACCGGAGGACCCATGAGATAGCCAGATGGACATCGGCTGGGATCCCGCGGGCAGCGGGGGGGAGTCATGGAGGTCCAGGGTGTCAAACCTGTTCTCCAGGTGGAGTTGGAAGAGGGGAGCCTGAGGTGGGAGCTTTGATTTCCTGGTGCGGGCGGTGATGTGGGACCAGCGCTCCTGCAGGGATGGAGTGGAGCTAGCTGGAGGCTCTGGATTAGCCTTGGGTTTTGCTCCCAGCCTTGTCGAGGAGACCTCGGGGAAGAAGGATGGATGAGCAGGCGGAGGAGAGGTGGTCGCAGCAGCCGGGGGAGAGGTGTTGGGAGCGGCGGGGTCCGGATCCGACGAGCCGGTGGAGTCGGGATGTGATGTTCTGAAGACGATGGTGTCCATGAGTTTCTCGGCTTCCTGGATCTGGTAGAGTGTGGAGATCCTTTTTTCCAGCTCCTGGATCTTTTCCGCCAGACAGGCGCAGCTGGCACAGCCGGGTGGAGAGGAGTGTGGAGCCATGGCTGAAATGGATAAAAACAACAACCAGCAGACAGCCAACGACACCAGGCAGGATCTAATAGAGGACAGTCTGGATCAGGGATTGGACTGTGCCGAGAAGGACACTTACACGCCAGGGCTCCGTCCTGGAGCCCGCAGCGGTGAGGAAGCAGATCAGACAACACGGTAGGAGACTTACCGGCGAGGGCCCCGGAAGAGGGCCGGCTGATGGTGGAAATCTCAGGTAAGTCTCCTTTTCGGCGTTCCAGCCGTGATCGATGTGACCGGGGGTATTTTATTTGATCTGCTGTGTATTGGTCGATCGTTGTAACCGTTGTAGCCAGGTAGATGCTCTGGGTATCTGGGGTCAATCCGTTAGAGTCGTCTGTTAGAGTAGCTGGACTCCACACGGCGCCGCCATCTTGTCAGATCATACTATAGTACCAGCTATATGAGCTCATTATTTACAAAAACTGAAATAAAATGCGAACGCTCTGTTCCTATGTACTTGATATTACTGACAATTTAAAAAAAACTATCAAGTATGTTAAGAAAATGTAATAATTTTGAGATAAATGATGGTCGCACCACATGACATTTTTCAAGGCCACGGGCAATTCATTTATTTGAAAAAACACTAAAATTGCCTAATTTAAAAATTAAACTTTAATTTTTGTATACATAACATCCTTAGTGTTTGAACTGTTGCAAAAGATATTCTTATTTTTGGTATTTTAAAATTGGCATGTTGAAAAACCTTATACGTCATTGACCCATACAAGAAGGATTTTAAATGCACCCCCATCACCTTCAGCACTTTTAGTTCATTTGAGCACCTTGCTTATATTGTTAAATTGAAAGAACTTGTTTTAATCATAATCATTTATCGACCACCCAAACACAACACTGTTTTTATTCAGGAGTTTTCAGAGTTTCTATCCCTTTTTAGTTGTAAATATGACAAAGTTCTTATTTTGGGTGATTTTAATGTACATGTCTGCTGTCCCTCACAACCCTTAACTGTTGATTTTATTGCAACTCTGGACTCCTTTAATCTTACCCAGGCAATACAGGAACCAACTAATGTAAAGGGACACTGCTTAGATTTGGTTTTATTTACTGGACTTAGTCCTGGGGAGTTTTTAACAAAGGATATCTGTGTGTCAGATCACAAACTGGTTTTATTCTCCATGGTTTTATCCCAGCCTTCTTTTACCGATCACACTCCTGTTTTTAGAAGGGTTTTTAATGCATCGTCTGCTAGCAAGTTTTCAGAGCTTTTTATCGCTTCATCTTTAACTGCCCTCAACCCAGATTTTAATCCAGTTTTTAACACTGAAGAGCTTGTCTCTCTTTTAACAGTATGTGTGGAACCATCCTGGACTCTGTAGCTCCTCTGAAAAAGAAAAGATCTAACAAAGAACCCCAACCCTGGCTCACAGAGTCCACCCTTGAACTAAAGAGAATATGTAGAAGAAACGAACGCAAATGGAAGAAAACTGGGTTGGTGGTTTTCCTCGAAATTTGGAGAGACTCCTTGAAAAACTACCAGAAGGCAGTTAAGGATGCAAGGGCAGCATTTTACTCAAATTTGATTTTAGCTAATTATTCAAACCCCAGAGTTTTATTCAAGGTTTTAGAGTCTCTTTCCAACCCTTCCCCCTCTGCCCAAGGTTCTGGGCATCAGACATCAAATCACCCCTCCCAGTCTCCCTGTACTCTTAAGTCGGGAAGTTAAGCACTTTTTTAGTAGTTTTGAGCCGGTGTCCTTAAAATTTTTATCTGATATTTTAGCCAAAATGAAACCAGCTACGTGCAGTCTTGATTCTATCCCCACCAGATTTCTCAAAGAGGTTTTTAACGTGGTTGGGCCCAGCATTTTATCCATCATTAATAGCTCTCTAGTGGAGGGAGTATTTCCCTCTGCTTTTAAACACGCTGTGGTCCAACCCCTTTTAAAGAAGCCAAACCTTGACCCCTCTGATTTTAACAATTTTAGACCAATTTCAAAACTTCCATTTTTATCCAAACTTTTAGAGAAGGTGGTTTCTAAACAGCTTTTAGGTTTTATGTCTGAAAACAACCTCTTTGAGAAATTTTAGTCTGGTTTTAGAGCAGGTCACAGCACTGAGACTGCCCTCCTCCGTGTGACCAATGACCTTCTTTTAGCAGCAGATAGAGGGGAGGGCTCAATTTTAATTCTTTTTGATCTCAGTGCAGCTTTTGATACAGTTGATCATACTATTTTAATTGAACGTCTTAAAAACTGGGTGGGTATCAGGGGCACTGCACTTGGCTGGTTTCAGTCGTATCTTTAAGAACGAACCTTTGCGGTCACCATAGGCAATCACACCTCCTCTACTTCTGCTATCGCCTGTGGTGTTCCGCAAGGTTCAGTTTTAGGTCCAATTTTATTTTCTATCTACATGCTGCCCCTCGGCCAATTAATTCAGCGCCACAAAGTCTCCTTTCACTGCTATGCAGACGACACACAGATATACCTTCCTTTGAGACCTGAGGACCCAAGAGGCCTAGCTGCTGTCATGGACTGTCTAAGTGACATGAACTGTTGGATGGCACAAAATTTCCTTCGGCTAAACTATTCAAAATCTGAAATAATTCTCTGTAACATACAAAATTCCCCCCTCATTCAGTCTTGTCTTGGTCCACATTCAGTAATCATCAAACCAACATCCAGAAATCTGGGAGTAACCTTCGATTCAGACCTCACCTTCTCCACCCATATCAACAAGATTGTCCAGTCCTGTTTCCTTCACCTGTGCTCCATTTCAAAAATTAAACAAATACTCACCCCATCAGATCTCGAAAAGATAATCCACGCCTTCATTTTCTCAAGACTGGACTATTGTAACTCTCTCCTCCCTGGTTTAAACAAGAAATCACTCTCTCGCCTCCAACTAGTTCGGAATGCAGCAGCTAGGCTTTTAACTGGTTTTAGTTGATGGCATCACATCACCCCAATTTTAGCCTCCCTTCACTGGCTTCCTGTCAGCTTTAGAATTGATTTTAAGATTTTATTGATTACTTTTAAAGCGCTCAAAGGACTTACTCCGAGCTACATTTCAGAGCTTTTAATACCTTATGAGCCAACTCGCAGCCTCAGATCCTCTGGCGAAGGCCTCCTAGTCGTTCCAAAGTCGAGGCTCAAGACTAAAGGTGATAGAGCTTTCTCCATCAGAGCTCCTCGACTTTGGAACGACCTGCCAGAGGAGATAAGGCGTGCAGAGACAGTCGCTTCTTTTAAGTCAATTTTAAAAACTCACTTTTACAGACTTGCCTTTATGTGATGCCATCTTTCATCTTTTATCGTCTTTTACCTTTTTTCTTTTTCTCCTTTTTCTTTTACCTCTGTCTTATTAGGGCCCGAGCGTAGCTGCTAAGCAGCTGCGAGAGCCCTCTTGTTCCTGATGGATTCTTCTTTCGTTATTAGGGCCCGAGCGTAGCTGCTAAGCAGCTGCGAGAGCCCTATTATTCCCCAAGTGGTTTTTCTTTGTTTCTTTCTTTAGGGCCCGAGCGTAGCTGCTAAGCAGCTGCGAGAGCCCTCTTGTTCCTGATGGATTCTTCTTTTGTTATTATTATTATTATTTTTCCTCCGCTTTAAACTGGAAAATGGCCCACTTCCCACTGGCGAAAACTCAGGAAATTTGGCAGGACGACCGGGCCTGGTGAAAAATTCGATATTCTGAAGTCGCCCAAACAATAAAATACAAAATGGCTCCATAGCGCCCCCTAAGGTGAAAATTCACACTATTGACTGTCACGTCTGTACGCTTTGTCATATTGACACAAAAATTGACACACACATGTATCTCAATAAGATCTACAAAAAAGTCAGTGCGGGCGTATCTGTCAAATGTACGGTTAAAGGGTTATTTCGCATTTTTTGCAGATCCGCACACATTGGAATTTCGCTAACTCCTCCGAAGGCTTTCGGTCCACCGGCACCACATTTGCTCAGGCCAATCTACACTCCATGGCCATTCAAAGTTGTACAAATCATGATGCTGCACCCCATGGTTTAGGTTCTAGGGGGCGCCAAAAATAACCCTAAAATCCACATTCTTAAAAGTTTTATAACTTTTTATTTTTGCCCTCACTGGCCTCCAAGTTTTCTAGGATGATGCAATGTCCAGCCATCAACACATTTGTGAAGGAATTTTTACTCCCCAAAAGAGCGCCCCCCCCATGGCAGGACAAAAAAGTCAATTTTTTCTTGTCCCCTAAGGTGAAAATACACATTGTTGAATGTCACGCCTGTACGCTTTGTCATATTGACACAAAATTTGACAATCACGTGTATCTCAATAAGATCTACGAAAAAGTCAATGCAGGCGTATCTGTCAAATGTACGGTTAAAGGGCTATTTCGCATTTTTTGCCGATTCGCACACATTGGAATGTGGCTAACTCCTCCTAAGGCTTTCGTCCCACTGACACCAAATTTGCTCAGGTCAATCTACACCCCATGGCCATTCAAAGTTGTAAAAATCATGACGCTGCACCCTATGGTCTACGTTCTAGGGGGCGCCAAAGAGGACCCAAATATCCACATTTTTAAAGTCTTATAACTTTTTATTTTTGTCCTCACTGGCCTCCAAGTTTTCTAGGATGATGCAATGTCCAGCCATCAACACATTTGTGAAGGAATTTTTTCTCCCCAAAAGAGCGCCCCCCCATGGCAGGAGAAAAAGTCAAGTTTTTCCTGCCCATCGCTCAATGGCTCAAACGCATCGCTCTCTCGGCAAAACCGAAAGGAGGAGCAACTTGCCATTTGGATATATACTAGCTGTGTTTGTGCCCTCACTCATGGTCCAGACTTTTTTCAAAAAGGACATGGAGTTTGTCTGCAGCGAGCGTTTTGGTAGAAACTGCGCCTCCCATTCATTATAATGGTAAATGACCACAGACAAGTGCGCACACCATCTTTGGACCTTGAGTGTGACGCGATCGGGAGGGGGAGGCGGTCGCGCTGGGGGCGGCGTGACACGGCTCGGGCCCGCCAGTGCCCCACCGGGGCCCTAGTTCTTCTTTTTCCTCCCCTTTGAACTGGAAAATGGCCCACTTCCCACTGGCGAAAACTCATGAAATTTGGCAGGATGACCGGGCCTGGTGAAAAATTTGATATTCCGAAGTCGCCCAAACAAGAAAATGCAAAATGGCTCCATAGCGCCCCCTAAGGTGAAAATTCACACTATTGACTGTCACGCCTTTACGCTTTGTCATATTGACACAAAAATTGACACACACATGTATCTCAATAAGATCTACAAAAAAGTCAGTGCGGGCGTATCTGTCAAATGTACGGTTAAAGGGTTATTCCGCATTTTTTGCCGATCCGCACACATTGGAATTTCGCTAACTCCTCCGAAGGCTTTCGTTCCACCGGCACCACATTTGCTCAGGCCAATCTACACCCCATGGCCATTAAAAGTTATTCAAATCATGACGCTGCACCCCACGGTTTAGGTTCTAGGGGGCGCCAAAGATAACCCTAAAATCCACATATTTAAAAGTCTTATAACTTTTTATTTTTGTCCTCACTGGCCTCCAAGTTTTCTAGGATGATGCAATGTCCAGCCATCAACACATTTGTGAAGGAATTTTTACTCCCCAAAAGAGCGCCCCCCCATGGCAGGAGAAAAAAGTCCATTTTTTCTTGTCCCATAAGGTGAAAAAACACATTGTTGACTGTCATACCTGTACGCTTTGTCATATTGACACAAAATTTGACAATCACATGTATCTCAATAAGATCTACGAAAAAGTCAATGCGCGCGTATCTGTAAAATGTACGGTTAAAGGGCTATTTTGCATTTTTTGCCGATTTGCACACATTGGAATTTCGCTAACTCCTCCGAAGGCTTTCGTTCCACCGGCACCACATTTGCTCAGGCCAATCTACACCCCGTGGCCATTCAAAGTTATCAAAATCATGACGCTGCATCCCACGGTTTACGTTCTAGGGGGCGCCAAAGATGACCCAAATATCCACATTCTTAAAAGAATCCACATCCCCCCCCCCCCCCCCCCCATCCCCCAAGCCCCATGGCATGGTTGTGCCCTCACTCATGGTCCAGTCCTTTTCAAATAGGACATGTAGTTTGTCTGCGGCGAGCGTTTTGGTAGAAACTGCGCCTCCCATTCATTATAATTGTAAATGACCACAGACAAGTGCGCACACCATCTTTGGACCTTGAGTGTGACGCGATCGGTAGGGAGAGGCGGTCGTGTTGGGGGCGGCGCGACACGGCTCGGGCCCGCCAGTGCCCCAACGGGGCCCTAGTTAGGGCCCGAGCGTAGCTGCTAAGCAGCTGCGAGAGCCCTCTTGTTCCTGCATGTTTCCTTCTTTCGTTATTATTTTTCCTCCGCTTTAAACTGGAAAATGGCCCACTCCCCACTGGCGAAAACTCAGGAAATTTGGCAGGACGACCGGGCCTGGTGAAAAATTCGATATTCTGAAGTCGCCCAAACAATAAAATGCAAAATGGCTCCATAGCGCCCCCTAAGGTGAAAATTCACATGACGGCTGTACGCTTTGTCATATTGACACAAAAATTGACACACACATGTATCTCAATAAGATCTACAAAAAAGTCAGTGCGGGCGTATCTGTCAAATGTACGGTTAATGGGTTATTTTGCATTTTTTGCAGATCTGCACACATTGGAATTTCGTTAACTCCTCCGAAGGCTTTCGTTCGACCGGCACCACATTTGCTCAGGCCAATCTACCCCCCATGGCCATTAAAAGTTGTACAAATCATGACGCTGCACCCCACGGTTTACGTTCTAGGGGGCGCCAAAGATAACCCAAAAATCCACATTCTTAAAAGTCTTATAACTTTTTACTTTTGTCCTCACTGGCCTCCAAGTTTTCTAGGATGATGCAATGTCCAGCCATCAACACATTTGTGAAGGAATTTTTACTCCCCAAAAGAGCGCCCCCCAATGGCAGGAGAAAAAGGTCCATTTTTTCTTGTCTCCTAAGGTGAAAATACAAATTGTCGAGTGTCACGCCTGTATGCTTTGTCATATTGACACAAAATTTGACAATCACGTGTATCTCAATAAGATCTATGAAAAAGTCAAAGGGCATGTATCTGTCAAATGTACGGTTAAAGGGCTATTTTGCATTTTTTGCCGATCCGCACACATTGGAATTTCGCTAACTCCTCCGAAGGCTATCTTTCCACCGGCACCAAATTTGCTCAGGCCAATCTACACTCCATGGCCATTCAAAGTTGTAAAAATCATGACGCTGCACCCCACGGTTTACGTTTTAGGGGGCGCCAAAGATGACCCAAATATACATTACAGTAGACAAAGTAGTTTTGCCCACTGAGTGGCGCCAAAGGGACTTGTCTGTGGAGTCTGTGAATCACTGTTGGCCGTTTTTGACTACTTTAGATTTTACCTTTATATTTCCTCTTACAAAATTTTTACCTTGCCTTGCCTGGTATCATTTTTTTCAGCACAACCTCACCTGTGTCAATTTACAGTTATTTTATCATTTTGACATACTATATTTACACATTGGACCCAAATTCACACACAAAACATAAAATCCGAGTGGAAAAAAGTAACGTTTTTACTGTGAAAACCACAAATATGTGTGATGAACTGTTTTTAAAACTTAAACTTCAAATAAAAATTGTAAACTTCAAAACATATGCAAATTTTTAACAAAGAACATAGTAATTTACCTCTATTTACATCAAAATGCAGGCAATGGCCCAGGCGTTCTTTGTAAAATTATTTACAAAACACTGTATAGTCTCACAAATGTCACTTTTTATTTATGCCACTACAAAAAAACATGATGTAAATGATGCATGATGTAAAACATGATGTAAAAAACTTGTGTAGATCATCCTCTATGTCAGTCCATGTTTAATTTTTCCACAATTCTTTGTTTTTTGCAGCATTTTTGTCAGTGTAACTGCAGATTGTGCTGACAGTGTCTATGGCACACAAAAAAAAAAATTTAAAATGCCTCAACATGAACCCCTGGTGGTCTCTGAGGGTGAAACCTGCTAACTGCTGCAGCTCTGTCAGCTTCAGTCTCCCATGCAGAGCTCTGAGCGCATGTGTGGCTCTGCACCCTTAGCAGCGTTGCTAACTCCTCAGTAAGGAAAGCCTGCTTCATGTCAGAGTCTCTAAACTCCAGAAGAAGTCGATAAAAGTCCCTTTCTTTCTAAAAAAAAAAGTCGTTAGGGGGTCTGAAAAGTCATTGAATCTAACAACAAAGTCGCTAGGTTTGCAACTACGTGTCCCAGACTGCATCCCTGCTGAGAGTCCCTCCCTCGCTTCTCATGTTGCAGGAAGAACGTAAGCGCCTGCCCCTTGTCAATCAGTCACCATATAATTTTGGATTGGTTGTTGTGGTGAAGTTTTCCACCAATAGGAGAGATGTTGTGGTGTGTTTTTTTTTTCTTTTGGCAAGCCTTTTCCGCCTGTAAGAGCTGTCGCTAATGTCTGCATGCTATGTTTTCCTGTGTCATACAGCGCGATCGAGCGCCGAACGTGATCAAAATAAGCAGAAAAAAAGTATCGCGGACATAATTTATCATAACTCTGGTTTTATTTGGCCTATCAACACAATTTAAAAACTGGTATATAGGTTGAGGTCCTCACTTTTGAGATAAGTTGAAACGGAGAGTCAACGAGGCTCCGTCTTGCAGCTACATCCGGTTAAATATGTCATGTGACTTGAACGCACACACAGACACGCACACACACACACACACACACACACACACACACACACACACACACACTCAGAGTCTGGTTTTTAGCACCTGCAAAAACATGCTATTTACATATTTGACAAGAATGCAGAGGCTCCTTTTGCCCCTGAAAAAAATTAAATTTCAAACACAACTTGACTGGTCATTTCTCCAAAAGACAACCATGAAGCTCCATCCAAACCTGAAGCAGGCAGTTGGTGCATGTGTACAGTAACCTGAGGGGAGTGAGGTGAGTGCTTCTGAGGAGAACATGAGCAGTGAAGATTCACCTTGAAGCTAGAACAGAGACGTGCACATGATTATACAGGGGCAGGGGCTCAAGTTTTTTCCAGTCGTTTATACAATATGGAAATTAATGTGAAATTAAAACACAAAGTATTAATAGAAAGGTAATGACTGTCCTGTGTAGGTGACAGTGATATCCAATAGGCTAGGCACTCACGAGGCTGGCTGTGGCAAGTGTAAGTGAAAGCAACACGCACTGGCAAGAAGAACAGCAAACGCCGATGAAGGAAAAGGGTCTTTGCAGTGATGGGCGTTACCAGAGAGGGCGATGGCCAGAGGACGCGAATGGGACGGGGAGGCAGCGCGTTGGGGGGGGCAGCGCGACACGGCTCGGGCCCGCCAGTGCCCCAACGGGGCCCTAGTTCTTTGTTTCTTTCTTTCTTTTTTCTTTTTCCTCCCCTTTGAACTGGAAAATGGCCCACTTCCCACTGGCAAAAACTCATGAAATTTGGCAGGACGACCGGGCCTGGTGAAAAATTCGATATTCTGAAGTCGCCCAAACAATAAAATGCAAAATGGCTCCATAGCGCCCCCTAAGGTGGAAATTCACACTATTGACTGTCACGCCTGTACGCTTTGTCATATTGACACAAAAATTGACACACATATGTATCTTAATAAGATCTACAAAAAAGTCAGTGCGGCCGTATCTGTCAAAATTACGGTTAAAGGGTTATTTCGCATTTTTTGCCGATCCGCACACATTGGAATTTCGCTAACTCCTCCGAAGGCTTTCGTTCCACCGGCACCACATTTGCTCAGGCTAATCTACACCCCGTGGCCATTAAAAGTTATCAAAATCATGACGCTGCACCCCAAGGTTTAGGTTCTAGGGGGCGCCAAAGATAACACTAAAATCCACATATTTAAAAGTCTTTTAACTTTTTATTTTTGTCCTCACTGGCCTCCAAGTTTTCTAGGATGATGCAATGTCCAGCCATCAACACATTTGTGAAGGAATTTTTACTCCCCAAAAGAGCGCCCCCCCATGGCAGAAGAAAAAAGTCCATTTTTTCTTGTCCCCTAAGGTGAAAATACACATTGTTGAGTGTCACGCCTATACGCTTTGTCAAAATGACACAAAAATTGACACACACATGTAACTCAATAAGATCTACGAAAAAGTCAATGCGCGCGTATCTGTCAAATGTACGGTTAAAGGGTTATTCCGCATTTTTTGCCGATCCGCACACATTGGAATGTGGCTAACTCCTCCTAAGGCTTTCGTTCCACCGGCACCACATTTGCTCAGGCCAATCTACACCCCATGGCCATTAAAAGTTATTCAAATCATGACGCTGCACCCCACGGTTTAGGTTCTAGGGGGCGCCAAAGATAACCCTAAAATCCACATATTTAAAAGTCTTATAACTTTTTATTTTTGTCCTCACTGGCCTCCAAGTTTTCTAGGATGATGCAATGTCCAGCCATCAACACATTTGTGAAGGAATTTTTACTCCCCAAAAGAGCGCCCCCCCATGGCAGGAGAAAAAAGTCCATTTTTTCTTGTCCCCTAAGGTGAAAATACATATTGTTGAGATTCACGCCTATACGCTTTGTCATATTGACACAAAATTTGACAATCACGTGCCTTGCCTGGTATCATTTTTTTCAGCACAACCTCACCTGTGCGAATTTACAGTTATTTTATCATGTTGACATACTGAATTTACACAATGGACCCAAATTCACACACAAAACATAAAATCCGAGTGGAAAAAAGTAACATTTTTACTGTGAAAACCACAAATATGTGTGATGAACTGTTTTTAAAACTTAAACTTCAAATAAAAATTGTAAACTTCAAAACATATGCAAATTTTTAACAAAGAACATAGTGATTTACCTCTATTTACATCAAAATGCAGGCAATGGCCCAGGCGTTCTTTGTAAAATTATTTACAAAACACTGTATAGTCTCACAAATATCACTTTTTATTTATGCCACTACAAAAAAACATGATGTAAATGATGCATGATGTAAAACATGATGTAAAAAACTTGTGTAGATCCTCCTCTATGTCAGTCCATGTGTAATTTTTCCATAATTCTTTGTTTTTTGCAGCATTTTTGTTAGTGTAACTGCAGATTGTGCTGACAGTGTCTATGGCACAAAAAAAAAAATAATTAAAATGCCTCAACATGAACCCCTGGTGGTCTCTGAGGGTGAAACCTGCTAACTGCTGCAGCTCTGTCAGCTTCAGTCTCCCATGCAGAGCTCTGAGCGCATGTGTGGCTCTGCACCCTTAGCAGCATTGCTAACTCCTCAGTAAGGAAAGCCTGCTTCATGTCAGAGTCTCTAAACTCCAGAAGAAGTCGATAAAAGTCCCTTTCTTTCTAAAAAAAAAAGTCGTTAGGGGGTCTGAAAAGTCATTGAATCTAACAACAAAGTCGCTAGGTTTGCAACTACGTGTCCCAGACTGCATCCCTGCTGAGAGTCCCTCCCTCGCTTCTCATGTTGCAGGAAGAACGTAAGCGCCCGCCCCTTGTCAATCAGTCACCATATAATTTTGGATTGGTTGTTGTGGTGAAGTTTTCCACCAATAGGAGAGATGTTGTGGTGTGTTTTTTTTTTTCTTTTGGCAAGCCTTTTCCGCCTGTAAGACCTGTCGCTAATGTCTGCATGCTATGTTTTCCTGTCTCATACAGCGCGATCGAGCGCCGAACGTGATCAAAATAAGCAGAAAAAAAGTATCGCGGACATAATTTATCATAACTCTGGTTTTATTTGGCCTATCATCACAATTTAAAAACTGGTATATAGGTTGAGGTCCTCACTTTTGAGATAAGTTGAAACGGAGAGTCAACGAGGCTCCGTCTTGCAGCTACATCCGGTTAAATATGTCATGTGACTTGAACGCACACACAGACACACACACACGCACACACACACACACACACACTCAGATTCTGGTTTTTAGCACCTGCAAAAACATGCTATTTACATATTTGACAAGAATGCAGAGGCTCCTTTTGCCCCTGAAAAAAATCAAATTTCAAACACAACTTGACTGGTCATTTCTCCAAAAGACAACCATGAAGCTCCATCCAAACCTGAAGCAGGCAGTTGGTGCATGTGTACAGTAACCTGAGGGGAGTGAGGTGAGTGCTTCTGAGGAGAACATGAGCAGTGAAGATTCACCTTGGAGCTAGAACAGAGACATGCACATGATTATACAGGGGCAGGGGCTCAAGTTTTTTCCAGTCGTTTATACAATATGGAAATTAATGTGAAATTAAAACACAAAGTATTAATAGAAAGGTAATGACTGTCCTGTGTAGGTGACAGTGATATCCAATAGGCTAGGCACTCACGAGGCTGGCTGTGGCAAGTGTAAGTGAAAGCAACACGCACTGGCAAGAAGAACAGCAAACGCCAATGAAGGAAAAGGGTCTTTGCAGTGATGGGCGTTACCAGAGAGGGCGATGGCCAGAGGACACAAATGGGACGGGGAGGCAGCACGTTGGGGGGGGGACGCGACACGGCTCGGGCCCGCCAGTGCCCCAACGGGGTCCTAGTTATTATTATTAGGGCCCGAGCGTAGCTGCTAAGCAGCTGCGAGAGCCCTCTTGTTCCTGCATGTTTCCTTCTTTCGTTAGGGCCCGAGCGTAGCTGCTAAGCAGCTGCGAGAGCCCTCTTGTTCCTGATGGATTCTTCTTTAGGGCCCGAGCGTAGCTGCTAAGCAGCTGCGAGAGCCCTATTATTCCTGATGGATTCTTCTTTCTTCTTCTTCTTCTTATTATTTTTCTGCCCCTTTGAACTGGAAAATGGCCCACTTCCCACTGGTGAAAAGTCATGAAATTTGGCAGGACGACCGGGCCTGGTGAAAAATTCGATATTCTGAAGTCGCCCAAAAAATCAAATGCAAAATGGCTCCATAGCGCCCCCTAAGGTGAAAAATTCACATGATTGAGTGTCACGCCTGTACGCTTTGTCAAAATGACACAAAATTTGACACACACGTGTATCTCAATAAGATCTACAAAAAAGTCAGTGCGGGCGTATCTGTCAAATGTACGGTTAAAGGGCTATTTCGCATTTTTTGCCGATCCGCACACATTGGAATTTCGCTAACTCCTCCGAAGGCTTTCGTTCCACCGGCACCAAATTTGCTCAGGCCAATCTACACCCCATGGCCATTAAAAGTTGTACAAATCATGACGCTGCATCCCACGGTTTACGTTCTAGGGGGCGCCAAAGATAACCCAGAAATCCACATTCTTAAAAGTCGTATAACTTTTTATTTTTGTCCTCACTGGCCTCCAAGTTTTCTAGGATGATGCAATGTCCAGCCATCAACACATTTGTGAAGGAATTTTTACTCCCCAAAAGAGCGCCCCCCCATGGCAGGAGAAAAAAGTCCATTTTTTCTTGTCTCCTAAGGCGAAAATTCACACTATTGACTGTCACGCCTTTACGCTTTGTCATATTGACACAAAAATTGACACACACATGTATCTCAATAAGATCTACAAAAAAGTCAGTGCGGGCGTATCTGTCAAATGTACGGTGAAAGGGCTATTTCGCATTTTTTGCCGATCCGCACACATTGGAATTTCGCTAACTCCTCCGAAGGCTTTCGTTCCAAAGGCACCACATTTGCTGAGGCCAATCTACACCCCATGGCCATTAAAAGTTGTACAAATCATGACGCTGCACCCCACGGTTTACGTTCTAGGGGGCGCCAAAGATAACCCAAAAATCCACAGTCTTAAAAGTCTTATAACTTTTTATTTTTGTCCTCACTGGCCTCCAAGTTCTCTAGGATGATGCAATGTCCAGCCATCAACACATTTGTGAAGGAATTTTTACTCGCCAAAAGAGCGCCCCCCCATGGCAGGAGAAAAAAGTCCATTTTTTCTTGTCTCCTAAGGCAAAAATACACATTGTTGACTGTCACGCCTTTACGCTTTGTCAAAATGACACAAAATTTGACACACACATGTATCTCAATAAGATCTACAAAAAAGTCAGTGCGGGCGTATCTGTCAAATGTACGGTTAAAGGGTTATTTCGCATTTTTTGCCGATCCGCACACATTGGAATTTCGCTAACTCCTCCTAAATCTTTTGTCCCATCGGCTTCAAATTTGCTCAGGTCAATCTACACCCCATGGCCATTCAAAGTTGTACAAATCATGACGCTGCACCCCACAGTTTACGTTCTAGGGGGCGCCAAAGAGGACCCAAATATCCACATTTTTAAAAGTCTTATAACTTTTTAAGTCTTATAACTTTTTTTTTTGTCCTCACTGGCCTCCAAGTTTTCTAGGATGATGCAATGTCCAGCCATCAACACATTTGTGAAGGAATTTTTCTCCCCAAAAGAGCGCCCCCCATGGCAGGAGAAAAAGTCAAGTTTTTCCTGCCCATCGCTCAATGGCTCAAACGCATCGCTCTCTCTGCAAAACCGAAAGGAGGAGCAACTTGCCATTTGGATATATACTAGCTGTGTTTGTGCCCTCACTCATGGTCCAGACTTTTTTCAAATAGGACATATAGTTTGTCTGCAGCGAGCGTTTTGGTAGAAACTGCGCCTCCCATTCATTATAATGGGAAATGACCACAGACAAGTGCGCACACCATCTTTGGACCTTGAGTGTGACGCGATCGGGAGGGGGAGGCGATCACGCTGGGGGCGGCGCGACGCGGCTCGGGCCCGACAGTGCCCCACCGGGGCCCTAGTTATTTTTCCTCCCCTTTGAACTGGAAAATGGCCCACTTCCCACTGGCGAAAACTCATGAAATTTGGCAGGACGACCGGGCCTGGTGAAAAATTTGATATTCCGAAGTCGCCCAAACAAGAAAATGCAAAATGGCTCCATAGCGCCCCCTAAGGTGAAAATTCACACTATTGACTGTCACGCCTGTACGCTTTGTCAAAATGACACAAAAATTGACACACACATGTATCTCAATAGGATCTACAAAAAAGTCAGTGCGGGCGTATCTGTCAAATGTACGGTTAAAGGGTTATTTCGCATTTTTTGCCGATCCGCACACATTGGAATTTCGCTAACTCCTCCGAAGGCTTTCGTTCCACCGGCACCACATTTGCTCAGGCCAATCTACACCCCATGGCCATTAAAAGTTATTCAAATCATGACGCTGCACCCCACGGTTTAGGTTCTAGGGGGCGCCAAAGATAACCCTAAGATCCACATATTTAAAAGTCTTATAACTTTTTATTTTTGCCCTCACTGGCCTCCAAGTTTTCTAGGATGATGCAATGTCCAGCCATCAACACATTTGTGAAGGAATTTTTACTCCCCAAAAGAGCGCCCCCCCATGGCAGGAGAAAAAAGTCCATTTTTTCTTGTCCCCTAAGGTGAAAATACACATTGTTGAGTGTAACACCTGTACGCTTTGGCAAAATGACACAAACATTGACACACACATGTATCTCAATAAGATCTACGAAAAAGTCAATGCGCGCGTATCTGTCAAATGTACAGTTAAAGGTTTATTCCGCATTTTTTGCCGATCCGCACACATTGGAATTTCGCTAACTCCTCCGAAGGCTTTCGTTCCACCGGCACCACATTTGCTCAGGCCAATCTACACCCCATGGCCATTAAAAGTTATTCAAATCATGACGCTGCACCCCACGGTTTAGGTTCTAGGGGGCGCCAAAGATAACCGTAAAATCCACATATTTAAAAGTCTTATAACTTTTTATTTTTGTCCCCACTGGCCTCCAAGTTTTCTAGGATGATGCAATGTCCAGCCATCAACACATTTGTGAAGGAATTTTTACTCGCCAAAAGAGCGCCCCCCCATGGCAGGAGAAAAAAGTCCATTTTTTCTTGTCCACTAAGGTGAAAATACACATTGTTGAGTGCTACGCCTGTATGTTTTGTCGTATTGACACAAAATTTTACACACACGTGTATTTCAATAAGATCTTCGAAAAAGTCAATGGCCACGTATCTGTCAAATGTACGGTTAAAGGGTTATTTCGCATTTTTTGCAGATTCGCACACATTGGAATTTCGCTAACTCCTCCGAAGGCTTTCGTTCCACCGGCACCACATTTGCTCAGGCCAATCTACACCCCATGGCCATTAAAAGTTATTCAAATCATGACGCTGCACCCCACGGTTTAGGTTCTAGGGGGCGCCAAAGATAACCGTAAAATCCACATATTTAAAAGTCTTATAACTTTTTATTTTTGTCCTCACTGGCCTCCATGTTTTCTAGGATGATGCAATGTCCAGCCATCAACACATTTGTGAAGGAGTTTTTTCTCGTTAAAAGAGCGCCCCCCATGGCAGGAGAATAAAGTCAAGTTTTTCCTGTTCATCATTCAATGGCTCAAACGCACTGCTCTCTCGGCAAAAGCGAAAGGAGGAGCAACTTGCCATTTGGATATATCTTAGCTGTGTTTGTGCCCTCACTCATGGTCCAGACTTTTTTCAAATAGGACATGGAGTTTTTCTGCAGCGAGCGTTTTGGTAGAAACTGCGCCTCCCGTTCATTATAATGGTAAATGACCACAAACAAGTGCGCACACCATCTTTGGACCTTGAGTGTGACGCGATCGGGTGGGGGAGGCGGTCGCGCTGGGGGCGGCGTGACACGGCTCGGGCCCGCCAGTGCCCCAACGGGGCCCTAGTTTGTTATTATTATTATTATTTTTCCTCCGCTTTAAACTGGAAAAGGGCCCACTTCCCACTGGCGAAAACTCATGAAATTTGGCAGGACGACCGGGCCTGGTGAAAAATTCGATATTCTGAAGTCGCCCAAACAATAAAATGCAAAATGGCTCCATAGCGCCCCCTAAGGTGGAAATTCACACTATTGACTGTCACGTCTGTACGTTTTGTCATATTGACACAAAAATTGACACACATATGTATCTCAATAAGATCTACAAAAAAGTCAGTGCGGGCGTATCTGTCAAATGTACGGTTAAAGGGTTATTTCGCATTTTTTGCCGATCCGCACACATTGGAATTTCGCTAACTCCTCCGAAGGCTTTCGTTCCACCGGCACCACATTTGCTCAGGCCAGTCTACACCCCATGGCCATTAAAAGATGTACAAATCATGACGCTGCACCCCACGGTTTAGGTTCTAGGGGGCGCCAAAGATAACCCAAAAATCCACATTCTTAAAAGTCTTATAACTTTTTATTTTTGTCCTCACTGCCCTCCAAGTTTTCTAGGATGATGCAATGTCCAGCCATCAACACATTTGTGAAGGAATTTTTACGCCCCAAAAGAGCGCCCCCCCATGGCAGGAGAAAAAAGTCAATTTTTTCTTGTCCCCTTACATGAAAATACACATTGTTGAGTGTCACGCCTGAACGCTTTGTCATATTGACACAAAAATTGACAATCATGTGTATCTCAATTAGATCTACGAAAAAGTCAAAGAGCGCGTATCTGTATAATGTACGGTTAAAGGGCTATTTCGCATTTTTTGCCGATTCGCACACATTGGAATGTGGCTATCTCCTCCTAAGGCTTTCGTCCCACTGATACCAAATTTGCTCAGGGCAATCTACACCCCATGCCCATTCAAAGTTGTAAAAATCATGACGCTGCACCCCACGGTTTACGTTCTAGGGGGCGCCAAAGATGACCCAAAAATCCACATTCTTTAAAGTCATTTTGGCCACTGCAGGAGTACAGAGTACTGCAGTTCTAGGGGGCGCCAAAGATGACCCAAAAATCCACATTCTTAAAAGTCTTTTTGGCCACTGCAGGAGTACAGAGTACTGCAGGATACACACACATATACACACACGCCAACACACACACACACACACACACACACACACACACACACACACACACACACACACACACTCAGAGTCTGTTTTTTAGCACCTGCAAAAACATGCTGTTTACATATTTGACAAGAATGCAGAGGCTTCCTTTTGCCCCTGAAAAAAATCAAATTTCAAACACAACTTGACTGTTCATTTCTCCAAAAGACAACCATGAAGCTCCATCCAAACCTGAAGCAGATAGTTGGTGCATGTGTACAGTAACCTGAGGGGAGTGAGGTGACTGCTTCTGAGGAGAACATGAGCAGTGAAGATTCACCTTGGAGCTAGAACAGGGACGTGCACATGATTATACAGGGGCAGGGGCTCAAGTTTTTTCCAGTCATTTATACAATATGGAAATTAATGTGAAATTAAAAAACAAAGTATTAATAGAAAGGTTATGACTGCCCTGTGTAGATGACAGTGATATCCAATAGGCTAGGCACTCACGAGGCTGGCTGTGGCAAGTGTAAGTGAAAGCAACACGCACTGGCAGGAAGAACAGCAAACGCCGATGAAGGAAAGGGTCTTTGCAGTGATGGGCGTTACCAGAGAGGACGATGGCCAGAGGACGCGAATGGGACGGGGAGGCAGCGCGTTGGGGGGGGCAGCGCGACACGGCTCGGGCCCGCCAGTGCCCCAACGGGGCCCTAGTTATTATTTTTCCTCCGCTTTAAACTGGAAAATGGCCCACTTCCCACTGGCGAAAACTCAGGAAATTTGGCAGGACGACCGGGCCTGGTGAAAAATTCGATATTCTGAAGTCGCCCAAACAATAAAATGCAAAATGGCTCCATAGCGCCCCCTAAGGTGAAAATTCACATGACGGCTGTACGCTTTGTCATATTGACACAAAAATTGACACACACGTGTATCTCAATAAGATCTACAAAAAAGTCAGTGTGGGCGTATCTGTCAAATGTACGGTTAATGGGTTATTTTTCATTTTTTGGAGATCTGCACACATTGGAATTTCGCTAACTCCTCCGAAGGCTTTCGTTCGACCGGCACCACATTTGCGCAGGCCAATCTACACCCCATGGCCATTAAAAGTTGTACAAATCATGACGCTGCACCCCACGGTTTATGTTCTAGGGGGCGCCAAAGATAACCCAAAAATCCACATTCTTAAAAGTGTTATAACTTTTTACTTTTGTCCTCACTGGCCTCCAAGTTTTCTAGGATGATGCAATGTCCAGCCATCAACACATTTGTGAAGGAATTTTTACTCCCCAAAAGAGCGCCCCCCAATGGCAGGAGAAAAAGGTCCATTTTTTCTTGTCTCCAAAGGTCAAAATACACATTGTCGAGTGTCACGCCTGTATGCTTTGTCATATTGACACAAAATTTGACAATCACGTGTATCTCAATAAGATCTACGAAAAAGTCAAAGGGCATGTATCTGTCAAATGTACGGTTAAAGGGCTATTTTGCATTTTTTGCTGATCCGCACACATTGGAATTTCACTAACTCCTCCGAAGGCTATCTTTCCACCGGCACCAAATTTGCTCAGGCCAATCTACACCCCATGGCCATTAAAAGTTGTACAAATCATCTTGCTGCACCCCACGGTTTGGGTTCTAGGGGGCACCAAATATAACCCAAAAATCCACATTCTTAAAAGTGTTATAACTTTTTATTTTTTTCCATACTGGCCTCCAAGTTTTTTAGGATGATGCAATGTCCAGCCATCAACACATTTGTGAAGAAATTTTTACTCCCCAAAAGAGCGCCCCCCCATGGCAGGAGAAAAAAGTCCATTTTTTCTTATCCCGAAAGGTGAAAATACACGTTGTTGAGTGTCACGCCTTTACGCTTTGTCATATTGACAAAAAAATTGACAATCATGTGTATCTCAATTAGATCTACGAAAAAGTCAAAGAGCGCGTATCTGTATAATGTACGGTTAAAGGGCTATTTTGCATTTTTTGCCGATTCGCACACATTGGAATGTGGCTATCTCCTCCTAAGGCTTTCGTCCCACCGATACCAAATTTGCTCAGGGCAATCTACACCCCATGCCCATTCAAAGTTGTAAAAATCATGACGCTGCACCCCACGGTTTACGTTCTAGGGGGCGCCAAAGATGACCCAAAAATCCACATTCTTAAAAGTCATTTTGGCCACTGCAGGAGTACAGAGTACTGCAGTTCTAGGGGGCGCCAAAGATGACCCAAAAATCCACATTCTTAAAAGTCTTTTTGGCCACTGCAGGAGTACAGAGTACTGCAGGATACACACACATATACACACACGCCAACACACACACACACACACACACACACACACACACACACACACACACACACACACACACACACACACACACACACACACACACACTCAGAGTCTGTTTTTAAGCACCTGCAAAAACATGCTGTTTACATATTTGACAAGAATGCAGAGGCTTCCTTTTGCCCCTGAAAAAAATCAAATTTCAAACACAACTTGACTGTTCATTTCTCCAAAAGACAACCATGAAGCTCCATCCAAACCTGAAGCAGATAGTTGGTGCATGTGTACAGTAACCTGAGGGGAGTGAGGTGACTATTTCTGAGGAGAACATAAGCAGTGAAGATTCACCTTGGAGCTAGAACAGGTACGTGCACATGATTATACAGGGGCAGGGGCTCAAGTTTTTTCCAGTCATTTATACAATATGGAAATTAATGTGAAATTAAACCACAAATATGTGTGATGAACTGTTTTTAAAACTTAAACTTCAAATAAAAATTGTAAACTTCAAAACATATGCAAATTTTTAACAAAGAACATAGTAATTTACCTCTATTTACATCAAAATGCAGGCAATGGCCCAGGCGTTCTTTGTAAAATTATTTACAAAACACTGTATAGTCTCACAAATGTCACTTTTTATTTATGCCACTACAAAAAAACATGATGTAAATGATGCATGATGTAAAACATGATGTAAAAAACTTGTGTAGATCCTCCTCTATGTTAGTCCATGTGTAATTTTTCCATAATTCTTTGTTTTTTGCAGCATTTTTGTTAGTGTAACTGCAGATTGTGCTGACAGTGTCTATGGCAAAAAAAAAAAAAAACTGAAAATGCCTCAACATGAACCCCTGGTGGTCTCTGAGGGTGAAACCTGCTAACTGCTGCAGCTCTGTCAGCTTTAGTCTCCCATGCAGAGCTCGGAGCGCATGTGTGGCTCTGCACCCTTAGCAGCGTTGCTAACTCCTCAGTAAGGAAAGCCTGCTTCATGTCAGAGTCTCTAAACTCCAGAAGAAGTCGATAAAAGTCCCTTTCTTTCTAAAAAAAGTCGTTAGGGGGTCTGAAAAGTCATTGAATCTAACAACAAAGTCGCTAGGTTTGCAACTACGTGTCCCAGACTGCATCCCTGCTGAGAGTTCCTCCCTCCCTTCTCATGTTGCAGGAAGAACGTAAGCGCCCGCCCCTTGTCAATCAGTCACCATATAATTTTGGATTGGTTGTTGTGGTGAAGTTTTCCACCAATAGGAGAGATGTTGTGGTGTGTTTTTCTTTTTCTTTGGCAAGCCTTTTCCGCCTGCAAGACCTGTCGCTAATGTCTGCATGCTATGTTTTCCTGTCTCATACAGCGCGATCGAGCGCCGAACGTGATCAAAATAAGCAGAAAAAAAGTATCGCGGACATAATTTATCATAACTCTGGTTTTATTTGGCCTATCAACACAATTTGAAAACTGGTGTATAGTTTGAGGTCCTCACTTTTGAGATAAGTTGAAACGGAGAGTCAACGAGGCTCCGTCTTGCTGCTACATCCGGTTAAATATGTAATGTGACTTGAACGCTGGGGAGCGTCAATCGACTGCAGAGCCAGCAGACAAAGTAGTTGTGGCCACTGAAAGGCACATATTTGTCATATGCTATAATCCTAACATATTTTAATGCTTTTTCTATTTAAACCTAATGGATCTAAGGTTTGACCTTCAAAATTTAGGAAGAATATGTTTTTGCAGTAATGACCCCGTTAAACAACCAGAGGTCCTTTCCTAAAGTTTATGGAAATTTTAGTGAAGGCCTTGGTTTCTTTCCTTGCAAAATGTATAGAAATAATAAAGCTAAATTCCATAAAAAGGTCTTGGCGTATTAGCAGTGATATAAAATAGTGGTTTGAATATGAATGAACAACAACAAAAAAAAAACATCAACAGAGCCTTTTTGAGTTGGGATTCTTTCATTATCACACAAAAACAGACATAGACAGACATCTAAAGGGTAAGGGAATGATCAGCCCTCCTAACTCTCAGATGAATCTTCAAAATTCACCTCAGAAATATGCTTATTATTCTTCTCAGAGTACTGCAGGATATACACACACACACTCAGAGTCTTTTTTTTAGCACCTGCAAAAACATGCTATTTACATATTTGACTAGAATGCAGAGGCCCCTTTTTGCCCCTGAAAAAAATCAAATTTCAAACACAACTTGACTGCTCATTTCTCCAAAAGACAACCATGAAGCTCCATCCAAACCTGAAGCAGGCAGTTGGTGCATGTGTACAGTCACCTGAGGAAAGTGAGGTGACTACTTCTGAGGAGAACATGAGCAGTGAAGATTCACCTTGGAGCTAGAACAGGGACGTGCACATGATTATACAGGGGCAGGGGCTCAAGTTTTTTCCAGTCATTTATACAATATTGAAATTAATGTGAAATTAAAAAACAAGTATTAATAGAAAGGTTATGACTGTCCTGTGTAGATGACAGTGATATCCAATAGGCTAGGCACTCACGAGGCTGGCTGTGGCAAGTGTAAGTGAAAGCAACACGCACTGGCAGGAAGAACAGCAAACGCCGATGAAGGAAAGAGTCTTTGCAGTGATGGGCGTTACCAGAGAGGGCGATGGCCAGAGGACGCGAATGGGACGGGGAGGCAGCGCGTTGGGGGGGGCAGCGCGACACGGCTCGGGCCCGCCAGTGCCCCAACGGGGCCCTAGTTAGGGCCCGAGCGTAGCTGCTAAGCAGCTGCGAGAGCCCTCTTGTTCCTGCATGTTTCCTTCTTTCGTTATTATTTTTCCTCCGCTTTAAACTGGAAAATGGCCCACTTCCCACTGGCGAAAACTCAGGAAATTTGGCAGGACGACCGGGCCTGGTGAAAAATTCGATATTCTGAAGTCGCCCAAACAATAAAATGCAAAATGGCTCCATAGCGCCCCCTAAGGTGAAAATTCACATGACGGCTGTACGCTTTGTCATATTGACACAAAAATTGACACACACATGTATCTCAATAAGATCTACAAAAAAGTCAGTGCGGGCGTATCTGTCAAATGTACGGTTAATGGGTTATTTTGCATTTTTTGCAGATCTGCACACATTGGAATTTCGTTAACTCCTCCGAAGGCTTTTGTTCGACCGGCACCACATTTGCGCAGGCCAATCTACCTCCCATGGCCATTAAAAGTTGTACAAATCATGACGCTGCACCCCACGATTTAGGTTCTAGGGGGCGCCAAAGATAACACTAAAATCCACATTCTTAAAAGTCTTATAACTTTTTACTTTTGTCCTCACTGGCCTCCAAGTTTTCTAGGATGATGCAATGTCCAGCCATCAACACATCTGTGAAGGAATTTTTACTCGCCAAAAGAGCGCCCCCCCATGGCAGGAGAAAAAAGTCCATTTTTTCTTGTCCCCTAAGGTGAAAATACACACTATTGACTGTCACGCCTGTACGCTTTGGCAAAATGACACAAAAATTGACACACACATGTATCTCAATAAGATCTACAAAAAAGTCCATGCGCGCGTATCTGTCAAATGTACAGTTAAAGGGTTATTCCGCATTTTTTGCCGATACGCACACATTGGAATTTCGCTAACTCCTCCGAAGGCTTTCGTTCCACCGGCACCACATTTGCTCAGGCCAATCTACACCCCATGGCCATTAAAAGTTATTCAAATCATGATGCTGCACCCCATGGTTTAGGTTCTAGGGGGCGCCAAAAATAACCCAAAAATCCACATTCTTAAATGTTTTATAACTTTTTTTGTCCTCACTGGCCTCCAAGTTTTCTAGGATGATGCAATGTCCAGCCATCAACACATTTGTGAAGGAATTTTTACTCCCCAAAAGAGCGCCCCCCATGGTAGGAGAAAAAAGTCAATTTTTTCTTGTCCCCTTACATGAAAATACACATTGTTGAGTGTCACGCCTGAACGCTTTGTCATATTGACACAAAAATTGACAATCATGTGTATCTCAATTAGATCTACGAAAAAGTCAAAAAGCGCGTATCTGTATAATGTACGGTTAAAGGGCTATTTTGCATTTTTTGCCGATTCGCACACATTGGAATGTGGCTATCTCCTCCTAAGGCTTTCGTCCCACCGATACCAAATTTGCTCAGGGCAATCTACACCCCATGCCCATTCAAAGTTGTAAAAATCATGACGCTGCACCCCACGGTTTACGTTCTAGGGGGCGCCAAAGATGACCCAAAAATCCACATTCTTAAAAGTCATTTTGGCCACTGCAGGAGTACAGAGTACTGCAGTTCTAGGGGGCGCCAAAGATGACCCAAAAATCCACATTCTTAAAAGTCTTTTTGGCCACTGCAGGAGTACAGAGTACTGCAGGATACACACACATATACACACACGCCAACATACACACACACACACACACACACACACACACACACACAGACACACACACACACTCAGAGTCTGTTTTTCAGCACCTGCAAAAACATGCTATTTACATATTTGACTAGAATGCAGAGGCCCCTTTTTGCCCCTGAAAAAAATCAAATTTCAAACACAACTTGACTGCTCATTTCTCCAAAAGACAACCATGAAGCTCCATCCAAACCTGAAGCAGGCAGTTGGTGCATGTGTACAGTCACCTGAGGAAAGTGAGGTGACTACTTCTGAGGAGAACATGAGCAGTGAAGATTCACCTTGGAGCTAGAACAGGGACGTGCACATGATTATACAGGGGCAGGGGCTCAAGTTTTTTCCAGTCATTTATACAATATTGAAATTAATGTGAAATTAAAAAACAAGTATTAATAGAAAGGTTATGACTGTCCTGTGTAGATGACAGTGATATCCAATAGGCTAGGCACTCACGAGGCTGGCTGTGGCAAGTGTAAGTGAAAGCAACACGCACTGGCAGGAAGAACAGCAAACGCCGATGAAGGAAAGGGTCTTTGCAGTGATGGGCGTTACCAGAGAGGGCGATGGCCAGAGGACGCGAATGGGACGGGGAGGCAGCGCGTTGGGGGGGGCAGCGCGACACGGCTCGGGCCCGCCAGTGCCCCAACGGGGCCCTAGTTATTATTATTTTTCCTCCGCTTTAAACTGGAAAATGGCCCACTTCCCACTGGCGAAAACTCAGGAAATTTGGCAGGACGACCGGGCCTGGTGAAAAATTCGATATTCTGAAGTCGCCCAAACAATAAAATGCAAAATGGCTCCATAGCGCCCCCTAAGGTGAAAATTCACACTATTGACTGTCACGGCTGTACGCTTTGTCATATTGACACAAAAATTGACACACACATGTATCTCAATAAGATCTACAAAAAAGTCAGTGCGGGCGTATCTGTCAAATGTACGGTTAAAGGGTTATTTCGCATTTTTTGCAGATCCGCACACATTGGAATTTGGCTAACTCCTCCGAAGGCTTTCGTTCCACCGGCACCACATTTGCTCAGGCCAATCTACACCCCATGGCCATTCAAAGTTGTACAAATCATGATGCTGCACCCCATGGTTTAGGTTCTAGGGGGCGCCAAAGATAACCCAAAAATCCACAGTCTTAAAAGTCTTATAACTTTTTATTTTTGTCCTCACTGGCCTCCAAGTTCTCTAGGATGATGCAATGTCCAGCAATTAACACATTTGTGAAGGAATTTTTACTCGCCAAAAGAGCGCCCCCCCCCATGGCAGGAGAAAAAAGTCCATTTTTTCTTGTCCCCTAAGGTGAAAATACACATTGTTTAGTGTCACGCCTGTACGCTTTGGCAAAATGACACAAAAATTGACACACACATGTATCTCAATAAGATCTACGAAAAAGTCAATGCGCGCGTATCTGTAAAATGTACGGTTAAAGGGCTATTTCGCATTTTTTGCCGATTCGCACACATTGGAATGTGGCTAACTCCTCCTAAGGCTTTCGTTCCACTGACACCAAATTTGCTCAGGCCAATCTACACCCCATGGCCATTCAAAGTTGTAAAAATCATGACGCTGCACCCCACGGTTTACGTTCTAGGGGGCGCCAAAGAGGACCCAAATATCCACATTTTTAAAATTCGTATAACTTTATTTTTGTCCTCACTGGCCTCCAAGTTTTCTAGGATGATGCAATGTTCAGTCATCAACACATTTGTGAAGGAATTTTTTCTCCCCATAAGAGCGCCCCCCCCATGGCAGGAGAAAAAGTCAAGTTTTTCCTGCCCATCGCTCAATGGCTCAAACGCATCGCTCTCTCGGCAAAACCGAAAGGAGGAGCAACTTGCCATTTGGATATATACTAGCTGTGTTTGTGCCCTCACTCCTGGTCCAGAATTTTTTCAAAAAGGACATGGAGTTTGTCTGCAGCGAGCGTTTTGGTAGAAACTGCGCCTCCCATTCAATATAATGGTAAATGACCACAGACAAGTGCGCACACCATCTTTGGACCTTGAGTGTGACGCGATCGGGAGGGGTAGGCGGTCGCGCTGGGGGCGGCGCGACACGGCTCGGGCCCGCCAGTGCCCCAACGGGGCCCTAGTTTGTTATTATTATTATTATTATTATTAGGGCCCGAGCGTAGCTGCTAAGCAGCTGCGAGAGCCCTCTTGTTCCTGATGGATTCTTCTTTCGTTATTTTTCCTCCGCTTTAAACTGGAAAATGGCCCACTTCCCACTGGCGAAAACTCAGGAAATTTGGCAGGACGACCGGGCCTGGTGAAAAATTTGATATTCTGAAGTCGTCCAAACAAAAAAATGAAAAATGGCTCCATAGCGCCCCCTATGGTGAAAACTCACCTGATGCCTGTACGCTTTGTCAAAATGACACAAAATTTGACACACATGTGTATCTCAATAAGATCTACGAAAAAGTCAGTGCGGGCGTATCTGCCAAATGTACGGTTAAAGGGCTATTTCGCTTTTTTTGCCGATCCGCACACATTGGAATTTCGCTAACTCCTCCGAAGGCTTTCGTTCCACCAGCACCAAATTTGCTCAGGCCAATCTACACCCCATGGCCATTAAAAGTTGTACAAATCATGATGCTGCACCCCACGGTTTACTTTCTAGGGGGCGCCAAAGATAACACAAAAATCCACATTCTTAAAAGTCTTATAACTTTTTATTTTTGTCCTCACTGGCCTCCAAGTTTTCTAGGATGATGCAATGTCCAGCCATCAACACATTTGTGAAGGAATTTTTACTCCCCAAAAGAGCGCCCCCCCATGGCAGGAGAAAAAAGTCCATTTTTTCTTGTCTCCTTAGGTAAAAATACACATTGTTGAGTGTCACGCCTATACACTTTGTCATAATGACACACAATTTGACAATCACGTGTATCTCAATAAGATCTACAAAAAAGTAAATAGGCACGTATCTGTCAAATGTATGGTTAAAGGGCTATTTCGCATTTTTTGCCGATTCGCACACATTGGAATGTGGCTATCTCCTCCTAAGGCTTTCGTCCCACCGATACCAAATTTGCTCAGGGCAATCTACACCCCATGGCCATTCAAAGTTGTAAAAATCATGACGCTGCACCCCACGGTTTACGTTCTAGGGGGCGCCAAAGATGACCCAAAAATCCACATTCTTAAAAGTCATTTTGGCCACTGCAGGAGTACAGAGTACTGCAGTTCAAGGGGGCGCCAAAGATGACCCAAAAATCCACATTCTTAAAAGTCTTTTTGGCCACTGCAGGAGTACAGAGTACTGCCGGACACACACACATATACACACACGCCAACACACACACACACACACACACACACACACACACACACACACACACACACACACACACACACACACACTCAGAGTCTGTTTTTTAGCACCTGCAAAAACATGCTGTTTACATATTTGACAAGAATGCAGAGGCTTCCTTTTGCCCCTGAAAAAAATCAAATTTCAAACACAACTTGACTGTTCATTTCTCCAAAAGACAACCATGAAGCTCCATCCAAACCTGAAGCAGATAGTTGATGCATGTGTACAGTAACCTGAGGAGAGTGAGGTGACTACTTCTGAGGAGAACATGAGCAGTGAAGATTCACCTTGGAGCTAGAACAGGGACGTGCACATGATTATACAGGGGCAGGGGCTCAAGTTTTTTCCAGTCATTTATACAATATGGAAATTAATGTGAAATTAAACCACAAATATGTGTGATGAACTGTTTTTAAAACTTAAACTTCAAATAAAAATTGTAAACTTCAAAACATATGCAAATTTTTAACAAAGAACATAGTAATTTACCTCTATTTACATCAAAATGCAGGCAATGGCCCAGGCGTTCTTTGTAAAATTATTTACAAAACACTGTATAGTCTCACAAATGTCACTTTTTATTTATGCCACTACAAAAAAACATGATGTAAATGATGCATGATGTAAAACATGATGTAAAAAACTTGTGTAGATCCTCCTCTATGTCAGTCCATGTGTAATTTTTCCATAATTCTTTGTTTTTTGCAGCATTTTTGTTAGTGTAACTGCAGATTGTGCTGACAGTGTCTATGGCAAAAAAAAAAAAAAACTGAAAATGCCTCAACATGAACTCCTGGTGGTCTCTGAGGGTGAAACCTGCTAACTGTGCAGCTCTCTCAGCTCTAGTCTCCCATGCAGAGCTCGGAGCGCATGTGTGGCTCTGCACCCTTAGCAGCGTTGCTAACTCCTCAGTAAGGAAAGCCTTACGGCCCGAGCGACACAGCTCGGGCCCGCCAGTGCCCCAACGGGGTCCTAGTTATTATTAGGGCCCGAGCGTAGCTGCTAAGCAGCTGCGAGAGCCCTCTTGTTCCTGATGGATTCTTCTTTCGTTATTTTTCCTCCGCTTTAAACTGGAAAATGGCCCACTTCCCACTGGCGAAAACTCAGGAAATTTGGCAGGATGACTGGGCCTGGTGAAAAATTTGATATTCTGAAGTCGTCCAAACAAAAAAATGAAAAATGGCTCCATAGCGCCCCCTATGGTGAAAACTCACCTGATGCCTGTACGCTTTGTCAAAATGACACAAAATTTGACACACATGTGTATCTCAATAAGATCTACGAAAAAGTCAGTGCGGGCGTATCTGTCAAATGTACGGTTAAAGGGCTATTTCGCTTTTTTTGCCGATCCGCACACATTGGAATTTCGCTAACTCCTCCAAAGGCTTTCGTTCCACTGGCACCAAATTTGCTCAGGCCAATCTACACCCCATGGCCATTAAAAGTTGTACAAATCATGACGCTGCACCCCACGGTTTAGGTTCTAGGCGGCGCCAAAGATAACCCAAAAATCCACATTCTTAAAAGTCTTATAACTTTTTATTTTTGTCCTCACTGGCCTCCAAGGTTTCTAGGATGATGCAATGTCCAGCCATCAACACATTTGTGAAGGAGTTTTTACTCCCCAAAAGAGCGCCCCCCCATGGCAGGAGAAAAAGTCCATTTTTTCTTGTCTCCTAAGGTAAAAATACACATTGTTGAGTGTCACGCCTATACACTTTGTCATATTGACACACAATTTGACAATCACGTGTATCTCAATAAGATCTACAAAAAAGTCAATAGGCACGTATCTGTCAAATGTACGGTTAAAGGGCTATTTCGCATTTTTTGCCGATTCGCACACATTGGAATGTGGCTATCTCCTCCTAAGGCTTTCGTCCCACCGATACCAAATTTGCTCAGGGCAATCTACACCCCATGCCCATTCAAAGTTGTACAAATCATGAGGCTGCACCCCACGGTTTACGTTCTAGGGGGCGCCAAAGATGACCCAAAAATCCACATTCTTAAAAGTCTTTTTGGTCACTGCAGGAGTACAGAGTACTGCAGGATACACACACATACACACACACACACACACACACACACACACACACACACACACACACACACACACACACACACACACACACACACTCAGAGTCTGTTTTTTAGCACCTGCAAAAACATGCTGTTTACATATTTGACAAGAATGCAGAGGCTTCCTTTTGCCCCTGAAAAAAATCAAATTTCAAACACAACTTGACTGTTCATTTCTCCAAATGACAACCATGAAGCTCCATCCAAACCTGAAGCAGGCAGTTGGTGCATGTGTACAGTAACCTGAGGGGAGTGAGGTGACTGCTTCTGAGGAGAACATGAGCAGTGAAGATTCACCTTGGAGCGAGAACAGGGACGTGCACACGATTATACAGGGGCAGGGGCTCAAGTTTTTTCCAGTCGTTTATACAATATGGAAATTAATGTGAAATTAAAAAACAAAGTATTAATAGAAAGGTAATGACTGTCCTGTGTAGGTGACAGTAATATCCAATAGGCTAGGCACTCACGAGGCCGGCTGTGGCAAGTGTAAGTGAAAGCAACACGCACTGGCAGGAAGAACAGCAAACCCCGATGAAGGAAAAGGGTCTTTGCAGTGATGGGCGTTACCAGAGAGGA